ATAGGCTGTATCCCCATGTTCGATGCTTAAATTTTATTGAGCCCCCCATGCCCTAATGGCAATAGATGGTTTATATATAGACATAGACGTGGGTTTAATAGATAGAAGAAAAGGGGTCTTTTTTTACATCAGCCAGGTTGAAAGACATTTTATTGAAACCCCCATTTATAGATAATGGTTATGCTTTCAACCAGCATTATCCAAATGATGTCAATATGTTTTTCAGAGATGGTTTATAGACAACCAAATATCTCATATTATCCTACAATGCGTTCATTTTTACCATTTGTTCTCATATTTTGTTTGATCATAATATGGAGATGTAGAAAAAAAACATTAGGGATTTGGATCCCATGATTAAAATGGACGTTTTTTTTGTTATTTTCCCATTCTTGAATCGGAACTCGTTGATTCTCCCAAGAAATCCCCAGAATGTCAACCCCGGATTTTGCTAAACCATGGTTTATTAATTAGGGGGGTACTCCTCCAATAGTCATAATCTGATACTTAAATGGTACTCTCCCAATTAAACAGCCGTGTGGGGTTTATTAATCCAGGGTTGACATCATCTTTGTTGGTAGATCACCATGTTTCCATTGTTTTCACTGAGGATCCGTCTCATCTTCAGAGGGAAGCTATCATGCATCAGCTATCATCTGGTTGGTGGTTTGGAACATTTTTCCATATATTGGGAAAAATCATTCCAACTGACGAACTCATATTTTTCAGAGGGGTAGGTATACCACCAACCAGTCATGACATCCCCTTGTTCTTCGTTAGACCAGCATGTTCCAATGGTTTTTTGTCTCCATCCCTATCCTTTGGCGCCACTTTGCAAGCAGCTTGGAAGCCAATGTCTTCTATGGTTGGTCAATATTTCCACATGATTATGTGATATTATGTGTAAATATATCTAGTATGTATATAGGGTTTATAATTGATTATCCCATTATAACAATGGCTAGCTCCCTGGTTATTATTGTATATATATATATATACATATTTATTATATGTATACATATGTGTGTTCCCCATTCCAGTTACACTAATCTGCTTAGATGGCGTTATAAACCAACTTATAACTGCTTACTATATTACCCATTGTACCATCCGTGGTTAAATATTTCACATAATATAACCATGTATAACCAATTAATTAAATCTATGTAAACGGTTAAATAGATGGTTATTATACTGTATAAATGGTTTTACACTATCAGTTATATTATACTATAAATGGTTCTAAATGGCTACATTATAATACTATAAAATGGTTATTATACTGTTATATTGTAATATAATGGGATAATGAACTATAAACCATATAGATAGATAGATAGATTAGATTAGATTAGATTAGATTAGATTAGTAGTATGGTTAGATAGAGGGTTATAAGTTATTAAGCATTTAATTCTGGTTGGTTCTCCACATCTCAGGCACCCTGGAAGCCGCCGCGGGGTTCCTTTCTGCCAACGGCCTACCGGGCGGCGCCTTGAGCGGCGCCTTGAGCGGCGCCTTGAGCGGCGCCGTGGCCAACGGCTTCAACGGCAACGGTGCTGCGCCGGCGCCGGCGCCGGTGAAGGTGGTGAAGAAACACCTGCCAGGGCCACTGAGATGGGAAGAAATGCTGGGTTTTATGGTGGTTTTATGGGGATGACTTAAGAAATGCAATAGGATTTTAGATGGTAATTTTTGGTGAATGGGATGTAATGGGATTTACCCTCTGGTAATTTGTTACATAGCTATTGAACATGGCCATTTAGTTCGTTGATTTACATAGTAAACATGGTGTTTTTCCATAGCTATCTTAGTTTACCAGAGAGCATGGTGGCTTTAAGGTGGTTTGATGGTGCTTCTAGTGGTGTTTCATGGGATTTTAAGGGTGCTACCAATGGTGTTTTATGGTGTCTTTCATGTGTTTAGTGGGGATTCAATGAGTTTTTCCTGGCACAAGGATGGTTTAACTATTCGGAAATGATAGCTTAAGCAATAACATTGAGTTGAAAGGGTATTATTCATGTGATATACTTTCTGGTAAATTAGCTATGGAAAATCATAATTTTCAATAGGTAAATTATGACAAATCATCGATAAATCACGGAAAGTTGTTAACCAAGAAAAAACCAGTCTAAATCCACGCAGTTGATGGCGATATAATGGGGATGTAGTAGAATATACCACGGAAAATGTTTGGAAAAGTCGTGGTTTAATCAAAACAAATGGAGATACTAGTAACATTCTATAGTTGTTTGGTATAGAAACCCGACTAACATGATATGAATCGCTTGTTCCTGGACAAGTGGCGGTTTAACCACTCAGAAATGGTGGTTTAATCAGCAAAACTACGTTGAAAGGGTGTTAAAATCACCATTTCCATATGTTTTCAATATGTTCCTAATATTTTGTTTTTTTCCCAGGTTCTTCATGGTTGACCCTTTGGGTTCTACATGTTTTTCCACATATGTTCAATGTGTTATCATATTTTGTACCATATATTTCCTATGTATGTCCCATCTTTTGTATCACATATGTCCTATGCATGTCCCATATGGGTTCAATATGTTCCCTTGTTCCCATATGTTTTGTTTCTGTTTATTTACCATATATTCCAATATACATTTCCCATGTTTCCTTTTTCTTTTCACCCATATTTCCCAGATGTTCCCATATGTTGTTCCATTTCCTTCGATTTTTTTTGATTCCATCCCAAGGAAAAATACATGGATTTCCCTGTGTTCCATAGCTATGTAAGTTTTATGTGGTTGTACCCATGGTTTTCCCATATATCTCAGTCAATCAAGTGGATGGGTAGAAACTAATCCGAACTAGTCTTGGATGGTATGGGACAATCTACGTTAGCTAAGAATGTTTATTTTTTTGCAGGGTATCTAAGATTGGCCGTGTTAACCATCACCATTGGATCAAAAATAACCGTCCAAAAACAGGGTTGAACCGAGCTTGGGAAGATTTGGGAGTGCGATTTTGGGTTCTATTAACCAAGTGAACATAGTGATTTTCCATAGTTTTATGTATCAGTTTACCAAAGAGTATGGTGTTTTTAAGGTGTTTTAATGGTGCGTTTAGTGGTGTTTGCCCACGAGTTCCAAGGTGTATCTGCAAGGACTGCCGCGAGCGCCCTGACGCAGGGACTTCAAATCCCTCGGACCCCGGGCTCGGACCCGGGCTCGGACCCGGGCTCGGACCCGGGCTCGGACCCTGTGGACCCTGCGGACCCTGCGGACCTGGCGGCGCCGCCGCGAAACTGGCGGCAACGGTGACGTGGCGAAGGATGTAGGGTTTGGGTTTTGGGGCATTTTTTCTGGGATTTTTTTGTAGGATTTTATGGGATTTATTGGTGGTTCATCGAGATTTACCCGTGATGAGTGACTATATCATGATTCTTCACCGGCAGTGGTTGGAGATCTAGTACAAGTTTGGCCATGGGGAGAGGATATTGAGAACCAGGTGAGGCTGACACACGACATCTTCCAGAGGTCCAGGACCCACGCTTTGGATCAGATCAGAGAGTGACTGCTGACTTGCCCTTGCTTTCTGCACTCGTATGGATCAGTGCTGGACAGCTGTCCCGGTTGCAGGAAATTTCCACTCCCGACTTCCAGACTGTGTAGGGATGGAGTTCGGGGCTTCTTTGTGGTCAGCGCATTTGACTCACAATTCCGATACCTCATGACGAAGGAGGTAGCAACTTTTCCTCACAGTACCAGCCGAGGTGCGGTTCGTGAATGAGAAGTGAGGACTGACACTACTGGGACAATGTGCCGCTCCGGCGCATAGATAGAATGTCGTATATACAGAATGTCAGAATGTCAGATAGAAGTCCTGATAGAATGCCTTGTAAAAATGTCAGACGCAATGTCAGATAATATGCAGATAAGATGTCAGATAGACTGTAAGAATATATCAGAACATATTCCATGGCTGCCACAGTGGGGATCACACAAAGTATACGGTATTTTTGTCTATTTTTCCTGTTGTCCAAGCAAATCCAGCCATCGTTTCTTGGGGTTTCCATAGTCATGGGGGTACCCCAAATAGTTGGTCAAAGTGGAAAATCCCAATCTAAAATGGATGATTTAGATGTACCCCCCATTTTAGGAAACCTCCATATAAGTAACCCGCACTAGCCGCACTAGTCAGATTAAATGATGCAAAAAATCGTTCCGCAGTTGAAGCCGAAGTGAAACCGCCTGGCGATGCCTGGCGATGCCTGGCGCTCTGCATAATTTGAGCAGATGCAGACCCACCGGACACGTTCCAGTTGGTGGGATCCCATGCGTTTATCTACTGATTCCACTGCAGCTGCGAGTACCACTATCCACATGGTTTCCAGAAACTTTCGAAGGATCATAGGGACTATCATAGTGGCATTCCTTCCATTTACACACGACATTGTGCATGTACAATCCTTGGAAGACTTGCAAAAAATAAAAAAGCAACGCGTGAACCAATCACCGCTCTTCTGATTTGCTTTTGCGAGAAGTCTAAGATGCAACTTGCACAGCAGGTCTCCCAGTGCTGCAGAACAAAACAACAGTACAGAATATGGAATATGGACAAAGAATATGTCCGTGCCTTTTCGAAAGTGAAGATGTAATCTTGGGATATGAATTAGGGATATAATTAGCGACAATATGAACGGTGTAAGAATTCATTTGCAGAATGCATTTTAGTTTATCTTAGTCCCCATTCAAACACATGTGGAAAGTTAACCTGAGGCCGTTTAAAAAAAGGGGTAACTTTTGTTAAACCATTCCGCTTCCATATTTCCATACTGTACTTGACATCCTCTGAATGTCTTACAACATTGTGCCTCCAAGATAGGCTTCTGCTGTTCTCTATCATAGCTGTTGCGTTCATGGTGGAAATCGATCTACAGTTGAAAGAGTGAAACTCAGCCAGCAAACATAACCGGGGAAACCTGCATTGCACAAGATATCCAAGATTTATGTCCCCTTGGCATCTCCATGAATGTCAACCCATGATGCCCTCAAAGGTGCCTCTTAAAGAATAGTCGTAATTTGCTGCCAAACATGTCACCGCCCTAATTGAAAAGCCCAGGTTAGTGAAGTATGGATTATAGGTGTAAGACATTATACCTATCATCTCCAAATCTGGATAATAGTTGTACCATATTATCATATTGCAACTATCATTTCCAAATGTTGATAATTTATAAACTTATATTTGTGGACTGGATATTCACTAAAAGAAGTATTGCAATAGTCACTATAGGATGGTTCAGGTTAGTGAATCATTATCCAGTGATTTCGCTATGTTTATCATGATATATATGTATATGTATATATATATATATATGATGATGATTTATATATACAATATGATTTTTATAAATAAATATGTGATATGTATATATTTATATATATTTAGATATACCCTATATAAATGATATATATATATATACATGAGATATATATGATATAATATATATATATATATATGATATACAATATATATATATATATATATGATATCTATATATGTATGATATATATATATATGATAAATATATACAATATATATATATACAATATATATATATATACAATATATATATATACTATATATACTGTATACATACATACACATTACCCCTGAAGTCTCCATGATATTGTCACATTTTTTCTACATCTCCAGGTTGCTTCGGACTGGTGGCCTGAGAACTGGTGGGACGACTGGTGGGACGAGAGTTGGTGGGGCGGCGGGATCCCAAGGATCGCTGCAAGTCGGTGTAGTTACGGTCGTTACGGTAGTTGATGTGGAGTTGGCTGAAAAAACTATGGTTTATGGTGATTAAATGGTGATTGAATGGGATTTAATGGTGATTAAATGGTGATTGAATGGGATTTAATGGTGATTAATGGTGATTTAATGGGATTTAATGGTGATTAATGGTGATTTAATGGGATTTAATGGTGATTAATGGTGATTTAATGGGATTTAATGGTGATTAATGGTGATTTAATGGGATTTAATGGTGATTAATGGTGATTTAATGGGATTTAATGGTGATTAATGGTGATTTAATGGGATTTAATGGTGATTAATGGTGTGGGATTTAATGGTGATTAATGGTGATTTAATGGTGATTAATGGTGATTTAATGGGATTTAATGGTGATTAAATGGTGATTTAATGGTGATTTAATGGTGATTTAATGGTGATTTAATGGGATTTAATGGTGATTTAATGGGTGGGATTTAATGGGATTTCATGGTGATTTCATGGTGATTTAATGGTGATTAATGGTGACTTAATGGGATTTAATGGTGATTAATGGTGACTTAATGGGATTAAATGGTGATTAATGGTGATTTAATGGGATTAAATGGTGATTAATGGTGATTTATGGTGATTAAATGGGATTTAATGGGATTTAGCCTCTGGTAAATTAACATGGTGACCCTGAAAATCACCAGTTTTTAGTGGAAACTAATCTTCCAACCCAGATGACTGCCAGGGTCTATGTTTCTTTACTGGAGGGCAATTGGTTGGTATAAACCACTAGTATAAATAAAATATGGTGACGGTCATCACCAACCACCGCAAATCACAAGATCAAAATAAACTCACCAATCCCCCAGCTCATAAATAGATGGTATAAACCATTCCCAGTCATGGGTGGTTTAATTTATGATATTGTTTTACCCACATTAATACTTGGAAGTTTTCCCAACTTCTATGGATGATTTTTTTTCAAAATGTTGGATCACTAGAGGAAATAACCATGTGAGTGGAGGTAGTGTACCATATTTTTGGCCATATTTTGGGGGTAAGTTCCCTTACATATGCCTGAGATATGCCTTATATATGGTAGGTACCTCCGATATCGGCACCTGAAATGGCAATTGGCTGTGATAAATTTGTTTGTAACCCGATCTGACTATACGGCAAGACCCTATGGTTTGCCCATGTTTGCCCGCAAGGTTAGAATGGAGTTCAAATATTAGCCTTCGACATGCTCAAAAACCTGCGCAGGGCTAATGTTTTAGTATTTACCAGACGACGAACCCTAAACCCTAAAACCATCTAAAACCCTAAACCCTAAAACCCTAAAGCCCAAAACCCTAAAACCCTGAAAACCCTGAATCCGAAAGCAGAAAACACTGCGTATACGCAGCATCTTCTGCCATTTTTTCTCATGTCCTGAATGTTGCAGTCCGGGCAAACCACGGGGTCTGTGCGTAACAATAGATATATATCCCATAAACCCTCATTATTGTAGCTATTGAACAAATTAGCGATTTTTGGGGCCCCATTTTTTTTGGAAAATTGCCGAATTGATAGATGTTCTACCGATTTACCGTTGAACAATTGTGATGTTCCATAACAAGGTTAGATTACCAGAGGGTAATGGGGAGTTTATCCATCAAAACGGGTTGCTTGAACATTTAGACCTCAAGAATCAGGGATTACTTCTCAAACATAGGGGATGTACGCCACAGTAATGGCTGTTTATCCAGCAATAATGGATCTTTAAACATAAAAAAACGGACGTGTTTGCCAGGCATATCAGACAAACAGAATATAAAAGGGGGTGTATGACCAACACAAAAACTGGAGGTTGAAACTACCCAAACAATTAGAGTGGTTGGACATGTTTGGACCTTCCATAAGATTCGTTTGAACTTTAACTCACACAATAGTGGGACCTCTGTTGCATTAAGTGCACCGATTTCTGATGGGATATGTTTTGGGAACAATCAAGGGAACATAGGAAGTCTTACTGAAGACGAGATTATTCGTTTCAGATGGGCCATATCCCGGCCAAAAGTTTTCACTTGTAGTAGGGGAGCAAAAGATAACATTGAGTTATGGCCCGAAATAACAGTTTTTTGTCAGTGAAATAACCTGATTTATGGAATTATCACCTCATAGAAATAACAATTTATGGTATATAACTGGCCTTAACTTAGCTGGGGATTTCCTTAACAGAACTGCGGCTGACATAGTGCAACTTTAGGGATGAACTCCAAATCATCCAGATATTTTCGGGTTTCCATGGATGGAATTACGGATGGTTGATGGGATGATTAATGGATGGTTGATGGGATGATTAATGGATGATTACTGGATGATTAATGGATGATTCATGGATGATTCATGGATGATTAATGGATGATTAATGGATGATTAATGAATGATTCATGGATGATTAATGGATGATTCATGGATGATCAATTGATGATTAATGGATGATTACTAGGTGAATTTGTTTGTTGTTTTTGGCATGCGGCTGATACGGCGCCCTTGGAAGGGTTGTCGATTTTGAGATGTGCCATTTACGATCCCGTGGAAGGGTTGCAAATTTCAAAAATGAGGTTTTCCGAAATGGGGGTATAGGATTTGAAATTTTCGATTTTTTAACGTGTTGCACATGGAAGAGGCACAGGTTGCATATGTTGTCGTATGATCGTCAGGGGGGGTGGGGGGGGATGTTAACGTTCGTGTCGAGCGCTTCCCTCACGGTACGGAAGAGGCACATGTTGCATTTGTTGTCGTATGATCGTCAGGGGGGGTGGGGGGGGATGTTAACGTTCGTATCGAGCACTTCCTTTACGTTACAGAAGAGGTTGCCGTTGCTGACATCTTGCATTGTCTGACGCGCTTTTTGCGGATTTCCTGCGTGAACCTATGTTGGTCGTGGTTGGATTTCCTCTAGAACCATTATTGCTGGAACTCAACAACTTGATGGAACTTGGAAACACTTAAAAAAATGGCGACCTCAATCCATGCTCCACAAAAGAAACAACAGGTGTACCAAAAACGGTACAGTTATGCTTACAGCTGGACTTGGCGTCACAACGCTGCCTTGTTACAGACTGTAGCATCAGCACTGCCACAAGCACTCTGGCACCGCTAACCTCGAACAGTGGAAAAAAAAGAGGATTGAATACCGCCTTGATTGATGTGATTTGGATGACTTAAAATCATAAAATTCTAATGTTTTTTTTTCACCCTTGAAGAGAAAAATCGAGTCACCGCGCAGGCGAAATTCAAATTTTCACCCTTGAGTCACACGCCTGCCAACCGAAATGAATGTCCATGTTGTACACATTTTTTGACGACTCCTGCAAATACCAGCATTTTCTCTCTTAGCCTCAAAAATGACAATTTCAAATTCGTCACCCTTACAAGGGCGCCGAGTCAACCGGTTGCCTTGTTTTTCTATTGATTTTCTATTCGTTTCCTATGGTTTTTCCATAGATTCCATTGATTTCCCACATAATTTCCCAAATTGTCCCCATCTATTTTCTAGGTCAATCTTGGATGGGTAGAAATTAATCCTTTGGCCTTGGATGGTTTCAATGGGATTATCTACGTTAGCTAAGAATTTGGATTTTTTTGTTTGCAGGGTATCTAAGATTGGCCATGATAGATGGGGGATCACCAATAGCTGGTTGTTTTATTTTATTTCGTGGAAAATTGTATGAATAATGGATGACATCTAGGGGGTACCCCCATTTCAGGAAACCTCCATACGGCTATGAGTCAAAGTCCTCGCACCCTAGTAGGTCGGGTAAAAATAGCTTTGATTTATGGATGTTTTCAATGCACATTTCAGGAACCTAAATTGGAGGTACCTATCATATATAAAGCATATCTCAGGCATATGTAAGGATATCCCCACAAAATATGGCCAAAAATATGGTAGAGTACAAATGGATCCTGTTTTATTCCCATTGATGTCTATTCTGTGGTTATTCCCCAACATATGTGAATAAGCTGGTGATTCTATGGTCTTTCCATTGTTTTGACCCATCTCGCCATATGGTGAATAGCTCGCTCAAGACCATCGCGGTGGCATAGCAGTGCCCATGTTTCGTAGCTAGATGTTGGGTAGATCAACTTTGCACTATACAGATCTGGTTGGTGGTTTGAAACATTTGGATTATTTGTCCATATATTGGGAATCATCATCCCAACTGACTAATATTTTAACCCCTCATGCGTCGCGAGCGCATGAGCAGCAGTCGTCCGCACTTCTGCATGGTGTGAAACAAGTGACTATTTTTTTTCAGAGGGGTAAGGTATACCACCAACCAGCAGATGCTTGCTGACTAATTGAAAGCCACAGATTCAAATTGAAACTGGATAGTTTTTAATGGACAAATCCAGAATTGGTGACTTGTTTCACAAAAGTCATTAAGCGGTTGCTACACCGTTAGGCCCATACTCCCCATGTGTGATTGGCGAAAGTACTATTTTTTATGCGGGATGTTACCCATTTCAACCCATTGATGTTGGCGATTTGTTGGGTTGATACACTTGGATACACTGTTTGTTGACTACCAATGTCTTATAACCATTCATATAAATATTGAAGATCCAAAAAAATGCAAAAAATGCATGACCTCATACCTTTCCTGTGTCAAACACATCCTCATCAAGGGGGTCCCCAAAAGATTGAACTTCTATTTGGGAGTTCCGAGAGAAGGGATAGTTGTTGCATTAGCATCCATTAAAAAAAAAACACATATAATCACCATGTTGATTGCGAACATAACATGCTACTATCGGTGGTGCCCCAGTTTGGAATCGCTAAGTTGGCGCAAATAACTCCAGTAACCTTCTTTTATGGCAGATATATCTATAGTTACTATGGGGTTAAATTTACCAACTTATACTGGTTGGTGGTTTGGAACATGTTTTGTTCCATATATTGGGAATTTCATCATCCCAACTGACGGACTCATATGTTTCAGAGGGGTAGGTCAACCACCAACCAGTATAAGTATGGTGGCACCACCACCTTGTAAGTACTAAGAAAATCCCAATATATGGAATGTATAATCCCACTTATAACAATTTAGAATTGGTAAACTTTAAACGGCCATAACTTGTTCATTGGGTTTCCCACGGCCCGAGGCTGGGATGATGGCAGTTGGTGGGCCTCGATGCCTCCCAGTATGGGAGGCGCAGCGGCAATGGTAAGGTTCACCTCGTGATTTTCTGTCCCTATGGATCAGCTACACGTTAAACATTGAATATAGTTACCCTCTGGTAAATTAACATAGACCCTGAAAATAGGCTAGTTATTAATGGAAACTAATCCTCCAACTCCTATCTTCCAGGGTCTATGTTAATTTACCAGAGGGTAATCCGTGTTATTAACCATAATTATAAAGCTAATTGGGAGCTAAGTACCTTCTGAAAGGAAGTGTAACTGGAGGGTTTTTTCTACTTTCTCAGACAGTGGCCGTGGGTCCATAGGGGTATATTTTTTCTGGGTAAATTGCTTGGACATCCCACCGATCAGATCCGTGGTTTGTAACCCATATATAACCCATATTTATATATATAACCGAGGGTTTTTCATCCATTTACTAAGTGGGTCCCGCACTTTTGAGTAGACAGTTTTTTTTCAATTTATAGATGATTTTCCAACAACTCCAAGAACTATGGCTTCTGGTGCGTATAAATACTGTATATTTATCAAAGGAAGTTTAGGGGGAGAAACTTCCGTGTTACGGACTTTTGGAATGTCAGGGAAAGAGTTAGTCAAAGAAAGAGTTAGTGAGGGAAAGAGTTAGTTAGGGAAAGAGTTAATTGTAACTTTTAGATTGTCAGGGAAAGAGTTAGTCAAAGGAAGAGTTAGTGAGGGAAAGAGTTAGTTAGGGACAGAGTTAATTGTAACTTTTAGATTGTCAGGGAAAGAGTTAGTCAAAGGGAGAGTTAGTGAGGGAAAGAGTTAGTTAGGAACAGAGTTAATTGTAACTTTTAGAATGTCAGGGAAAGAATTAGTCAAAAGAAGAGTTAGTGAGGGAAAGAGTGCCATTGTGATTTGCAACTGTAGGATCGTTCCCGCAATGTAAATGGGATTGCAAGTGGTGCTGGTGGATGAGTTGCCGATGGAATTCCATTGTGATTTGCAACTGTAGGATCGTTCCCGCAATGCAAATGGCATTGCAAGTGGTGCTGGTGGAGGAGTTGCCGATGGAGTTTTGAAGGAAGTCTCGCACGAAATGCGTTTTTGAGAGATAGCAGATGCACGAAACCCTATGTTTTCCATACAACGTCCGTCCCCGAACCTCGATGATCTACCTCTGCGGTGCGACGGTTGCGAGACGGTCTCGCGTGTGGTCGGATCATGGTCGGATCATGGTCGGATTTGTTCCGCAATGTAAATGGGGTTTCAACTGTTTTTCGTGCATGTGCGGTCGACGGAATTCCATTGTGATTTGCAACTGTAGGATCGTTCCCGCAATGTAAATGGGATTGCAAGTGGTGCTGGTGGATGAGTTGCCGATGGAATTCCATTGTGATTTGCAACTGTAGGATCGTTCCCGCATGGACATGGCATTGCAAGTGTTGCTGGTGGAGGAGTTGCCGATGGAGTTTTGAAGGACTTAAGTCTCGCACGAAATACGTTTTTGAGAGATAGCAGATGCACGAAACCCTATGTTTTTCCATACAAAGTCCGTCCCCGAACCTCGATGATCTACCTCTGCGGTGCGACGGTTGCGAGACGGTCTCGTGTCTGGTCGGATCATGGTCGGATCGGTTCCGCATTGTAAATGGGGTTTCAAGTGTTTTTCGTGCATGCGCGGTCGACAGAATTCCATTGTGATTTGCAACTGTATAGGATCGTTCCCGCATTGTAAATGGGGTTGCAAGTGGTGCTGGTGGATGAGTTGCCGATGGAATTCCATTGTGATTTGCAACTCTAGGATCGTTCCCTCACTGTAAATGGGATTGCAAGTGGTGCTGGTGGAGGAGTTGCCGATGGAATTCCATTGTGCTTTGCAACTGTAGGATCGTTCCCGCAATGTAAATGGGATTGCAAGTGTTGCTGGTTCATGAGTTGCCGATGGAATTCCATTGTGCTTTGCAACTGTAGGATCGTTCCCGCAATGTCTAGAAGGTTTCAAATGCTTCGGTGGACGAGCTGAGAACGTAATACCATTGTGTTTTGCTAGGGATTGTTGCTAATCGCATTGTAATGGCTGCGTGAACTTGCTGCAGCTGGATTCTTTCAGATTTTGGTTGCTTTCATTTTCTATTTAAATTCTTTATAAAAAACGCTTCAAAAATCAACTTTTCCTGCTCTGGCGTCGAGATCCGGTTTTGGAGCTACAATTTCCGACGCCGTTGCGCGTAGTTCTATTGTGTTTTGCAACTCAGTCTCTGCAGATCGCATTGTAATGGCTGCGTCAAGGTTGCTTCGTGCTGTGGCTGCATTCGTAATACTATTGTCTTTTGCAGCTGGATCTCGTAAATCGTCTTGGAGTGGCTGCATGAAGGCTGCGAAATGGATTTGTTAGCAGATTTTCTCCATTTTGGCACTAGTGTTTTTTTGTTGCACGTAGGTTTAGAGCAGTGTGAAGTGTGGGGCGTGAAGAGTGCAGTGTGAAGTGTGAAGTGTGAAGGAAGCAGTGGGAAGTGAGAAGTGCGAAGTGTGGAGTGTGAAGTGTGAAGTGTGGAGTGTGAAGTTTAAGTTTGGAGTGCGAAGAGCGCAGTGTGAAGTGTGAAGTGTGAGGTTTGGAGTGTGAAGGAAGCAGTGAGAAGTGTGAAGTGTGGACTGTGAAGTGTGAAGAGTGAAGTGTGAAGTGTGGAATGTGAAGTTTGAAGTTTGGAGTGCGAAGAGTGCAGTGTGAAGTGTGGAGTGTGGAGTGTGAAGACTTTGCTTCGTCTCTCGCTGAAAAAAAAGCCGCTTGTCGAGGGAAGGACACGGTCAGGACAGGTTGTCTTCGAACTATAGGTCATTTATTTTTGGGAAACTTCCGCCGCCGGCTTGCCCGGGTACTAGTATATTATATACAAATGGGGATATTGCATATTTAACCAAGGGTATAAGCCATTTACTTTTTATCCCATATACAAATGGGGATATTGCATATATATATATATATGTATATAACCGAGGTACAACCCCTGTACTTTTGATCCCATATACAAATGGGGATATTGCATATATAATCGAGGGTATAACTAACCCATTTACTAAGTGGGATGCACCCCCGAGTAGACAATGAATGAAATTTATAGATGATTTTCCAATAACTCCAAGAACTATGGCAACTATGGTGCTTATAAATATATTTGATGTGGGTTATAATTATACACTGGGTAAATTTGATCACGACCTCACGTCGCGACGTCACTGGAACGATGGTTAGTATATACTTTGCGCATGTTGCTGCTGGGGTCTCTGGAGGATTGATTGGTTGGGGCCTTGGGTTGCCCCCTGCTTTTGCTCTTCCTGGTGGAGTCGTGAGTGGGGTCATTGGAGCGGGTTTGACGCATGCCCTTTGGGCACAATGGCCTGAGTCTCTGTGGGCAGCTCCTAACGACATTGAGAGGGCTGCCAGGGTAGGACAGTTAGTTTCACTAGGCATTTTGCCGGCTTTGGCGATTTTGGTCCGGCCGTGGCGCCGGTGATGTTGTGTGCTAATTTGGTGCATGTTTGGAGTGGGAGGGGATGACACCGGTATAGGCAGTGGCTGTCCCTCGGAAGTCCGGGTCCGTGCATTAAGTACATCCGGGGCGAGGGGATACTGGGTTGTTCATCCTTCACTGGGGCAATTAAGAATTCAACCAAAAATCAAAACCAAATACAAAAATTCAAATTGAAATAAAAATATATGTTAATGAATTGTTAAGGCCCTTGAGGGCCGCAAATCGGTGGGCTTGAGGAAAATGGATGGATGAATTCTTTGTGTGTAGTGAATTATTGTTTTCCCAGAAATATCTACATATCTGGTTGGTGGTTTCAAACATTCTTTATTTGTCCATAATATATGGGATAATCATCTTCCCATTGTCTTTCATATTTTTCAGAGGGGTAGGTCAACCACCAACCAGATATGGATGGAATGGAACACAATCCCACATGACTCACATGACATCCAATGGGGACACTTTCCAAACTTCCCGACATTTTGAGCACTTCAAAGTGTACCATTTTAGGAGTAGGATTTCCTACGGGCACTTTACGGCACATCAAACGGATATTTACGGCACTTTTACGGTCATTTTTGGAGCAAAAGATGAAGTGCCTTTATTTTTTGGTGTGAGAATTGGAAAGTGCCACAAAAATGGGCTACTAGGCCAAAGTAGCCTGAAACAATAGGCAACTACGTCTTTCCAGGTAGCTATGAAAAATCACCACTTTTAAATATAAGTGGGCCAGTTGCAATAGCAAACTCTTAAATCACTAGATGGCAGATAATGTCAACCCTGGATTAATAAACCCCTAGGCTGTTTAATTGGGAGGGTACCATTTAAGTATTGGATTATGACTATTGGAGGAGTACCCCCTAATTAGTAAACCATGGTTTATTAATCCGGGGTTGACATTATAGAAAAACTTGTGGGTTTCCCAACGCTTCAGCATCGCCCAGCCATCCCAGGCCCACCCTCCGTCCCCTTGCAGCCGATTCCCACAGTGGCGCCAGCAGATGCTGCAGCTGCGGCCACCGCTGGCACCGCGCCCGCAGATGCCGCACCGGCGCAGTGGGAACCTTAGAGCAGAAATGCGGTGGATCGCACCAAAACAAATCCTGTTGCTTGATGATTACAGAAAATTTTACTATCCAATATCTGATTGGTGGTTTGGAACATGAATTTAATTTTTCCATATAATCCCTTCCTCCTAATACTAAACCCCCCCCCCTTAATACAAAACACGGCAGGTAGTTTTTAGTATTAGGGGGGTATTTATTATTAGGGAACCAAATCGAAGTCATGTTAATTAATTAATTAAATTTCCTTATATAACGCAATTAAAATATTGCCAAAAATGGCAGTTCGAAGCTTACCCCTAATACTAAATTAAAACCCTTAATACTAAAAACTATTTTTTCCGATCTCAAAATCAATTAAATTTCCTTATATAACGCAATTAAAATATTGCCAAAAATGGCAGTTCGAAGCTTACCCCTAATACTAAATTAAAACCCTTAATACTAAAAACTATTTTTTCCGATCTCAAAATCAATTAAATTTCCTTATATAACGCAATTAAAATATTGCCAAAAATGGCAGTTCGAAGCTTACCCCTAATACTAAATTAAAACCCTTAATGCTAAAAACTATTTTTTCCGATCTCAAAATCAATTAAATTTCCTTATATAACGCAATTAAAATATTGCCAAAAATGGCAGTTCGAAGCTTACCCCTAATTGCTAGAGTAGCCAGGCAGCTTGGAGTGAGGGTTTGGGACTAGGCCCCCCTAATACTAAACACCCCGGGGTGAACTAGTTTTTAGTATTAGGGGGGAGAACCCACAAATGGTAGGTTGATTTTTAAATTGTTTTTTAAAGGGGATCAATTAAAAGTCAAATTGGCCAAACTGAAATTTTCGGAAATTGGAGATGGATGCCTGTTTTTAGTATTAGGGGGACGTTTAGTATTAGGAGGAAGGGATTATTGGGAATAATCATCCCAACTGACTTCCATGTTTTTCAGAGGGGGTAATGGATTATCAAAAATCCATTGGGTGAATCCCCATTCACCAAGCAGTAAAAAGTGAATAGACCGGTGCTCAATTGAGCCACATTTAAAAATACCTCTGTTCATGGTTTACTTTGTTAGGGGTCATACTAAGTGGCCTAATGGGTTCCACGATACGGCCCCCCATGATACAAGTAGACATATTTAGTCACCACAAGTATAATGTTTTTTTTTTTTTAATGGGAGGGAATACGGTTCTTTTTCATGGCTCACTTGGGGTTAGCTAAATCCATGGAAAGATATTGGACATGGACATATCTAAAATGAATACAAACTACAGATTTTAATCCGATCGCTTTGTCGTGAACATGGACAAAGTTGACGTGATCTTCTTCATGGTTATCTTTGAAATCCATTGGTTGTCTCTTACCAATCATTCGCCATGAGTGATGATTGTTTTTTGTACAAGATTGGTACTTTGGTGTCCCCCGTTCATGCTAGTTTGTTTGCAACCCAAAAACCCCCTTTTAGTAAACCCACCCCAAATATTCAAAACTAGGGTCCGTTTTCAAGTTTGGGAAATTTGAGGTTGGCCAATTTGATGTTTAATTGATCCCCTTTAGATAACAATTTAAATATGAAGGTCCCATTTGTGTTTTTTTCCTACTAGGGTCCATCCGTAAAGAAAAGAATACGGTCTTCAATTTAGTATTACCGGAAGATTCGAAATCCCATTTTTGGCAATATTTTGCTAAGATCAAAAACAAGATTTCGCGATATTTTTGTTGTGTTTTTTATTTGGAAGGTTTTCTATTAGATTTAATATATTAGAGGGAAGCTTCGCACCCTAACACTAAATACCACCGAATAATAACAAATCCTCCAGGCGTTTATTATTGGGGGTGGGGGGACGGTTACCCCTAAATCATCCATTTTAGATGGGGATTTTCCATGATAAACCAACCATGTTTGGATACATCATTTATGGAAACCCCATACAATTTACTGGTTGGTGGTTTCAAACCATTTTTTTCCATTTCATATATGGGATCATCATCTTCCCATTGACGAACTCATATTTTTCAGAGGGATAGGTCAACCACCAACCAGTTTATCATTGGACATGTGTTTTTTGCTCAGGGTGTTGTTTGATTTCCAACTTGATGGATCCGATCCACCCAGCGAATTCCAGAGATGTTGAACTGTTGGACCTTTCCTGGTGATAGGGTGATTTCGGGAGGATATCAACCCAATTGGTGTGTTGGGATATGGTGCTCCTATAACTATACAATGTGAGGCCCCCCAGTGATGTGAACGTTGGTTTAGATTCGCCCCAGTAACTAGTTCGCTATAAGTACCTTAAACCATGGTTATTGGAGTTATAAACCAACGTAGCTATCTTGGGGGCCTCACATTGTAGTTATCTGGGTAAATTTGATCACGACCTCACGTCGTTCTCCCGAACCCTGGAATCATGGTTTATTTTAGAGGAATCATCCCAAAATGGCCCAACATTTCAGGTAAGTGAATTATTTTAATTTGCCCAGAGTTATATCATGTTATATATCCATTAGGTCGCTGAAACTGCATTTCCAAGTAGAGGTCCGATCTGGAGAAAGATTCTCCTCAGAAACTCGAGGTTGAGCCGGAGTGGGTGAGCCAGTTGCCACTGGCATTGGCAGTAGAAATGCGTCTCAAAATGCGCTAAGCTAGAAGCATTGGCGAGCAGAGTCAAACTGGACATTGACACGGAATTTCTGCGCAAGTATTCCGAGAGCATTATTTCATACTGTTCTGATTACGGAACAGAGAGCACCTGCCCAGAAGTTCCCAGCCAGTCATCTCCAGCTCCACTTCAGGAAGTGGCTGGTGTCAGCCTGGCAGCTTCTAGCTCTGGATTCCCTTGGTGCTCACGAGACGTGTTGAATCTGCGTAGTGCAAATCATTCACACCCAGACGCTTCAGACTCCATTGTTTTTTTTTTCACTTGTAAATTGTTGATCTGAGTTTGTTCGAACTCTCCCCTTTTGGCGTACACAATATGAAAATTACTTCCTTTCTACAATATGTATACCTGCGTTTTAGTTTCACACTGTGTGGAATAGTATGATAGGTATATTGGCATGTTCATTCTCTGATGGTATATTTAATTGGCTATAATCACGCCATTGCGGAAAAAAAGACGGTATTTTATGCGGATATGTCACCCGATAGATCAGCCGTTTGAGATTGATGGATTTATCCCCAAATTTTGTCCAATTTTGACCATCTTAATTTTAAATGGGTGAAAAACCATTTATGGTGATTTGAGGGAGCAATATCATTATTGTGTAGATGTAGACAGTTGTCCGAAAATGACATCATGTCATTCCTGTAATGAGGATGAGATTTTGAAAACACTGATTTTTATGGATTGGGGGTCATTGCGCTGCTTTGAAACAAGCCGGGAAATTAGCAAATCGATTGAAGAAGTTAGGATTGATGATTATAGATAATATAGAGCTGCCTATATTTGGGGCAATCCCTACAAGGTGGTGCCCCAGTTCGTTAGCTAAGTTAGTTTATAAGTCCAATAACTAAGGTTTGTGGGGGTTATATCTATAGTTAATGGCAAGGTAATGGGGATTATAAACCAACACACATGTCTGGGAGGGTACCACCTTGTGTCATTCATAGTCTATAGTATTCATTGAACATTCACGGTGCTAATACAATTTCGACACTAAATTCTCCAAAAAGATCTGGTTGGTGGTTTCATGGGATGATGATCCCTTGTGAGTTTTGTCCATGTTTCCAGCTCATTTTACTATAGTAAATTCCCACAAGAAGGTGCCGTATAGTTGGAAAAGTTAGGCACTCCAATCACTCAGGGATTTTGGGGGTCACACATCGAACTCGTTTATGGGAGTTGTTTGAACCACCAAGCATGGTACTACCCTGCGTTGCAAGTACAGAATCCTTATGTTTGTTCGTTTACTAGTAGATTTGATTTGTAATCCTATATTTGCTAGTGAATTCCTATTGTAGCTGTTCAAGTCCTGCAGTTATGGCCCTTTACCAGTTATAAGTCAGTTATAACATGTTATAACCCTATTTATGGAATGATAATGTATGATAATCCAATTTATAGACATTTACAACTAATAAAGGGCTTTGACTGTGTATAATTCCCGGTAATTTTTCAGAGGCAGCCTGGTCTCAGGTCGCTGGTTCCGGTTGGGGACATGAAGGATTGGGGCAGGGTCCATTAGATGGGTGCAGCACAAAATGTGCTGGAACTAAGGAATTACTAATTACTCACTGGACAATTGATTTTGCTGCTGGATATACATATACAGCATATACATATATGTATAGTTAAATGTGTGTGTATATATATATACATACATACATACACGCCGTATATACAAGTTCACCCGGTTCTACATGGAAACATGCATCACACACCTTGTTGTCCAACAGCTATAATTAGTGCATTTCCAGGGACACACTTGTTTGACAACTATATATTAGACATGTTCATATGTTTTTTCTAAGATTTATTTTACCAAATATATTGTACAACTAAGAAATAAATCTATTGTTTTATGTGTTCATATGTTTCTTGTGCAGGGGCTGCTTTCCTAATGCAGTTCACCCAATACATGATTCCATGACAAAGAAACTTGTTAAACATGTGCATTAAAGAGGCTGTGCATGTATCCTTTGAGCAACAAGATATGTGTATAATGGTTTATATAACTGGTTGGTGGCTTGGAACATTTTTATTTTTCCAGATATTGGGAATTTCATCATCCCAACTGACGAATTCATATTTTTCAGAGGGGTAGGTCAACCACCAATCAGATAATAATACAGGCTCAAGTTTGGTCCATGGGGTGTTCTTTTCTCATTGTAATGTCAATGAGGAGAATGATATCAACAAGTAAGAGTGCAGAAAGGGGACTCCACATGGTTTTTGTTTGTTTAGTAACAGTTTCATACCATTGTAGGTCTAAGCACGAAAAACGACAGCAAAGATACGTGGGAGTACAGTTGGGGCTACTAGTGGGTATAACCATGGCGATAACCTCTATAAGTTTGGATATAACCTATGGTTTTGGGAGCCAGGAGTAGTACTGAGATTTGCAGCTGATCCTTTCATCTGCCCATCCAGTTCCACCATGGGTAGGATCCACTTGACTTAGCATTGCTGAGCCATTGAGAATAGCCTGATTATCTGATTGATGAGTCATTATAGGGAGTTGTGCTACCTGGCTTATTGAGATTTTGGCACAACCAATAATAATATTTACATATAGTTACTAACTTGCCAACTAGTATAATGAGATGAGGGGATTTCTTAATGGCTCCCTTGTGTGATTGAAAGCCCCGGGCCGGCCTTGTTTGTTACTCGAAGGCCCACATGATCCACATGATCAGTTGTTTCTCGTTTCAGATTCTCCCCTCTTTTAGAGGTTTCTCAACTTGGAATAAACTACTTTCAAAATGTTTTGCCACATGAGGTACAACGTGGTAATTCTAAATTGTTATGATATTTATATAACTACCATGAATCTTACTTGGTCTACTGATAAGCCAACCAGCCGAGATTGGGCACCGTGTACCAAAAAAGCCCCCTGGCATTGGCAGACGCGCAGGAAGAGGTTCAGAAGTTCTGTGAAAAGTTTGCAACCTGGCTCAGCAGACGGTGGATGGTATGTTGGCACAGGCTGAATGGGTTTTTCCAGGTTTTAGCCGGTTCAGGTCAGGCTGGAGAAAGGTGACAGAACAAGGGCAGAGTTCGTGATTCAAAGATTTTTCAAAGTATATCCCAATATTTCCGCATATATTGATGAGTTTTTAAGTTGTTTTCTTATTTGAGTTTCTTTTGAGGGAACGGCTTGGGACATTTGGAACCACCAACTCCCCTTTGGTAATCCACGTTGCCGCCTTCGCTTCTCAGAGAGTGAATCGATATGTGTAGGAAATTCAACTCTTCAATCAATTTTGGGAGAAATAAACATTTCCTGCAGCAAAGTGGGGCCTAAGTTGGTGAACATAACTCCGATTTCACTATGGTTTATGATACTTGTAGGGTGAAGCCATAGCAAGAAACGTAACAGTTGTGGGCCCGACATTGTGTGGGACCCCTTCCATGTGCGTTGGTCATTCATCTCCTTGAGACTAAGGAGTTGAATGAAGATAATCAAAAAGCCATCATCGCATCGTTGGAGAAGTCTCTTGGTGTTTTTCGGGTCAGGGGGAGTGGATGAGTACAAGGTGGTGCCCCCATAGTTATAAGTTGGTTTATAATCCCACTAAGTGTAGATATATCACCTATAAACCATAGTTATTGGTTGGAGTTATAAACCAACTTAGCTAACGAACTGGGGCACCACCTTGTGATCCTCAAGGTCCTTGGCTGATGGCTTCTGAATAAACCTTGGCGCAGGGAGTTTGATAGGTCATCAACAATGGGGGAAACGGGGGGAATCATTTACCCTCTGCTAAAATAACGGTTAGCTATTGAAGCCATGGCCATAGAAATAGTTGATTTACCCAGCTATAAAATGGTGGTTTTCCATAGTTATGTTAGTTTACCAGAGGGTATTTGTTGCTAAAGTATGCTAAAGTCAGCACTTGTGGTTCCAAGTATTCATGTTGACCTATGGAATTGAACAAAGGCCACCGGCAAAGACACCTATAGAAGTGGAAAATCACAACTTTCATAGGAAAACCATCGATTCGCAGGATTAAGAAGGAAGGGAATCGGATTCCAGAATTGCTTGAGGGGAAATTCTGTAGGAAACCCCATCTTCGGGGATGGTTTCCCATTTTTACATTGAAAGGATCATCAAATCTAAGGTGATGCACTTGCGGTACAATTAGTGCATCAATCTTGGCAGATGTTGTAAAGTTATAAGATGTTATAAGTTATAAGCAACACTTTTGATTTCACCTAGCTGATGATTGAATTGTTTCTGGACGCAGGAGTGGTGTAGAGGGTTCGCTGCAATGATAGAGTAGCAGTATTTTCGTTGGGAGGGTGGTGACTATCAATCTATCAATCCAACAATTTATACATACAAATACAAATACAATACAATACAATACAAATACAAATACAAATACAAATACAAATGCAAATAAATACAAATACAGTACAAATACAGTACAAATACAGTACAAATACAATACAAATACAAATGCAAATGTAAATACAAATACAATACAATACAATACATACAATACATACAATACATACATACCTACATACCTACATACCTACATACCTACATACATACATACATACATATGTACGTACGTACCTACGTACATACATACATACATACGTACGTACGTACATACATACATACATACATTCATATTTATACATATATATATATATATCATAATTGAATTAAAACATATTAATCGATATAGATGTATTTATTTGTTTTTTATTCATTTATTTATATATATTGATTGATTGAAGTTGTCATCGTGTTCAAAGGGCGCCGGTATGGATTGAATTCCTTGACCCCCAGAAGCGGCTTCTTGGTACTCAAACAAAGCAATTGTGTTGGTCGTTGGCACCCAATCTTGGACTCTACCCATAATTCAAGAGGGAAAAGCATGTTAAAGGACGTTGACTCACCACCACGAAGAGATCTGGCTTTGGTCATTCTGAGCAAAACTGCTGAAGGTGGGGTGGGTTCAAGTTAGACGGGGCAAAAATCCGCGCCAAGGGCCAAGGGGAAAGTCTAGACAAAGACAGAGACAAAACAGACAGTACAACTACGAACAAGCAAGATCCACAAGACACGCCGGCAGGCCGGCGGATTATGTACATAAATGAAAATGAATCCTCATGGAATAGACGATCCGCTACAACTGGTGCATGACCCGCCAAGATTGGGAAAACTGAGACATGATAGTAAAGCATGCTGATGCTGAGATACAATGCACGACATAGATCAGATATCAGGGTGTTTACCCTTCCTTAAGCCTGAGCAAATAATATATAGGATACTTTTTTCAAACATAAGAAATATCAAATAAGAAAAAATGAACATCCGAATATCCTCGGAAATCTCAGAACCAGATATTTATTGTCCATCCAGCATGTCGAAGATTGAACCATAGACCGAACAGTTATTGACTATTTTTCCGCTAGATTTAACCATTAGTAGCCATGGATTTAACCATATGTTCGAACCATTGTTAGATTCACCATACCATTATTATCCATAGGCTTAACCATCTTAGCCCTAGATTAACCATTATGAACCATAGATTTAACACCATATTAACCATAGATTCTCCGAAGAATGCTTCTGTGTTTCCGACGAGTTTCCAGGTGTGGCGAGGTCTGGGTGCAAGATTTGAGGGAGCTGGACCATGCACTCTCAAAGGTGCGACCGCGAAATCGACGCCAGGTTTTGTCTGATTTAGGGTTACAGCCAATTTAGGAAACCTCCATACCATTGGGGATATTCCATGGCGAAAAATAACCACTGGTTGATGATGATGGTTATCCCACTTTTTGACGGTTATCCCACTATAGTGGCTATAAATGATGGTTAATGATGGTTAATAATCTCTGCTTGGTGGTGACTGGAACATGGCTGGATGATTTTCCCCAATAGTTGCGATGATGAATGATGATCCAATCTGACTTTCACTCCATGATTTTTCAGGGGGGTAGGTCAACCACCGATCGATGAAATTTCGGGAACCCCAGAGATTTAACCAACCAATTTTCGGGATGAACAAACGGGGTTATGGTGATGGGTAACAAAACATATCTCAGATTAGTGAGCTGCGAGACGAGACACAGGTGTGCTTGGTGCAGGGACTAGTCATGGGTACAACTATATGTAGTAACCTGCATAAGTTGGGATATAATCCCACAACTATGGTTATAAAAGTTACAAACAACATTATCACTCACACAATTCTGTGACAAACAACTCTCTCACTTACATGCAACTCCGTCAAACGCAACGTTGTTGCATACCACTCTATCACACGCGCACAACGGGCTCAGTGGCTGTTTGCTGATGTTCACGATTTCTGGGTCCCGCAGCCTCAAGAAATCATTTTAGAACCACCAAAACGAAAATATGGGTTTGTCTGGGAAAAAAAACACGCAGTATCCTTAAAATCATCCATGAATCACCATTTCTCCTAATATACTGGTTGAACATGGGTTGTTGAGAGATCGTGGGGATATTGCGATTAACCAACCATGTATAGTAAATCTATCATGGGAACATTATCTGCCATGGTTTATAATGACTGAATCTATCATAACCGGTGTATATACCATGATGTACGCAATAAATTCCAGTACACATTGATGCACTCCCAAGTACTAAGCAACATGAAATTTGCTCAATTTGCACTGTTCATTGTCATTGAATGACAACTGGTTTGCACTACCCATTCTCATCCCCATAAAATGGTAACATTAATGCACTAATCATCATCTGGTCGGTGGTTTGGAACAGTTTTTATTTGACCATATCTTGGGAATAATCATCCCAACTGACTATTTTTTCAGATGGGTTGAAACCACCAACCAGGTAACAATAATGCACTAATCATCATGTTTAACCCATATGCAACTTTTATCACGGCGTATATTCCCTTGTGATCTAACTGGCATATGGCAATGTGGCCCTCCGCCCAGTGATGTTAGGTGGTGTTTAAACCTCATAAAAATGTTACCCTCTGGTAAACTAACATAGCTATTGAAAATTGCCATTTATAGTGAGTTTTCCCATTAAAAATTGTGATTTTCCATAGTTTTGTTAGTTTACCAGAGGGTATAGTTACAAGTGCCATAAACAATAGTGAAATTATTATGTTCACCAACCAACTTAACGATTTGCTATCACGAGGACCCCACTTGGGTTGGGTTTATGTGTTTTTTCCATTGTGGGATGGATGACCAGAAACCATATATACATAGATACATATATACATACAATGTGGGGCCCTCCAGCTATAAGTTGGTTTATTTAGTTTATTTAGTTATGTTATCAACCAACTTAGCTATCGTTTGGGGGCCGCACGTTGTATATTTATTCGCATGTGAGCTGCTCCGCACATCCACTGGGGCAGGCCCGAAACCCTGCCACGCTGCTTCAAGCGCGACTGCGTGAGATTGAAGCCCTGAGAGGCTTCAAGGACAAGGTCAGGGGCATGGGAAGACCTTTTTTTACAAAGCCAACTTGGTTCATATGGTTAACTAATATGGTTAATAAAGTTAAGACTTGTTTTTTCCAATTCACTGTAGTTTACGGTACTTGGAAATATATTGGAGTTATGTTTGCTAACTTGGCTATCGTTTGGCGGCCCCACTTTCTACGGAACCAAGCACAATGATGGTTTTACCCGGTGTTTTACCATGCAAAATGGTGGTTTGGCCACGAAGCATGATGGTGTTACCGTGCAGTGAGATATAATGGAGATTTAATGGGAATCTAAAATGGAATAACGTGGGAATATACACATGGGATTACAATGGGATACCAATATTGTGACTGTTGTAAGATTGTAAGCCATTGCAATTGGGATATAGCTGCTATAACCAACAAAAATGGTGGTTCAATCAACCAGAAATGGTGGTTGAACATGATTTAAGCAGCAAAGATAGGGACTAAACATTATTGAAACAACCAAAAATTTGGTGATTGTTTTCTATATGATGATTGTTTTCTATCTGGTTACTAGTTGGTTTATAACCCCATGATACAATGTTATATAGATTTGCCATAAACCATGGTGGCATCTTACTTATTTCGACCAATTTTGACAACGAAAAGTACGTTGAGTTCCCATTAAGTTCATGGTTAAACCATGTTAAACCATCATGTTTGCATCCCGGTTGCTTGACATTATACAACGCGGTGCCTGCATGAAGTTTCGAGAGCTTCTCAATGCACATCAAGATCTCCGTGACAGATAGGTGTCTTGTGTGGCACCTTTCACGGACGCCCTCAGGAGCTCAATCAACACTTGAGATGTCATCACAGTGCCCTCATCCCGCATGTGTTTGCAAAGATGGCCCAACTGTGCCGTGCGCAGGTCGCGAAATTAACCATGGCACTACTGTGGCAAGTCCTTTCAGCGTAGTCACATGTGCCCGGTTTGGACACAAATTGCAGTGTTGCTGATCAACCTTGCCCCGTGTGAAGTGTGCCGCCTCAGTTTCCCAGACCTTCCCAGCATGCAACAGCACCTGTCACGGGCCCACAAACTTGAGCCCAACGACTGGATTCCAGCTCGTGATCTTCTTGTTGCTGACCCTGTATGTGCCCATTGCCTGACATGCTTTTCTGACAAGGCAGCGGTGAGACAACACAGGCAGCACGTGGCCAGCGCACCCAATTTGATCCCAACAAAGCGCCGTAGCTGCAGCTGAGGCCTGGAAGACCATTGTCCAGGAAGGAACAGTCCCTGCTGGCCCCTATGCAAAGACTGGCATTGACACTCAAGTGTCAAACATGTGGCATGAGTTTTGACAGACACAGTGACCTGGTGCTTCACTTACAAACAGTGCATTCGTTGAGCTGGAACCCCACCCACAATTGCATGTCACGGATGTTGCAGACTTGTCAAACCTGGGATAGCTGTTACTGCAACCCCAGCACCACGAGAAGTGTGTCAAGCCTTCAGGCAATTGGCCATGCTGGCCCAACGCGTTGAGGTTGACCTGTTTTTGCTTATACCCATAATGTTTCACACATGTATCCCCATGAACCATTGAAACCCCTGTGGATTTCCCTGCGTTTTTTTTTCTGCAGGCCAAAGCAGGGCACCTTCCTGGCTGCATGTGCCCTACCTGCAAGGCTGGCGAAGCTGGGGCCGAAAATTCCTGGTTTAATCAGCTAATTTAGGAAAATGCCCTGATTGATTGGTTTCTATAATGACTTATACTAGCTAATTTACTGGGGATGATGATAACCCATAGGAGGGAAACCGTTTTCAACCAACTAGTATAAACCACCCATGACTGGGAATTGTTTACACTATACCACCTATAAAAATGGTGATTTTTCTGGGGGATGGTAAACATGGAATTGTTTTACCCATTTTTCAGTGTCAAGTTCGTGTTAATCAACAATTGTTTCCTGTGTGGGGGTTCATTAATCCCTACAGTAGTGGGTTTCTGAATACTGACTTTACACTATAAGGGAAAGGTAAGTTAGATGATCTCCTGATGTGGGTGTGTCTGAAAATGGAGGATACCCATAAATGGCCACTTTATATAATAGGAACAACAATCATGTGTGTTTTTTTCCAAGGATTAGTCAGCGAAAAATGGGGATACCACCCATCAACATTATTTGGATTGTTGGAAACTTGCGTATAGAGCGAGATTCACGCAGTTTCATCTTTGAGCCGCACAGGGAAGAAGACGGTGGTGGAGCATCAAAGATATGCAGGGTGAACCAGGACAGGAAACCGTCCGCCGCAATGTGTCGGCGAACATCCTTGCCTTGTTGTGCCCAGTTCTTCCACTCCTTCATCGCCAAGGATGAGAACAATCATCAATGATTTCTGGTGGACTTCGAGATTGGTACGGTGGTCAGCCAGGATTTCTGGTGAGGCCCAACCATGTGCGAACCGAAGACAAGCGAACGACACCTGCAGGGGAAATCTCATGACATCTCCATTGATTTATGTACCCTCTGGTAATTTAACATAGCGATTGAAAATGGCCCATTGATAGTGGATTTACCCATTGAAAATGGTGAATTTCCATAGCAAAATGTTAGTTTACCAGAGGGTAACTGTTCAAGTTATTAAAAAAAAAGCATAACTAAATTGTGACTTCATCATTTGGGAGTTGCTCAGAGTAGTAGATCGGGTATAGATCATGCTAGCTGCTGAAAGCACGTGCTTTCCACAAACCAATTCAACTTTCAGCACGAGAATCCCTCAAAATAAAGAAGTCACGTGAGCCTGTTTTTGGGGATTCTGAAGAGAGGGATTCGGCAATTGGATTAACCACTTTCATTGGGGTATGCTAGTACTGTAGCTACAACTATAAAACAGTGCTAGGCTAAGTATCACCGATACAGTGAATTATTTAAGCCCCTTTGATTCTTGGATAAATTATAAATGTATTTTTTCTCTGGTATTATGTTCCGATCAAATCACTATTTATCGCCGGTTGAAACACTAAATGAAATCATGTGTTTTGCTGGTTAAATGTTTGAAAGACTATGTTCCACGAAATCCAGCACATGTTGTTAATTTTAACTAAAGAATCAATTCTATGTTTTTTTGGATATATCGTTCCAGTTGAAATCACTATGTTCGTGTTGCTGCCTAAATCGCGCCTAAATCATCCTTGGATGGTGCCCTATAGGAATCGTTAATCAGTGAACAAGCATATTATAACCCATGATCCTCGTGGCTAGTAATTATCATAATCAATAGCCACTAAGAGCCATATTATAAGCCAGTCATATATATATATATTAATGAATGTTCACATCATATTATTCACATCTTATCTATATTCATAGTCAGTTTTGAGACTTTTTGAGACACACCTGACACATATGCTTCGTAAATCGGCACATCTGTACGGCACATTTTGCACCACTTGCTAAGGTCGGCGCATGTGAATGTTGGTATTCCAAGGAGCAAGGAACTGATAGCATGATATATTAACTGCCATAGACTAATTCATGAATCCAGTTAGTCCAACTGAGATGAAACTTATATACATTTGTATACCTTTTCTGCAACCAAATATAAATCATATAAATTAATGTATTATGTCTTTATAATTAATGTGGGATCCCTTACATACCATTTGGTTTACGAATCCCATTAAGTATAGTTGTAAGTATCATAAGCAGTAGTTAGTGGAGTTACACCAGCTTAGCTGACTTAGCTATCGTTTGCGCAGGCCCCACTTTGCCCATAAACCCTCGTTTCCATTAGTGGATGGTGGTTTGTTTTTATTTTTTGATTTTCCATAAGTTGGGAATTTCATCATCCCAACTGACGAAGTCATATTTTTCAGAGGGGTGGCTCAACCACAATAGTTATTTGCGTATCATACACGATGGTTATTGTAGTTAGTTTTCATATTTTTCAGAAGGGGTAGGTCAACCACCAACCAGATTATAATTCCATTTTTCGTGGGGTAAATTTAAGGATCTTTCATAGGTATGGTGGTTTCAATGGGATTAGGATGGGAAAAATAATAGCCATAACCCTCGAGTCACAGCTAGTCCAAACATCCAAACAACTAAATCATACATATATATATATATTACTTATATATAATATAATATTTAATTTAATATAATATAATATAATGTAATGTAATATAATACAATATAATTTAATGTAACATCATGTAATATAATATAATATAATATAATGTAATATAATATAATGTAATATAATGTAATATAATACAATATAATTTAATGTACATAAAATAATGTAATAAAATATATTTTATATATATTTATATTACACCATCCCAAAAAACAACACATATAGAACCCCTGTAAAAGGCCGTTGTTTTTGATGCCCCACCTTGTTCACTTCCCCCGGTGCCAGGAGCTCTCCTTCGCCCGCGCCCTGGGTCCGCTGGCTGCGTCGGACAACGTCTCCGGTGCGTCGGCGAAGAGTCTCAACGCTGCGGCGCTCTTCGCGTACCAAAACGAACAGGACCATGGGAAAACCGTGGGAAAACCATGGGAAAACCATGGTTTTCCCATGAAGATTATCACTGGTTATTTCATGGGAAATATCATGGAATATGGTGATGAAAAATGGCATTGAAACCAGTCTCTAGGTCAATGAACTGGATGGGTAGGTAGGGATACCCGGCCTGGTAAACATTCACAGCTTGCGAACTTGAAAATGGCCCAGTTGAAACAGTGAGTTTTCCCATGAAAAAATGATGATTTTCCAGTTCGCAACATGTAAACGTTTACCAGAGGGTAACCCCACAACCCCTCAACCTTGATCATCATTTCGAATGGTTGGTGGATCCCCAAGGCATCATACTTTTCGTCATGGCCGAGTCAATGGGTGTTAAATGGGGAGTTAAATATAGAAAACATTTATTAATGAACCACAATTATGTTTTTTTGTTTTTTTAAATCCCCTATATGTTTATTTAAAATTATTTAAATGGGGAGTTACTGTGTTTAGTTGGAGGCCCTGAAATCACTATGAGTCACTATGAGTTGGCCTGTCACGCGAGAAATCGGCCTGTCTTGTTGGGAGAAAATCGGCCTGGAGGTGTCCTTTTTCGTCATGGGGGATCCCTAGTCGTCACCATGGTTGTTTCGATACCAGTCGTCATGGTCATCCATGACGATTTGGATGATGACTGGGAGTAGCTGCATGTTTTAGGAAACCTCCGTGACTGTGGTCATGCAAGGTGGATGGTCCCATAGTTATGTGAATGTTGGTTTACAATCCCCATGAATATTATAGATATAACCCCCATTCATCAACCCAAACGTGGAATTGGACTTATAAACGCAACTTAGCGTTCACGAACTGGGGCACCACCGTCTCGTGGGTTTTTTGGGCCATTCAAACATGAGGATTTCATGGCAGTTTCATTGGAGATTCATGGGAGGGTTTTTTCAAAGTGGGTTCACTTTGCCATTTCTGCCAGGGGAGATAGCAACTTTAAGAAGATACCAATTTTGAGACCATGTTGAAGAGAAGATACCAACTTTAAGAAGATACCAACTTTAAGAAGATACCATGGTGATCAATGTTTTGGGACAAACCCCTGTCAAATTTTGAAGCAGAGTTTTATTGATCCCCCAGTGTGACCACAGGTATTTATATCGACGAAACATGAGAGCAGTAGAATGTGGGGATAACCCCAGTGATGTTAGTCGCTTCATAACCCCCATGAATACTATAGTTTCAAGTATCATAAAGCATACTGATTGGAGATATGATCACCAACTTAGCTATCATAAATCAGCTATAAATCCCATGAAATCAGCATTGTTGTTGGTTATGACAGTATTCAACCACCAACGAATCAATGGGAATTTCAGGACCTAAAATGAAGGTACTGTACCATATAAAGCCATATTTTTGGGGATATATCCCCTTACATAGCCCTAAAAATAGGCTTTATATATGGTAGGTACCTCCAATCAATCGGTTCTTGAGTCATGGCCATTGAACTAACTTACAAGGTGGTGCCACCATAGTTATAAGTTGGTTTATAATCCCCATTAACCCCCTAATCAACCCTAGTTATTGGACTAATTCGCACCAACTTAGCTAACTGTGGGGCACCACCTTGTAGTATCCAGATTCCAGATTCGAATTCTTTACGGTTGGGAATCGATGGGAAACACCAAGGCGAACTGGCTTTTACCATCGAACTAACTTAGCCATTGATGTGAATGTTGGTGAACAAAATCCCCATGAATACCATAGTTTAAGTATCATAAACCATAGTTATTGGGGCTATCCTCCGCACCATTGAACCAACTGAGCGATTTCGTAAGCAAGTTAGTTTGCAGATGGTGCTGAAGACCCAGGTGGATCTGGGGATGTTGCGCACATTGACCAGCAGGAGAAAAAACCATGGAACAAATACCTTGAAAACTAATGTTAATAGTTAATGAACCACAATTATGCTATAAACAATTATAGAAAACATAAAAATGAAACACAATTATGTTATTTTTGTCAAATAGTTAATGCTTAACCACAATTATAGCATTGTGACATGGTTAATTGACAACAATACCAACTAATGTGGATAAAACAATGTCATTTTTACCACCCATGACTGGGAATGGTTTATACTATACCACCTATAAAAATGGTGATGACTGGGGGATGGTTTATGGCATTGTGTTACCCACATTAGTGAATGAATCCAACTATAGTGAGGTGAACAGGTTTTTGCTGATCATGCTTGGATTCACTTCACTATAGTCTTATATAGTCTTGTTTGATGAATGACTACTATCAACCATGGTAATGATCATGGCAATAGATTCGATTTGGATCATTAGCCAGTGTTTGTTTCATGATAGTTCGTGATCAACAGTAATTGATCATTTGGGAATCATTCTTAGCAATAGTTCGCAAATGGGAATCAATCTTACCGTCCAAGGTTTCTTGCTGCTCATGTTCCCATATTGAATGGTTGTTTGCCCACGAGTTGTCTTCATTTACTAACCATCAATCGTACAAAAATCCTGCAAAATGCTGCTGCTCAAGTTATAAGTTGGTTACTGAACCCATCCAATCATATAGATCTATGTATACATATCTATATACCGTGTATATATATATACATATTATATATATATATATATATATACATATACATATTATATATATATACATATTATATATATATATATATACATATATATATATATGTATGTATACATAGCGGTATCCACCATACACCTTAAGTTAACCCAGCCAACAATACGGCGCGACAAACTCGTCGTTTTGTTGGCAGGAGGCCATGGGAGGTCCCAGCGAAGAGCCGGAAAGCGCGTTTAAGGAACCCATTGTCCTGGAGTCCAAGAAGGGCAAGGGCAAGGCTGGAAACTGGTGGGTTTTGATGCAAAAATAATGGCAAAATAATGGCAAAATGATGGGAACATGGGAACAATTCAGCAAAATCATGGGAAACCCATCAAAGTCCCTACAAAAACGTTCCTTGGTACCGGGAAGATCGAAGATTTATATGGTGAACCAGTGAGCTATATCGCAAAGTTGGTTGAACTGAATGGGTTCACGACTGGGTTTATGTTAGTTATAACATATTATCACAAGATCACCATAGTTAGACGGGATTATAAAGCAACAAACACTACAAGATGTGGTACCTTGTGGCTTTGATTGAAAATGATGGGAAAAATCGCTGGAAATTCAAGTGGTCGATCATTGGTTTACTCATAAAGTGGAGTATCAGTATCCCGCATGTTTGAGCAGCACAATAATGTTGTGCTTCTGTTGGTCCAAGAATCAGCAAACATCAGGAGTTTTGACCTATTTTGCTGGAATTTCCCATCATTTTGCCATCATTTTGTTAGTTATTGTGGAGAGACCAGCAACAAAAATGCCTTGTTTCAGGTTAGTGAAATATTGTAATTTACCCAGAACTATAAGTAGGGATATGGTTTATGGTTTATGGTCATCCCACCGTCATTAGAGATTCCCTATAATTGCTATATATATATATATATCACGAAAGCTAGCGTCAGCTAGCTGAGTCTTCTTGCTTTAGCAAGTATTCCGGGGGCTGCTCAAGGACATCACGTGATTTTTCACGCGAAAGGGGGGGACCCCCCACCACCACCACCACCACCACCACCGCCATCACCATCATCTTCATCGTCATCATCATCGTCATCATCATCGTCATCATCATCATCATCATCGTTATCGTCCTCGTCATCGTCATCATCATCATCATGATCATCATCATCACCACCATCACCATCATCATCATCATCATCATCGTCATCCTCATCGTCATCATCATCATCATCATCATTGCCATCGTCCTCGCCATCGTCCTCGTCATCGTCATCATCATCATCATCATCATCATCATCGTCCTCGTCCTTGTCCTCGTCATCGTCATCGTCCTCGTCATCGTCATCGTCATCGTCGTCATCATCATCATCATCGTTATTCACTTACATTTCATCATTATTGGCAATTGTTGGCATTATCACGAAAGGTAGCGTCAGCTCGCTAGAGTCTTCTTGCTTTAGCAAGTATTCCGGGGCTCCCCAAGGACATCACGTGATTTTTCACGCGAAAGGGCCCCCCCCTGCCCCCTCCCCCATATATATCATTGTTATATATCATATATCATATATCATTGTTGCATCCTCGTTGGGACGAACAATGCCGCGACACGATGATGACAGTCCCTCCGCAACTCACCTCTTCCCTTCCTTCTTTCTCCTACCCCGCTAGCTTTATGAAAAACCGAGCCAGCTACACATTGGAAATTGTTAAAATATTTTTTTTCATTTTTTTATCGTTTTGGTTATCATTTTATTTATCTTTTTTTTTCATTTATGTTTTCATTCATTTTTTTTAATCATTTTATTTTTAATTTTTTTATCATTTTTTTTATCATTTTATTTTTCATCATTTTCATTTTTTTCATTTGTTTTTCATTTTTTTTCATTTTTTTTTCATTTTTTTCATTTGTTTATCATTTTTCATCATTTTTGCTTCCAGTGGTGCAAAAATTTTCCGCAAAATAAAAAATTGCAATTTTCCTCGAGTTTTTTTCATATTTTTATCATTTTTTATCATTTTTTTATCATTTTTGCTTCCAGTGGTGGAATTGATGAAAAATGATGAAAAATGATGAAAAATAATGAAAAATGAAAAAAAAATGAAAAAAAAAACTCGAGGAAAATTGCAATTTTCCAAAAAATGAAAAATTGCAATTTTCCTCGAGTTTTTTTTCATTTTTTTTCATTTTTTTTCATGTTTTTATCATTTTTTTTTCATTTTTCATCATTTTTGCTTCCAGTGGTGCAAAAATTTTCCGCAAAATAAAAAATTGCAATTTTCCTCGAGTTTTTTTCATTTTTTATCATTTTTTTATCATTTTTTTATCATTTTTGCTTCCAGTGGTGGAATTGATGAAAAATGATGAAAAATGATGAAACATGATAAAAAAATTAAAAAAAAATGGAAAAAAACTCGAGGAACATTGCAATTTTCCAAAAAATGAAAAATTGCCATTTTCCTCGGGTTTTTTTATTTTTTTTTCATTTTTTTTCATTTTTTTTCGTTTTTTTCATTTTTTTATCATTTTTCATCATTTTTGCTTCCAGTGGTGCAAAAATTTTCCGAAAAATAAAAAATTGCAATTTTCCTCGAGTTTTTTTCATTTTTTATCATTTTTTTTAACATTTTTTTATCATTTTTGCTTCCAGTGGTGAAATTGATGAAAAATGATGAAAAATGATGGAAAATGATAAAAAAATGATAAAAAAATGAAAAAAAATAAAAAAAAATGAAAAAAAACTCGAGGAAAATTGCAATTTTCCAAAAAATGAAAAATTGCAATTTTCCTCGGTTTTTTTTCATTTTTTTTCATTTTTTTTTCATTTTTTTTTCATTGTTTTATCATTTTTCATCATTTTTGCTTCCAGTGGTGCAAAAATTTTCCGAAAAATAAAAAAATGCAATGTTCCTCCATTTTTTTCTTTTTTTCCATTTTTTTATCATTTTTTATCATTTTTTATCATTTTTCATCATTTTTTATCATTGTTTATCATTTTTCATCAATTCCACCACCGGAAGCAAAAATGATAAAAAAATGATAAAAAAATGAAAAAAACTCGGGGAAAATTGCAATTTTCCATTTTTTGGATTTTTTTTTGCACCACTGGAAGAAAAAATGATAAAAAAAAATGATAAAAAAAATGATTAAAAAATGAAAAATAAAATGATAAACAAATGATAAAAAATTGATTTAAAAAAATGAAAAATAAAATGATTAAAAAAAATGAATGAAAACATAAATGAAAAAAATGATAAATAAAATGATAACCAAAACGATAAAAAAATGAAAAAAAAAAAAATTGACCTGGCCCAGTCTGTGGCTGCAAGTTTTTCATAACGCTAGCTTTCGTCATCCACCCCCGCCCTCAAGTATATATATGAGTAAATTATAACGACCTCACTGCGACCTCACTGGAATCATGGTTAATGAGAGGAATCAACCCCAAATGGGCCAACAATTCAGGTTAGTGAATTGTGATAATTTACCCAGATATATGTATATATCTATCCATTAGTTCAGGATTCCCATGAAATGGGATGACCATAAACATCCATAAACATCCATAAACATCCATCCATAAACCATGTATTGCATATTTATAAATCCCTATGGATTGAAGACCATCCCAGAAATTCATGGTTTACTAATCTTTGGAAGTGAACTCTTTGCATTTGAAGCGCCCTTGGCTCTCATGTACTTGTTGGATCATCCCATGGTTCTCGTGTTTGTGAGTTAAAAAAACGAAAGACATTTGAATGGGAGAAGTAGACTTAATCCACTTACAACCAGGGATATAACCTACTTAGTAAGTCGAGTTAATAGCCTATTTTTTTTTACTGGGTTTCTTACGATTCGACACAAACACGAGAAACTTGGGATGATCCACCATTCGTGTTATTACCCTCTGGTAAACTAAGATAGCTATGGAAAATGGCCCATAGAAATAGATGGTTTACCTATTAAAAATAGTTTGCTAAATTACCAGAGGGTAACCACCCTTTTTTTGCTAATGTTTGCTCTGTAAAACCCGGGTGATCCCATTATAGGCAAAAAAACAAACGTATCTCCTCATTAATCCGATGCACCCGCAGAAGCCCTGGTGTAGTATTGAGCCTATTCCGGAGGCCTATTAGTGAGGTCTATGGATAATATTGCGGGGATGTGATTCTGACTGATTGTTTTGCCAGAAAGTGCGGGATATACTAACTTGCCCTAGTCTTTTCAAAAGAAGATCGTACATGATGTTTTGTTAATATTGTCCACTTGTTTTTGTTTATTATACCTTGGCATCAGTATATCTTTGTTTAATACCCGCTCAACAACCATTACCTTAAATCCATCTGATGGCTATCAAATCCTCACGTTTCAATGGTGATATCACCAAAACCATGATGAAAATATTACCCTCTGGTAAACTAACAGTTTGCTATTGAAAATTGCCATTTATAGTAAATTTACCAATTAAAAATTGTGATTTTTCATAGTTATGTTGGTTTACCAGAGGGTAAACCACATCACCATTCAATCTACTTGGTGGCTCATCCTTAGTAAGTAGATTATATATATATATCGGGGACAGGCTTAATCCACTTAGAACTCACTGGAGATGGGTCAAACCAATGACTACCATATTTAAGGGGAGATAAATCATATCTCACCAGCTATTTTAAGGTACCCTCTGGTAATTTGTTACATAGCTATTGAAAATGGCCCATTAAATTCGTGGATTTACCCAGCTAGAAAATGGTGGATCTTTCCAGTTCGCAAAATGTAAACGTTTACCAGAGGGTAAATCCCATTCGATCACCATGAAAAACCATCATTAAATCACCATAAAACCATCATGATCTAGGATTCTAGGATTGGCCATGATGTACCAAGCTAAACTGGCTAAACCACCATGAAATCACCATGAAAAACCACCATTAAATCGCCATTGAAACTGGCCCATGTTTTTTTTTGCGCAGGGAAAGCCTTTGGTCCTTCCCACTGGAGATCTGCTGCCGGAAGTCAAGGCGGCCCAACGAGGGCGCCCTGGGATGGACACATGTGCCATGGATTGCCAGGGTCCAATGAGTTGGAGTTAGCCATGAGAAATCCATGAAAAAATGGTGATTTTATAGGAAATTCATGGGATTTTTGAGGGATATATCAACTCTTGGATGAAATTGGAGGATTGTTTGCCGAGTTATTGGGGGCTGGTCATCAATCCATTTTCATAGAGGTTAATATACCCACTGTTAGGAATCCCATTCATGATAGTGAGATGACTAGGGGCCCCGTATACCATGCTTTGACAATGGTACATATCAAATATAGGGATATGATGGCGATAGAATGGGACGTTCTAATATCCATCTGGTTGGTGGTTTGGAACAGTTTTTCATTTTTCCATAATTGGGAATAATCATCCCAACTGACTTTCATATTTTTCAGAGGGGTTGAAACCACCAACCAGCCATGCAATTGGTGGTTACTGACCACTCAACACCGGCAATTGCCATAAAAAGACGTCATGAAGGTCGCTTGACATGATTGTTAGTAAGGGTCACTTGACATGATTGTTAGTAAGAGAAACGATCCCAAAATTTGTTTCATTTCAGGTTGGAGACGTATTCTAAACTATGTTTTATCCAAATTCAGGGAATACCTATTTGGTGGCTCATCCCACATAGTAAGTGGGTTATAACCCCAGTTATAAATGGGATAAGTAGAGTTAATCCACTTATAACCAGGGATATAACCTACTTCGGATTCGTGGGATGAGCCACCAAGCAAAGATTACAGGAACAGTAATATGCCGTTTTTGTTTCCAAGATTGTGATCCCATTGGGCTGGAATTTCACGCGTTAATGGATTGTGTTCCTAAAATCGCAGCTGACTTTAATTTGTGCGCAAAGAAAACCAAAAACGAGCTATAAGTGTCTTATTTGAATGGGTCAATGAAATAATTCTATATATATATATACATTATACATGTATATATAAATATTATGTTCATAATTTTATTTGTCAGCATTGCTGTTACTGTTATGTATGCATTTATTCTAAGCAGAATGGTTTCGAGTAAAAGACTGTACATAATTTTCACACATCTTCCAATATTTCCAACCCCAGATGTTATATTTATATCATGTTTCGTTACATATACCCTTTGGTAAACTAACATAACTATGGAAAATCACCATGTTTAATGTGACAACTCGCTCTAAATGGCCATTTTCAATAGCTATGTTTGTTTACCAGAGGGTACCATGATATCCCAATTGTGGTCAATCTTGTGATGCCAATGACTATATTCATGGTGGTCTGGCTTGGCGGTATTCGAGAAAACCTCTTGCAACCCCCTAAGGTGCCATTGGTTGATGTCCCAATTGGTGTACTGTAGTGTCATGAGTGACCATTTTATCAATAGTATATGAGACATCCACCTCCATGATTTATCATTTTATTGAAAGCTATGTTCCATTTTATCCTATCTGGAGGTTTCCTAAAATGATGAATCCCCAAAACCATAGCTTGGGAAAAATACGAAAAACGGGTAGACTTTTTGTTGGATGGTTTCGGGGATCCCTATTTCCAGGAAACCTCCAGATGACTGTAGATGATATACCCTCTGGTAATTTGTTACATAGCTATTGAAAATGGCCATTTATAGTGAGTTTCCCCATTAAAAATGGTGATTTTCCATGGCTACGTTAAATTACCAGAGGGTACATACCTAGTTCATTCATTATTATTCCAGGAATTATATTCCAATTAGAAGCTGGGTGTTATTTGATACTGAGACTAATTATATCATATTATCTTAATTGCTTTTACTTCCAATGCTATCCCCGTTGCATCCCACGGTCAGTCTTATCATGCCTCCCTACAGGATGGCGCCCCCCAGTTATAAGTTGGTTTATAAACCATTATAATCCCCATTAACTATAGTTATATCTACCATAGACAATAGAATTCAGCCATTTGTAAACCAACCTAGCTATCTTGGGGGCCCCATCCTGTATCTATTGGTGATTTATCCTGTTTCACAGCCGCAGGCCTTTTGTGCTCGCTTTGGTCTGGCAGACCGCTGCTTGGGTCTGAAAAATTCATGGGGTCTGTCTGGAAATAGGGAATGGATCCCAAAATTATACCCTCTGGTAAATTAACATAGACCCTGAAAATAACCCATTCTTATTGGAAACTAATCTTCCAACCCCTATTTGCCAGGGTCGAACTGTTAATTTACTGGAGGGTACCTGTTTGATAGGAAAAATTGATGAGGATCCACAGGATTTGGCGCTACCCTCTGGTTTTACATATTTATTGGCTTCCAAACATACTTGGGAGGATTGGTTGAGGTAACCTGGATTTTTTTTGGGTTGAAACCACCAACCAGCCATTTGTGCTTCGACCGAGTCCGAAGGTACCCTTTGTCGGTGTGGGTTGAATGTTTCAACGGCTCAACGGCAATGTTTAGGACCATTTGATATCGCAATGCAAGGTGGGCGCCCCGATTTTAGGTGATTAAAAAAACGTCTAGCGAAGCAGTTATTATACAACTGCATGCCAGAAAACCTCTGGTTGGTGGCTTGGAACATGAATTTTAGTTTTCCATATCTTGGGAAATTCATCATCCCAACTGACTTTAAGTCCTATGATTTTTTCAGAGGGGTAGGTCAACCACCCACCAGACCTGATTGATCCACTGAACTAAAGCAACAACTTAGCAGCTCTCATTGGAGCACTGCCCACCTTGTATGTTCCAAGGGTATCCAAGGGTAGGCAGCCAGGGGCTTCTCAGCCGGTTGATGCGGGGATATATATATATATACGTATATAATTATAATGGTGGTATAATTGAAAACATTCTAGACTGTAGTGAGATGTACTAGGATTTAATGAGAATATAAGGCGGATATCATGTTGGTATAATGATGATACTGGTGATTTCATTGATGATGTCATCATGAAATCTATAGAAACCATCCCCCAAGAAGCCGGGGTAAAGCATCGAAATAGCTGGGGCTCCAGGTATGGTTGTTCGTATGTTTTTTTTGCCCATTAAGTCTAGTTGCAAATATCAAAAATCAATCATAAAGCAACTATACTTAGCTATATTAGGAGTTGTTTCATAAGTTCGGGATATATCAAACGATAGTATAGTGGCTTATAAAAGGACTTAGCTATCGTTTGGGGGCCCGATATTGTAGCTAACAGTCTTTTTCAGTGGGGCAGGATCCACGAGAAGCATATTTTATTTGAGTCCCAAAAAATACAACAGCAATAGGTTTACACGGAACCTATTGTTTATGGTCAAATCGCGTTGTTTATTCAAAAAGCTAGTACAATGAGATGGTAATCTTATGGGGAGTTTAAGGGGATATTATTATGTCCCCAAAATCCAAATATGTAATATATCAATGGCTGTTTCAGGAACCTAAATTGGAGGTACCTACCATATATAAGGCCTATTTTTGAGGCCTATGTAAGGGAATATCCCATTTTAGGATCTTGAAATTCCCATTGAATATATATATATAATATAGGATTCAGTGGATTAAGGTTCCGTGTTAAATTTAGAGGGTGCGGCATGGAACCCAAACAAGAGTTCCCAAGTGAAAAATATGAGATTCAGTAGAAACTAGGTCAATCTTACATGGATACTTTAATCCTTTAGTCTTTTGGTATGGGAATATCTACTAGCCAGCAAAGAATTTATTTTTTTGCAGGGTATCTAAGATTGGCAATGGAACAATCATCTTTGGAACGGCGTGGATTTTGTTTGTTCAATTTTTGTGGCATGTACTGTACTATACTGTACTCTTAAGGGACAGGTCATGATGTATTATACATATCTATATATATAATTATATAATTATAAATAAATAAATATATATATATATCATCCAGATGATATGATGTCCCATTGACCCATTATATCTCCACTTATCTCTATTTCATATTCCCTGATAATGATGCTGGTTGAAACATGACCGGCCGTGGATGATCCCACCGGCGGGGTTTTACTGACCTTAAGTGTCTCTATCGGAGCGATGCCAGTTAAACCCGCTGGAAAAACTTGAAACAACGAAGTTCTAAAAGAACTTAGCTATCGTTTGGGTACAGCAACTATCCAACTATCAGCGCTTTGTTGCTATTGTTTTTACATGTTTTTACTATGCCCAGGCTATTAATATCAACCTGGATTTTTGTTGCCAATATACGGCGTGTGGCTGTGGCGCGACGGTAACTTGTCTTCATGAAGTTGAACGCAAACATGTACAAGGTGGTGCCCCCATAGTTATAAGTTGGTTTATAATCCCCATTAACTATAGATATAACCCTAGTTATTGGACATATAAGCCAACTTATCTAACTATGGGGCACCACCTTGTACAATCTGAAGGAGCAGAAATTGAGATGAAGTTGCAATGGGCTGAGGATGGAGTTTCCTGCTTGTTACCGCACCAGCCGCAGTAGCCCGAAAACATGGAACTTTGACAACGCCGCAGGGCGTGACTGAGGATGTGTGGCTTGGTACCGCAGGGATCGAAGAAGCTGCACGTTGTGTGCCACGAAATTTTTGTCAGCGCTGGATCGAGGCTGGAAACTCACCATGCTCCGGATTCAAGTTTTGCGGTGCCGGTCATGGAGGTGTCCAAGGGAGCCCGCTGCTCAATCACCGCGATGAAAGCAGCTCGGTCGAGGTTTTTTGTCGTTTTTTTCTAAGACAATTGAACATCTTCCACCAAGCCAGAAAACTATCAAAAAAAAGACTCCATGGCTAGTTCATGCATTACGGAACCCCCAAATTTCATCAAATTTGATGATTCCATGATTTTTGACTAGTTTTCACCAAAAGTGATGAGACTTTTCCAAATCCCCTAGTATATCCCAATATATCCCAATACATATATCCCTAGTATATCCCAATATATCCCTAATATACCCCATTATATCCCAATATATCCCTAATATACCCCATTATATCCCAATATATCAACTTGAAATCCCCAGCATTTTTGGGTGACGAGTTTTCGGAACGACTGAGGCCTCCAGACGAAGGTCATGGACACGCTGCGGAAGCGACAAGACCAGGAATGGAGACAAGACCTGGCCGAAATGAATAGGCCATGGCTACCATGGGAAACCATGAAGATTATCACTGGTTATTTCATGGGAATATCATGGAATATGGTGATTATATGGCATTTAACGCAGTTTCTAAGGCTTATGGAATCTTATGGATACTGTTGGAAAGGTAAGAATTTGTCATTTTATGCAGGGTATCTGGCTGATTGGCCATGGTGGCAGGTGGCGGTTACTATATGGGATGTGTTTCACCAGAAATACTTGGTATCTTGGTAATAGGCCATAACTGTAGGGTAATTAATGGGGACAATATAGGATGGAAACTGATATAGGATCATAATGGGATAATATACTTGGTGGCTCATCCCATCGTAAGTGGGTGAGTAAAAACCCCAGTGAAATTTGGGATAAGTAGAGTTAATCCACTGGATATAACCCACTTAGTAAGTGGGATGAGCCACCAAGTAGTGATTTAACATTATTTAACATACGTATTTCACCAGCCAAATAGTGGTGCGCACCCCCTTGCATCATCCATTTTCATATTATAAACCATCCATTTGGGGTACCACCATTTATGGAAACACCCTTTTTTAGTGGATTTTCTCCATGGTGGTGGGTGGCAAATGTTGCAAATCGTTTTTTTTCACCATTTCCAGTGGATTGACATTGAAGCTGAACAATCTCAATGACCTAGTCTACCCCATCGCCTGTCCAGACCCCCAATTGATGCCACCTCCGGCCTTTTGCACAAAAACTGCAGGATGGGGCCCCCCAGTGATGTTATAAGTTGGTTTATAAACCATGAAATAATCCCCATGAATACTATAGACTATAGTTATATCTACCATAAACCATCGTTTTTTCAGCCACTTTTCTTTGCACCAACTGAACGCGAGCTCGTTGACGGGGGCCCCGCAAAAACTGGAGCGGCTTGGACGAGCCATTGGGACCATCCACACGCTACTTCCTGCAAGGTGGTGCCCCAGTTCGGAATCGCTAAGTTGGTGCAAATAAGTCCAATTTCACTAGGGTTGATGAATGGGGGTTATATCTATAGCTAATGGGGTTAAATTTACTAACTTATAACTTTACAAACCAACAAACATAACTATGGGACCATCCACATTGTACTTCCTGACATGTCATGGGCGACTTTACAGTCACATTGTGCCTCCGTGACAGCGACCGGCTGATCGACCTGACAGGAACCCTGGATCTGAAAATGGAAAAACTCGAATAGAGAAGAGAAACAGGAACGCTGAATCTGTGCTTTCACGGCTGCATAGGCCCGAGCAGATCCGAGAGGTCACCATAGTTCGAGAGCCAGCTGGTTCGGACTCGATGGCTCGAAATGCTATGGAGTTATCCTGACGCAATCGAGGAGATCAGGCTCCATCGAGACATCCATGGGTCTGTCTTCGCCCTGATGTCTCAGTTTTTGATGAGCCTCCAGAGGCCTTTGAATGCTTTTGCCCAGCAGATGCCTCAGCCACAGTGCTGCATCTGAACTTTGTGCCCCATCAAAAATCACCTTATCGGGGGATGGTGGATTTACCCGTTAACTAGGATGTAGCCCTAGGGTAAAATGCGGAAAATTGTCTGGTTTCCGGAAAATCATCTCTCTCTCTCTCTCTCCCTCTCTCTCTCTCCCTATGTATATATGCATATATATATATACACACATGGTTGATTTTCCGCATCCATGTTATATAGTTTACTCTAGGGTATTTGGGTAAGTTATTGCTACCCCGTTTGGCCAAGCCCATGATGCGAATTGGATTGGGGAAATCATCCCCACATGGCCGAACTCTTCAAGTTATGTAACATCCGCCCAGATATGATGGAGATATGGCTAATGCCAAGCCCGGATAAATATTCCCATAAGAGTTCTACTAAATTCAACAAAAGATGATGTTGGCTGCGCTGGGTGGATAGCATGTTTTGACATTGCACATTTTCATTTGGAGCTTTGCAAAAAATCCAAAAAATCCCCGAATCATCCAATCGTCATGGATAACCATTAGTTAGTACAATGTGGTGCCCCCCAGTTATAAGTTGGTTAATAAACCCCATTAACTATAGTTACATCTACCATAAACAGCCGTGGGCCCGAGTCTTACCAGTAGTGCGGCTGTGTCAGCGGAACCTCGGGAGCTTGTCGCAACGCCATGGACAATCTTCTTTGTGGACCTCCTGGTCTTACTATTTCTGATTCTACCCGTGCCCGTGTGGCTTCCCGCCTCAGTGGTGGGATTTGCGGTTGGATTGGGATGATTGGCAGATGCCTCCGTGGCAATCTCAAGGAGTTGTTTCCACTAGCGATGATGCCTGGTGTGGATGGATTTCGGGCGGAGATCCAGCTGACATGGGACGAATTTTCTGGGATGAGACACAGTTTGATTGACCCGCTGCACTTTTTGCTATTCACTCTGTTCGGTGCCGGCTTGCTTCCGCTACCAGCGGCAAACTGCCAGTCCTTGCTGAGTTTGGAAGCTCACATCTTTACAAATTGGCACTTGCAGTCCTGGAGTTGTTTTCCTGTTGGCTTGCATCACTTGCTTGTTGTTCGTTGTGGACTCTTAGCAACCTTCAAGGGGTAGGTCAACCACCAACCAGATAAAAATAGTGGTTTTCCAGTTCGTTATGTAACACTTTACCAGAGGTGTAAATCCCTACAAGGTGGTGCCCCCATAATTATAAGTTGCTTTATAATCCCCATTAACTGTAGATATAACCCCCATAAACTCTAGTTATTCGAACTTATAAACCAACTTAGCTAATTCTGGCGCACCACCTCGTATGTTCCGCGGTGGTTTCTCCCCGATGTTTCCGCGATGTTTTTTCCGGCAGGGACCTGTCGAAAGCGCGCAATCCGTCGGGTCTGCTAGTGGTGAAGTTGGGAGACATCCAGTTCCTTGACCCACATGGGGGGTTTCATAAAGGGGAGTACCTCAAAATTGATGGTTTAATAGAAAATCCATTTATAAATTGATTGGTGGTTTGGAACATTTTTTATTTTTCCATATATTAGGAAAAATCATCCCAACTGACTAATATTTTTCACGTGGGTTGAAACCACCAACCAGATAAATGAATGATTTAGGTACCCCCATTTTAGGAAACCTCCATAGGACTAGGGTTGGAGGGCGATATGAACTCAGGGGATATAGCTAGCTTATAGTTTGCGAAATTGTCTTATAACTTGATTAGCGTTTGGGTTTATAGGGGGATATACCTATAGTTAGAGGTTATAAACAAGCTTAGAACTAGGGGGGCCCTTCCTGCAGAAATGCCATTGGGATTTGTGTTCCATGGATTCGTTGATGGAATTCTAGGGTATATTAGTTGGATCTTTATGGAATTTGATTCAGATATGGATATTCACGGAATTTGAATGGATTGTGTTTGTAATTATTTCTGGAACGGTCATATAACAAGCCTAAGTCTTGAATACGTTAGAGAGCCGCGAAACAGAGCGCCCGGTGTCGCGAATGGAACATGGCCATGGAGTTCACCAGCTTGGCTATCGAAAACGGCTTCAATAATCATCCCCAGATGCGCCATGTATGGTATATTTACCTACATTTACCCCCAAAATAGCTCAAATGTAGGTAAATATTCCTTACATGGAGCATATGGGATCTGGTTGGTGGTTTGGAACCATGGAATTTTATGACTTTCCCAATAGTTGGGATGATGATCCAATCTGACATTCATATTTTTTTCAGAGGGGTAGGTCGACCACCAACCAGTCATCATCAATCACCATTATAAATTATACATAATCATCATGAAAACCATTCATCCACCATGATTATAACATATTATAACCATTCATCAACCATGCAATTTGAATAGTCAATCATCATACACCATCATGGACCCATCTCACACACACATTGCCATGCCATGCCATGGTTCACCACAAGATATAGCCACAGTGCCCAGGAAAGAGCTGAACCCCAACCAGTTGTGCTTCAACTACCGCGCAGGCCGGGGAGACCCGCCACAGAAGCCCAACTGGGGATGATTTGGGGTGTTGTATTTGGAACATTTTAGTGCACAACTATAGCTAGTACGCCTTAATTCCGTACATCAACCATAAATTGACCATCAATAACACTGGTTGGTGGTTTCAAACATGTTTTTTTTTATGACTTTCCATTCAGCTGGCAATTTCATCATCCCAACTGATTCATATTTTTCAGAGGGGTAGGTATACCGCCAACCAGAGTGCATAACTATAGTTTTTAGGGTTCCCATATCCCAACTTACCCTCTGGTAAACTAACACAACTATGGAAAATCACCATTTTTAATAGGACAATCCACTATAAATTGCCATTTTCAATAGCTATGTTAAATTACCAGAGGGTAGCTTGAAATTCCCATGGTAAATACCAAGGACTAGACATTTGGGTTGTTGTTTGGCCGCAGGTACATGCAGCTGGGGTGACAAATGCCGATGGTTCGACAGCCCAAAGTTGGGCGGTACCTGCGGGCAGTACGGGCCCCACGGAAACTGCTCCGTGGTTTATGCTCCATGTATACCCTTTATAATCCTATAATATTCTAGATCCTATATATATATAAGTAATCCCTTAAAACCCTATATCATACATATGTGAATACATATAAATAAATGGGCGGGATATTCCGTAGGTGTAATTTAGGGTATATCTCATGGTATAGGCCATTTACTAAGTGGGTCCCGCACACCAGTAGGGGATGAAATTTAAATGTTAATCATGCGTTACATCATGTAACACATTCCACACTGGTTGCTAACTAAATTTACTATCTGGTTGGTGGTGTGGAACATTTTTTATTTTTCCATATATTGGGAATGATAATCCCAACTGACTAGTAGTTTTCAAAGGGGTTGAAACCACCAACCAGCTATCATACTATCCAGATTATCCACATGTTTAGCAAACACTAAATGTTCTAATGTTTAAAATATGATGCGAAGCGCACTCCTTCGGACTATCCGATATCTCCCTATGACTGGGCCCCTAAATAGATCCAAGTATCAATTCTGCCAGGGTTTCGTGTCGGAATTTAATTAATCATTTGTGGAAGGGATCTAGCATAATATATTTAAAGATTGAAGATATGGGTTTTACAATTAAAATATAGATATAACAACATCATTATATATGTAATTTAAAATACCAATATAGATATATAGGTACAGTAAATAAGTATATTAATATATTGATATAATATATATATAGATATAAATACATCAATTTACTGATTTCACAATCACAAGAATCAGATCTTAGCCGATATAAATCCTAGTAAGCCAGCATGTTAGTGGTTAGCCATCCCTTTATTTGATGGCTCAAACCATGGATATCCCATGGATGATATGGATGTCTCATGGATATCCCATGAATATCCCATGCCCCGAGGTCACACGACGTGCCCGTGGGCGCGGAGAGGATGAAAAGTTCCGCGTTGCTGGCAGCAGCCGCGAAGGGAACTGTGCCGTGGCGGTTTCCGCGGTGGCCATGGGAATTCGGATGGAAATTCTATCGGAATTCTTACAAGGTGGTGCCCCAGTTCGTTAGCTAAGTTGGTTTATAAGTCCAATAACTAGGGTTGATTAGGGTTATATCTATAGTTAATGGGGATTATAAACCAACTTATAACTATGGGGGGCACCACCTTGTATGTGATAGATTTTGATGGATTTATAATCCGGATTTTATGGACTTTTGATGGGAATTTATGATTGTATGCTTTGTTTTTTTTGCTATTTGATGATTATTGTTTAGGGATTTAACCATAGTTTAATGGGATAGAAAGGATATATTAGCATTAGTGAATGCGAATCATGCGGTAAACCCAATATTAGTTTTCCGCATCACCAGATATCATAATTGGGTTGTACAAAACATCCCGACATGGTAGGTGTATTCTTGGCTTTACCACATTACTCGTAATTATGGCTATTTGATTTTTATTATACGGCATTTCTTTATGTTGTTTTTTGGATTTAACCATAGTTTACTAGGATATATATTGGTAAATATCCACGATTTTATGGTAATGTTATCGGAATCTAGATGAATATAGCTATAACAAATGGTAGTCTAACCATCAACATTAGTGATTTTCCTAGGAAGCACCACCTTGTATCATGGGGATAATCATGGTGATTTACCAATCTCACAAGTATATTAGAAGTATCTACTATTCCAATGACTCAGCAAACCACATATATATATCATATATGTATGACATATTGTCAAGCATATACATACGTATTGAGATTCTCTACGACTAGAATCCACTAGATACAACAATACTATAATGGAAAAGAAATGAAAAGAAGCGAGGTGATCTATATACATACAAATAACCACCTTGGGATGTTTGTCTTGTTGGTGTGAAAGAGAAGATGGTTCACCAACAGCAATATTGTTTAGTTTTATGTGAATATACCCTTTGGTAATTTAACATAGCTATTGAAGATTGCCATTTAGTTTGTTGATTTTCACAATTTTCCCATTAAAAATTGTGATTTTCCATAGTTGTGTAAACGTTTACCAGAGGGTAGCGGTTGATTGCCCAAAACGAATAGAATCGGATATGTGGCTGATATGAAATTACGAACCATAAGATTTAATTCAGCACTCACCTGAGCGACTAAAAACACACCGGTTGATTGGTCTATTTGTTGGGAGGTATTGATCTACTTGGTTTAGGGCTTACGCACTAACCCCTTTTATGGACACCGGATACTTGGTACCTAGCATCATGGGATGGGATAGTTTTTTGTTCTCATGACTCACTCACCTGGACCTAGATAATTTTTGTTGCTTGGCGGATCACGTTTTTTTCCAGAAGGGGGAAGAGCAATCTATGCATTAGAAGCATGAAACATCAAGAAACCATGGAAAAACATCCATTTGTACTGGATATCTAAGAGCAGTCATCATTAAACTAATTGGGTAGACATTATGGAAAACTATTTCAAGGGTAAACTATTGAGGGTACTATATCTATGCATATCATGGAAAAACATCCATTTGGGTGTTTGTGTTGATCCTTTGCTGGAAAAGAATTCCTTTATAGGGTAAATGTATCAATTTCATCCATGTACCGATGAGGATCCCAATGTGTTGTTTTTGCTGTGGTTTGCACAGCTTTGGCCCTTTACCAGTTATAAGTCAGTTATAATCTCATTTAGGGCATTTTAACCCTATTTATAACAATGTACAATCATTTATTCCTGGTAAAGGGCCTTAACAGCAAGAATTGAAAAATGGGGACGCTTCTTCTGTAGAACAACAACCGCATGCACCTTCACCTCGCAGTGCGTTGACATTGCGGCATGTCAGACCTATGGGCTGCCTGGCGAAAGACCCGAGTCAGCATAGTCATGGCACTCTTGTGCGCTGCATCAACGACTTTCCGATTTTGTGCTGCCTACGGATGATTCCGAAGTGAAGAAGCTTGGGCATAGCAATCGTGGGATTTCGGTTACGAAGGGTACGGATTTTCCTACGCGGGCACGAATCCTCATCATCAGGCAGAAGTATCGCAAAGATAATTTGTCTTTTGAGGATCTTTTTGCGAAGGCCAGTGACCATCCAGAGACCAAGAAATATTGTCCGGCTGGAACTGCCAGCTCACGTCTTTGTGCATCTTGAAAATCATTGTCTGAGCACACCTATGGGACCACAGATATGGCAACCATGACAGATGAGGATGGCAACCTTCAATTTGCAAAGCAGCCGGCAGGTCAAGCCATTGACTTGGCCGCATTTTTGATTGCATGGGGTTCATCATCAAGGGCTGGGGCGGTGAAACACCGCTTCTGATTGAAATCCCCAGTGTTCATTGAACCCCCACTCAATTTTCAACAGACGGAGGAATATGTCGTTTACTCACGGGTATGATATGTAAATCAGCTAGATTACACATAGGTTGTAAATCAACTCATAAACACCTTCATGGCATGTTTTCTTGCAAATTCCATCCCCTACTGAATATATATATATATACATATATATATATATACATATATATATATATCTATACATATTCGTGGGACAATTTTCTTTCATTAGGATTACAATCCGGGATATGACAATAAATCATAAAACGTGACAAAACATCTAATTTCGACTGAGACAATTCGACTCTATAGTGCCTTTTATGTTTTTTTCTACAGTAACTCTATAGTTGTAGAGTTACTGAAAATAGAGTCTATGGGGAAAAGGACACTTACTGTCTATAGTTCTATGGAAATAGTCCTTTTACAGTAACTCGATAGTTCCAAAGTGTGTCCAGTTGCACGCGGATATGCAAATCCCATAGCTTCACCAATTCATAGGCCATTATTTTTCACCACTATGAATTACTATATAGCATATATATATATATATAGAAGATTTTTTATAGCAATATAGTGGTGATAAAACATGGGCTATACATATATTGGTATACATAGTGGCTTCCCAGTTCGTTAGGTAACACTTCACCAGAGGTGTAACTCCCTACAAGGTGGTGCCCCCATAGTTATAAGTTGGTTTATAATCCCCATTAACTATAGATATAACCCCCTAATCAACCCTAGTTATTGGACTTATAAACCAACTTAGCTAACTATGGGGCACCACCTTGTATACACCTTTAAAAAAAGCTGCTTGTAGGCCCTATTTTTTCTGAATCATATCAAATTCCACGAAAATAGACAGAGTTAAAAGGAGTTAAAAGGCTTAAAGCCCATCAAATCCCAAGATATCTCATGGTTATACCCATGGTTATGCCCATGGTTATACCCATAGAAGTTGCCTCATCATACTTAAATCCCCTTCAAAAACCATCAAGAACCATAACCATAACCATCTACTAGTTGATGAATATAATTAGTGCGATCCCATATATATATAACCATAACCTTTACCATGTATTATACCACAACCATCTAACCATAACCATAACCATTAACCATCAAGATTCAAGATGGTATGATAAGTTCATATTACTAAACCATTATACCAAAACCATCTAACCATCAAATTCATATCCCATTCATAACCATATTTGTCCATACAAGGTGGTGCCCCCATAGTTATAAGTTGGTTTTTAATCCCCATTAACTATAGATATAACCCCCATTCATTAACCCTAGTTATTGGATTTATTTGCACCAACTTAGCTAACGAACTGGGGCACGACCTTGGATTTCAAGTTGATCGATTTGGAAAAGTCCCATCATTTTATGGTGTTTTAACGATTCAAAAATCATGGGAATCAATCAAATTTGATCAAGATGGTTAAAACCACCAAGCAGTAACCATAAATTTGATAATCCATAAATTTGAATGGGATAATGAATTATTTGATCCCATAAACTATTATAAATTGGATTTCTAACCATATATTTATAAATAGTTTGATCCCATGGTATAATCCTAATCGTTTAGGCCGTCACCTCAACGGCCTTCGGGCATTGCCCCAACCATCGTTGCCATGGTCGTGTCACATAGTTATTGAAGTTCTGTTCACCAACTTAGCCGCATGAAATCACCATATCTGAGCCATATCTTAGATAATCTTAGATCACCCATTTCTGATGGTTCAAAGACATGGAATCACCATCTCAAAGTCACCATAAAAGTTCAATCCCATCACTTCACCATATTTTTCCAATGGTTAGATCACCATTTTCCGGTGACTCGCTATCGTAAACGGGGGGGCCATATCACAGTGGTGATTTTATGGTGATTTTTTGGTGATTTGGCGATTTGGTGATTTTGTGATGATATATGGATATATGGATATTTTGATATATGGATATATACATATATATATGTATATATATATATATATTTACATTTATATATATATGTATATATGTAAATATATAATATGGTGATATCATGTCCTTGATCCAAAAGTTAAATCCCATCAAATCACCGGTTTCTGTTGTTTAGATCACCCATTTCTGGTGAAAGAACCCATGGGAAAAAAAACATGGGAAAAGCTGCGCCCAGATCGCCTCCCTACCGGTGCCACTGCCCGAAGTCAACACCTCTCCCCTCGGCTTCGGCGTGGGCGCGCCGCCGGGCGCGGAGTCCTCGTCGACGCAGCGCGGCTTCGGTGAAAGCTCCGGTGCCAGCAAGGCCCGGAGAAGGACCTGTGGAGAAGTTTTGAAGCAAAATGATCAAACATGATGATTTCATGGTGATTCTAGGGTGATTTTACGTGATTTTGCTTGATTTGATGATTTTACCAGGCATCAGGAATTTCTGAACTGCAAAAAAATGCGATTTTAGGCTGATTTTACGTGATTTGATGATGATGGAAGACACAACCAAATAGAGCCTGCATGAAATAGTGCGGTCTATAGGGGAAATGATCGCCCCAAATGAATTCATACTTAGACCCTCCAAGTACCCATAGAAAATTGGTGAATTTTCCCAGAAGTTGTGGCTTTATTCAGTTATTCCTTCATTTTACGAGGTACTTGGAGGGTCATCAAATTCAGCCAAGTTTTTAGAGTCCTACCAGGTCTCCCGTTTAAAACCGTAGCAGGTCATGTTGTGGCCCATTTTTTTCACCAGTTTCACCCACCAGGCTCACCAAGATTCACCAACTTAGCTAAGGAACTGGGGCAACAAAATCGATGAGTCAGCAGATAAATCCCAAATGCTCCGAATGTTGATGGTTAAACCAAGATGTTTTTAAATGATTACATGTTACAGCCAATAAAGTAGCACCACGTAGCACTAAATTGGCAGATAATAATCCTATCTAAATCCTAGTTAAGAGTGGTTCAGTCTTTCTGTTTCATGGCCAAACCACCATTTGTCCTGGATTGCCCATGGATTTTCCATGGATTTCCTAACCAAAATCTCAATGTCGACTGGATCTTTCCCAGGTGGAGAAACTCTTGCGTCGTCGACAAGCTGGGTCTCCATCACCGGAGGCTCCAAAATTTTGATGGTTATTTTGGCTTCGAAGTCTCTCTCTCTCTCTCTCTCTCGATATATATATATGATTATAGATTCTATATGTGTGCCATGTGTGCCAAGGTCAATATATCTATCAATATATCTATCAACCAATCTATCAAACAAACTAATCTAATCTAATCTAATCTAGTCCAATCTAATCTAGTCAAATCTAGTCTAATCTAATCTAATCTGATCTAATCTAATCTTATCTGTCTATCTATCTATCTATCTATCTATCGATCGATCGATCTATCTATCTATCTATCTAACGATCTATCTATCTATCTATCTATCTATCTTTCTATCTATCTATCTATCTATCTACCTATCTATCTATCTATCTATCTATCTATGTGCCATTGTCAATCTGGTTCCACCGTATTTACATGGTGATCTTATGGGGATATTCAGAAGGAAACACATAGCAACTATTGGATGATTTATTGGGGATTCTGACAGATGTTTTTTTTTGTAGGGTGAGGATAGCATCCCCAAGCAACTAGATGGGTAGAAACTAATCCTTTCGTGGTTTGCTATAAATGGAAAATCACCATAACCTTCAAAATACAATTTGTTGTGGACTATCAAAGATTTATGGAGATAACCATAATATGTAGTATTTATATGTATTCATGCGATTATACATCAGCTTATAACGTTTGAGGGCCCCACCATGGTCGAAACACATGGTTTATATTCCCATAAATTATGATTAGGCCTGATCATCAGTCCCTTTTCGTGGGGATATATGTTGTGTATATATATATGGTTGGTGGTTTCAAACATTTTTTCCCATTCAGCTGGGAATTTCATCATCCCAACTGACTTTCACTCATATTTTCAAGATTGTTAAAACCACCAATCAGACATAGTTACATTGTTAAAAGCCATGAATAACCATAGTTATAACATAGTTACTGATAGTTATTGATGGTTAATGTGGGAAAAACAAGATGCAGCCCACGAACCCGAATGCTCACACGTATGTTAATGGTACAGATGTCAAAACACATGGATACGCAATCGCGCAGAACACTTTTCTGCAATAGTTTATTTGAACAGTCTTGTACATATTTCCCCTGTTACCAGTCTGCAGTGTGGAGTGTGGAGTGCAGCGTATGGAGTGTAAAGTGTGGAGTGCGGAGTGTAAAGTGTAGAGTGTGGAGTGTGGGGTGGACAGTGTAGAGTGTGGAGTGTGGAGTGTAAAGTGTGGAGTGCGGAGTGTAAAGTGTGGAGTGAGGAGTGTAAAGTGTAATGTGTGGAGTGTAGAGTGTGGAGTGTGGAGTGGAAAGTGAGGAGTTTGGAGTGTGGAGTGTAAAGTGTGGAGTGAGGAGTGTGGAGTTTGTAAATTGTAGAGTGTGGGGTGTGGAGTGTAGAGTGTAAAGTGTAGAGTGTAAATTGTAGAGTGTGGAGTGTGGAGTGTAGAGTGTGGAGTGTGGAGTGTGGAGTGGAAAGTGTAGAGTGTGGAGTGTAGAGTGTGGAGTGTGGAGTGTAAAGTGTGGAGTAAGGAGTGTGGAGTGTGTAAAGTGTAGAGTGTGGAGTGTGGAGTGTAGAGTGTAAAGTGTAGAGTGTAAAGTGTAGAGTGTGGAGTGTAGAGTGTAAAGTGTAGAGTGTGGAGTGTGGAGTGAGGAGTGTAAAGTGTAAAGTGTAAAGTGTAAAGTGTAAAGTGTGGAGTGTGGAGTGTGGAGTGGAAAGTGTAGAGTGTGGAGTGTGGAGTGTGAAGTGTGGAGTGTAAAGTGAGGAGTGCGGAGTGTAAAGTGTGGAGTGAGGAGTGTAAAGTGCAAAGTGTGGAGTGTTGAGTGTAAAGTGTGGAGTGTGGAGTGCGGAGTGTAAAGTGTAGAGTGTGGAGTGTAAAGTGAGGAGTGTGGAGTGTAAAGTGTGGAGTGTGGAGTGTAAAATGTAAAGTGTGGAGTGTAGAGTGTAAAGTGTAGAGTGTAAAGTGTAGAGTGTGGGTGTAAAGTGTGGAGTGTGGAGTGTAAAGTCTCGAGTGAGGAGTGAGGAGTGTAAAGTGTAAAGTGTGCTGTGTAAAAAGTAGAGTGTGGAGTGTGGTGTAAAGTGTAGAGTGTGGAGTGCGGAGCTTCCCCCATAGACACGGTGACGCCACAGGAAAACCAGAGACTCGAGACGAGACACGTGGGTGCAGAAAAACGAGCATTTCGTACGAGATGTCCTCCAATTTTGACAATTTCGACACGTTATGAAACAGGTTGGAATGTCACAAAGTGCCACGCCTGCCACGCAAAAAGACATGACAACCTGCTTGGAAACATTCGAAAAGGAAAGGTTTTGCGACTTCCCCCACGGCGAAGCCACAGGAAAACCAGAGACTCGAGACGAGACACGTGGGAACACCAAAACGGGCATTTCGTGCGAGACTTCCTCCAATTTTCACACTTTGTAGCTTCAAAATCGACGTTTTCCTACGAGTTTTCGTAGGAACCTCTAAATTTTGCAACCTCAAAATTGATGTTTCGTGCGAGGCTTTCGTCAATTTTCAGCACATCTCACAAAATGCCACACCTGCCGCGGAATTTGCACCTTGTCGCCATTTGAACAATGCGATTTGCAAAAAACACGCGACACGACACGTCTAAAGTGCTGCGGCTGCCACGCAGTACACGTCCAAAGTGCTGCGCCTGCCACGAAAACTGCCACGCATCTTTTGAAAACGTCGCAAAATTATTGTGCCTGCCACACAAAACGACTTTCGACACGTTACAAAACACGTCTGAATGTCACAAAGTGCCACGCCTGCCACGCAAAACGAGGCAACGAGACGTTTGAAACCTCCAAAAATGACCCGCTCTGCAGAACTTACCCTAGGCACGGCCATATAGCAATCGCGCGGACGGTTGCGAACGGTTGCGGACGGTTGCGGACGGTCGTGAACAGAAACGCAACGTCGAGCGAACACACCCTCAGCCCCCAGACCGCCAGAGTGAAACGGGAACTCTTGCTACGCATTCGGGAACAATGATAGCAAATGATAGTTAATGATAATAGTTACTGATAAGCTTAAGAATAGGGATGTCCAAGTCCCTCCGGGATGAGGTACTTTTCGAAAAAACTTGGCGGTAGCCTATGTGGATCCTCCTTCTCCATTGACGCAAGTACAAGGGAATGTCGCTCAATGATTACTCAGTTCAGCAAATGCTTCAGGAAGGTAGGGCCACATACAACATGGGCACAATCTATATTGCACCGGAGTGAACTGCTGAAGCATCATCGACATCCACGCAGAAGCGGGTGATATCCTACAAAATTGACCGAGACTACTCAGCATTGCGAGCTATATTTGGCATCAAAGAGGGAGCCTGGACCACGACAGGTGAGCCAATGAAGAATTCTCGGCCAGGGCCAGGGGAACACTTGACGCCTCTATCGTGGATGATTGCGAGACTTGAATTGCCTCTCGGTATCTCCTTTACCTCAAATCTGCTTTCTGCGAGTGGAGACTGTCTTGTTTGTTGATCGAGATGGAACTGTGCCCGGTTCTATATGGTTCAATTGTTCTTGGATGCACATTTACCTCTCCAAATCTGGTCTCTGGCTATCGATCATCTATCGCCCATATTCAAACCTCAGGAATGACCTGTTCAGGATTACATATATCTGGGTAAACTATAACGACCTCACTGCGACCTCACTATAATCATAGTTAGTAAAATGATCCCCAAATGGCCTTAATTCAGTTTAGTGAAATATTATTATTTACCCAGGTATATGCATATATCTATCCATGAGTTCAGGATTCCCATGACATGGGATGGATGACCATAAACACCCATAAACCATGTACCATTTGCGTTTTTTTCATGGGATAGTAATGCTGATTTAACATGAGATAATGGGGATTTAATGGCTGTGGTGGGATATATATATATATATGCATATTTAATATCTATAACCATACAATGGGATATCCCATAAACCATGAAGGGCTATATATATATATAACCAACATTTTGTTTTAACAGGGAAAATATGGTTAAATCAGATTAAAGGTACCCAATTGTCAGACTCAATTGGGGTGTTTCACGCAATTTGATCGAAAAAACACATCAAAATCACCATCCGGTAGTCAAACGTGGCTGGCTGGAAAATCCACCATTTATAGATGATTTTCATTGGTTTTCCCATTGAAACCTGCATTTATAGGGGATTTTCCAGTATTGTCTTATATTTTCCATTTTTTCCATGGTTTTTGCAATTTGAACTTCTGTTGATATAGGATTTTCTGTCGCCGCGGTTACCGAGGGTATACCCTGCAGGCTCCACAGGAGCGACGAAGAAGATTTGAATCTCCACCTGCGATCACCGAGGCGGCGACATTTTCGGCTGGGGAGACGGAAGTGGTGGATGTAGCATTCGTTATACTGGGAAATGTGCCCTCTGGTTATTTAACATAGCCATGGAAAATAACCCATTTATAGATGGTTTACCTATTAAAAATGGTGATTTTCCATGGCTATGTTAAATAACCAGATAGTAATGGAATATGGTGATGAGAAATGGCATTTAAACCAGTTTCTAGGTCAATCAATTGGATGGGTAGAAACTAACCCGAACTAGTCTCTTGGTATTTAATGGTTTTATCTACGTTCACCAGCTAAGAATTTATTTTCTTGCAGGGTATCTAAGATTGGCCATGCTATGGATGGATGGGCTGGGGGGGGTTAGGAACTAGTTGAGTCAATTGAGTGGAAAATTGAGATGCTAAATGGTGAAATGTAGAATATTGTAACATCAAATCTAAGTATGGATGAATCCCGCTTTTAGTCATTGCCACAAAGTGCTGCCATAGCTAGCTAAGTTGATTGAAATAGGTATGTTTTAGTAGGCTCTATGGTGATAACAACTATTAGTTAATGAGGTTGTAGTTCGACAAACAGAACTGGGGGGAGGGCTGCGACCTTGTAGGAAAACCTTGGTTGAGTAGTGTTTCTTTGCCATAAAAGGGGCATACTGGGGATGGTGATATTTTCATAGGACGACCAGCCAGATGATATCGATTTTCCATTGAAATATGGGATACTTCCTTCATGGGAGTTTACCAATATCTGGGTAAAAAAATATAACGACCTCACTGTTCTCCCGAAGCCGGGAATCATGGTTTATTTTAGGGAAATCATCCCCTTTTATGGCCCAACAATTCAGGTTGGTGAAATGTTATAATTTACCCAGCAATATGTATCTGGTTGGTGGTTTGGAACATGAATTTTATGTTCCATTTCATATATGGGATGTCATCTTTCCCATTGACGAACGAATATTTTTCAAGATGGTTATTGCACCACCAACCAGATATTCATTGATATTTTTAGATGTACTAGTATTATCCTCTGAAATCTCAATGATTGTGGATCATCCCATGGATAATTACCATTTGTAGATCATTTATAGATCAACCACCAAAAATTGATAAAAATGGTAGACCATTGGATGCTGAGATACCATGTCACAGCTGGACACAGCTCAGTTTTTTTGTTCCACAGAAGTGGACAACTCACCATGTGTAGATCATTGTCCTCAGGAAACTACGGATTTCCACATTAGTAAATGTCAATACCATGGTAAACGTTTACAGTTTGCGAACTGGAAAATTACCATTTTGAAGAGGTAAATCAACTATTTCTATGGTCCATGTTCAATAGCTATGTAACAAATTACCAGAGGGTAATATAATATCATAGGGTCTGGATTGGTTTTCAGAAGACTTGGTTCTATGCAAAGGTGAGAAGCGCAAAGTGTCAGGTCGATCTCATCCCTTGAGTGTGTGTAAAATCGCCATTTCAGGTACTGTAGCGATTTTGGAGGTAAGGTACCTACAAGATGGTGCCCCAGTTCGTTAGCTAAGTTGGTTTATAAGTCCAAAAACTAAGGTTTATGGGGTTATATCTATAGTTAATGGGGATTATAAACCAACAAACATCACTATGGGGGCACCACCTTGTACAATATATGTTGGGTCAATGTAAGGGGCTCAATTTCCGTGTGCATACCCTTGGAACATGATTTTATGTGGTACAGTACCTCCAGTTTAAATCATATGTTAACATGTGTTGACACATTCCCATGATATTTCAATTCATATAGTACATAACTACACTAAAAAAAAATATATCTACCATATCTACCATTAAACTTGGTTTATATCATTTATATCCCATCTTCTCATTGATTCCTATCCCAGTCATTGAGCTTTCGGAGCCCTCAGCCTTGTTGGGATCTCATCCCAGGACGTGAGACGAAGAAGACAGGATTCTCCACCGAATCCAGAGGCAACGGGAGTTCCGTTTTCACCATGGTTTTTTGTGTCCACCTACTTGGTGGCTCATCCCACTTAATAAGTGGGTTAGTTCACCCCAGTTAGTGGAGTTTACCCCGCTTTCGACCTACTTTGGTAAACGTTTACATATCTATGTTTTGCGTGGATATAGAACCAATGATGGGATGAGGTGGGATGTTTTTCGTGTCCACCTACTTTTTGGATCATCCCACTTACCGTCTTGTAAACGTTTACATAACGAACTGGAAAATCACCATTGGTAATTGATAAATCCACTATTTCTATGGCCATTTTCAAGTTAGCAAACTGTAACAAATTCCCAGAGGGTAGGTGGCTTAGTTCACCCCAGTGAAAGAAGTGGATGAACTCCACTTGTCCCATGCACATAACTTGGGTGAACTAACGTATTTACGATTCGTGGGAAGAGCCACCAGCCGTACTGATCGAGATTTTACTCATCAGCCAAATGGGATAGTTGGATGGGTAAACGATGGTTGTATAATGCTGTATTAATGTTGTATAAAATAGCAAATCAATGCAAATCATGGATATAACATGGGTATACAATGGATGTCGAACCAATGACTAGCGTGACTAGCTGGTCGCTGGATTTCAATGTTTATGTTCAACGCGTTGATATGTTTCAGGGTAGATCTACGGCAAACATTGGATTTGTGCGGTTCCGTTATCATTGGACTGTGCTCTGTCGAATTTGGACTGTGCTATGTCGAAATTGTTTGATTGATGTGTCTTTTGTAGAAAATTCCAAGTGATTTGGCAATGCCAGAGAATGTTTTTGGTGGCAGTGGAGCAAAGGGCTGCCTATAGTTAGCTAAGTTGGTTTATAAGTCCAATAACTAGGGTTTATGGGGGTTATATCTATAGTTAATGGGGATTATAAACCAACTTAGCCAACTATGGGGGCACCACCTTGTAGTATGTCTTCTCTTTGATGAACGCCATGGTGTCATTGCAATCCCACAGCCATGTGCCAGGGAGACTTCAGAAGAAGACAGGACTCTCCTCCACACCCAGAGGCGGGGAAGAGACAGGAGGGAACCTTGACATGCTCTCTAAAAATTCAACATCTGATTTTCCATATACCATCTGGTTACATAGCCATGCAAAATCACCATTTTTAATAGGTAAAACCATCTATAAATGGGCCCTTTACCATTATGTTAAATAACCAGAGGGTATTGGGAATAATGATCCCAACTGATTTTCATATTTTTCAGAGGGGTAGGTCAACCACCAAGCAGACATAGTAAAAGTGCTGATTTTCCATAGCTATGGCTATGTAAGTTTACCAAAAAATAAGTCAATTTTGTTACATGACAATGTAGGCGATTTGTCACATGACATATGTCTCGAGATGCCAATGTAGGATGGTGGTCTGATTTGGGTAAAAGAATCGGTGATTTTCCGTTTACAAAAATGGAGGATTTAAACACTGGTTGGTGGTTTCAAACATGTTTTTTTTCCATAATATATGGGATAATCCTTCCCATTGACTAATATTTTTCAAGATGGTTAAAACCACCAACCAGAACATATTTCTCGTTTCATGCTGGCCACGAGCTGCTAGACGCAGTTGTTCTTTGCAACCGAGTCTTCTGACATAATTACAACTTACATGTGGTAAACCCAACATGTGTAAATCATTGTCCTAGGGAACCATCGTTTTCCAGATTTTTGTTTGCATGTTTACCAGAGGGTAACTTCAGTAAACCTCAGCCTGAACCATGCCGCCATGTGAATTGATCTCTGCACAGCCAGGGCGACTTCAGACGAAGAAGACAGGACTCTCCACCGCCGAACCCAGAGGCACCCGCTTGGGGCCGCTTGGAGGATTGGGAACCGGTTAGTAATCAGTGCAGTAACTGATCTCTATGGATAGTACAAGGTGAGGCCCCCATCCCCCAGGTATGTTGCTTTATAACACAACTATAGTAGCTAATCAGTTATATCAGTTATATTCCCCAAAAAAACTGGTTGGTGGTTTGGAACATGTTTTTCTTCCATATATTGGGAATAATCATCCCAACGGACTCATATTTTTCAGCGGGGTAGGTCAACCACCAACCAGAATAGGTAGCTAATCAGTTAATTAAGCAAGTTAGAATGTGCGTCAACTTAGCTATTTCTGGGACCTCACCTTGGAAAATCGGGACGCAGCAAGAGATCCGCCGATCTTAGCCCCTGTGGATTGAGTTGGAAAAAATCGCCGTTTTTTTTTTCACGAGGAAATCCGATGATGTCACAACAGGATGGGGCCACCAAGATAGCGTTCAGTTGGTTTATAAGTGGCTGAATTCTATGGTTTATGGTAGATACCAGTAGTACCGCACAAGGCGGTGGCGGAAGTTTCAGAATAGGAAACCTATAGGAGACGTTGGTTGTTGTGAATCACGGATGGCAGAGCGAATCCACTGATTGACCGAAAGGTGGTTGGAGCTGTGTTTGCTGGAGTGGTTGCAATGGTTGCAGTGGTCACCTCACCCACAACTGCTGGATGTAGTGTGATGTACTGCAAATGTAGTTGTAGTTGTAGCGTAGTGGAGTTGTAGTTGTGGTGTAATGTAATTAGTGTAGTGTAGTTGCAGTCATATAGTTGTAGATGTAGTTGTTTTGTAGTTGTAGTTGTAGTTGTAGTAGTTGTTGTAGTTGTAGCTGTAGTTGTTGTGTGGTTGTAGTTGTTGTGTAGTGTAGTAGTAGTAGTAGTAGTAGTAGTAGTAGTAGTAGTAGTAGTAGTAGTAGTAGTAGTAGTAGTTGTTGTTGTTGTTGTTGTTGTTGTAGTTGTTGTAGTTGTAGTTGTTGTTGCTGCTGTTGTAGCAGTAGTAGTAGTAGTAGTAGTTGTTGTTGTTGTTGTTGTAGCTGTAGTTGTTGTAGTTGTAGTTCTAGTTGTAGTTGTTGTGTAGTTGTAGTTGTTGTTGTTGCTGTTGTTGTTGTTGCTGTTGTTGTTGTAGTAGTTGTTGTAGTTGTTGTAGTTGTAGTTCTAGTTGTAGTTGTCGTGTAGTTGTTGTAGTTGTAGTTGTTGTAGTTGTTGTGGTTGGTGTTGTTGTTGTTGTTGTTGTTGTTGTTGTTGTTGTTGTTGTTGTGGTTGGTGTTGTTGTTGTTGTTGTTGTTGTTGTTGTTGTTGTTGTTGCTGTTGCTGTTGCTACAGCTGTTGCTGTTGTCGTCGAAGTTAGGGTAGTGAAGTTAGTTAAGTTAGTTAAGTTAATCAATTTCTACTTTTTCGACATCTTCACGTCAAAAAAGGCTCAAAACCCTCAGTTTTTTACACTTTTGACTTCGAAATGTGCTTTGCGCCACAACGGCGTGCGCTTTTTCGACACTTTTTCGACATCTCAACTTCCAAAAGTGGTCCGAGACCGCCAGTTTTTAACACTTTTGACTTGGAAATGTGCTTCGCGCCACAACGGCGTGACCAAAAGTGGTCCGAGACCGCCAGTTTTTAACACTTTTGACTTCGAAATGTGCTTCGCGCCACAACGGCGTACACTTTTTCATCTCTCATCTGGCCAGCTGGCTCCGCACCCGCCGCTTTAGCGAGCCTACTTTTCGACCCTCAGGAGCCACAAATCATTGGAAAAACACAGTGAATCGCGACTTTCCTACCTTTTCGCGCATCTGTATCTTCTTTCTTCTGACTCTTTCTCTTCTACTCTTCTCTCTTCTGATCTTTCTCTTCTCTCTGCCTCTGCCCTGCTCTGCTTTTCATCTGTCCATATTGTCGGAAGTTTGACTTCTAAACTTCCTTCGATAACGAACTAGTAACTATAGTATTCATGGGGATTATTTCATGGTTTAAAAACCAACAAACATCACTGGGGGGGCCCATCCTGTAGCCATGCCTGGCCTATATGGTTGCATGTTCATGGAACCATGATTTTAGTAGATTGGGGGGGTTCGTAAGTCATGGGGTACCTCGAAATCATTCAAGTCATGCATGACAATTTTAGTATAGTTTTGCTGATCCATTTTAAGAAACCCCAATCTATTTGCAGAAGTTGAAAGCCATCTTGAAAAGAACATGCTTTGTTGCCATACAATTGCCCTACGGTTACTGCATGTATGGGCAATGCAAATCCAGAAGCCAATTGCGAAATATTCTGGTTGGTGGTTTGGAACATGAATTTTACGACTTTCCATATATTTTGAATAATCATCATCCCAACTGATGAGTTGTCATATTTTTCAGAGGGGTAGGTCAACCACCAACCGGATTTACCCATTTCAGCTGGCCCCAATTGGGTGGGGTGTCTACCTACCTGGTCGCGTTTGAATGGCTGATGTCACGGGTAAAATCGTTGAAGAACAATACTCGACAGTTATGGCCCGAAAAAAATTGTTAGAGTTTGGATAACTCCTGCTATATCCTGGGACAACCATGAAGATTATCACTGGTTATTTCATGGGAATATCATGGAATATGGCGATGAGAAATGGCATTTGAACCAGTTACTAGGTCAAGATTGGATTGGATCAATGGCCATTTCAGGAACCGATTGAATTGGAGGTACCTACCATATATAAGGCCTTTTTTTGAGGCCTATGTAAGGGAATATCACCACAAAATATGGCCTTATATGGTAGAGTACCTCCAATTTAGGATCCTGGAATTCCCATTGAACGAAGGGTGAGTTGAATTGTATATCATTATTCGCCCGTTATAACTGTCAAGGGCTATCACTGCATATCTTCAGTTTCTTGATCTGCCACAGCGTTTGAATTCGACGTTGCCGTGCCCCAGGGAGACTTCAGACGAAGAAGACAGGACTCTCCTCCGCCAAATCAAGAGGCTTCCCCCGTTCGTGTCAAACACCCTGCAGAAATTACAGTGTGGTTGAGTGGGGGACGAAACCACATATCTATATATATATAATATAGATAACTGGGGTCCTTAACCATGGGGTTGTTTTTTCTTTGAGGGGATTGCCCAGAGCCACCATCTGAATCGATTTGTAATCCCTATCCTTGTCTGGGAATTGTGACATTTTTGCGCACCTCTGGTCTTCTTTGGGTAGCCATCGCCATGGCCAGGGAGACTTTTTTCAAAGGAGAAGACAGGACTCTCCGCCAAGCCGCGAGGCCGGCAAGAAATCACCAGGAATCCTGTAAGATTTGGGGATGGGTCAAAATCTAGTCTATACAGTTATGGCCATGTATTAGTTACAACTGGTTATAAATGGGATTATACATTCTATAAATGGGGTTATAAGTACTTATAACTGGTAAAGGGCCATAACTGTACCTTTTTTTGGGAATGAACATCCATCTGCTACCTATTTTACCAGAAGGTCCCCAGAATTCTTGATTTCACCATATGCCATGCATATTCCGCATTTGAAGCAGCGATGGATGCGATCGGACCATCCTGCTGCCCAAAATCGTTGATGTCCAGGTTAGGTGTTCTACTCATTTGCCCTTTACTCTGGTTTATGGTTTTAACATGTTTTAACCTACTATCAACCAGCTATAGTAGATATAAACCAATAATAACCAGTAACAACCCCAGTTATTGGTCATTTGGTTGATGTGTTCTAATGACCAAAAATACGGATATTAACCTACCAACCAAATGAGCAATAAGTTTAACCCATCATGGGTTATACATTAGTTAAATGGGACCAAAAAGGGCATGGTTTCCTGTTGTTACTGTAGTTTTTGCCCTAAACCAACCCACTCATCAGTCAAGGATTCTTCATTTTTCCTGGATTGAACCCTCAAGTTTCTCATCAAAATCATTGGCACACATATGATGAATCTCCATTTGTTTTGCATTGAATCCCAGTTTGAATATGGCAAATGGGATATTCATGGGAATTATTCGGATCATATGGGATATATGGAGGTTTCCTAAGATGGGGGTACCCCGAAATCATCCATTTTTATAGTAGGATTTTTTTATTATAAACTTCTAAACCATTTTGGGGTACCCTCATTGGGAAATAGCTAAGTAAATCAAAGGGATATATCGCTACTATTATTCATTATCATGGGAATTTAGTGGGAATAAATTGGTTTATTTGGATCATATAGGATATATATATATATATAACCTGCAACTGTTGGGCCACACCCAAAATGTTCGAAAGAACAGTTGTAACACCTGGACTAGGCTGACTTTCGAAGAAGACGACTGGACTCGCCTTCTTACCAGGAGGCAGCGGGAAGTTTCTCTGAGATGGGTACCCTCTGGTAAACTAACATAGCGAACTGGAAAATCACAATGTTTAATGGGTAACTCAGCTATAAATGGCCATGTTCAATAGCACACTGTTAGTTTACCAGAGGGTAAGCTTTATAAACCAACCTCGAGATCAAGACCCTGGGTTTGTGCTTGAACATCGAACCAGAAACATGGGCTTAATGGTTGACTTGTTGTTGGGTAAATTTGAGTGGTTTAATGTATAGGAGCCCCTCAAATACTGTAGATAGAAGAAAATACATTCTAGATTGTATAGATGATCTTTACATCATAGTTTGCAGGTTTCCAAAGTGCCCATGTGTTCTGGGGGTGGTATCATTGATATTAATTGATAATCTGGTTGGTGGTTTGGAACATGTTTTGTTTTTCCATGGGAAAAATCATCCCAACTGACGAAATCATATTTTTCAGAGGGGTAGGTCAGCCACCCACCCATAATTGTTTGATGGGTCAAATTGGGATGCAACTGGGGAAGGTCTTCATTCCCATGCTGGGAGGTTCTGCGTGAGACGGATTTTTGTACGGCTCTGCGTTTTTGGGGGAATGGTCATCAATCCATTTTCATACGGATTTATGTGCCCATTAAACCATATGAAGATGAACCCAATAATATGGTCCCATAATATACCATATATATACCCATATACCCATCATATATCCATAATATACCCATAAGATATACCCATCATATACCCATAATGGTCCCAATATATAGATCATGACCCAAATTGTTGGGAATGTATGGGATCATCCCAACAATAATATGGTCCATACGGATGATGTGCTCACGGATTCCCAATATGGGATGGATGACCATAAACGAATGTGTAACTATATGAAGCATATGGCATGTATTGACAGCACATGTTCAAAAGGTTTCTTTCTGCCTTCTGCAAAAAAAGTTTCGGGACATGTTGTTTTGTTTTTCCTGCCTTTGTGAATGATCTGCAATTGTTGCCGGAAAGAGGTATTGAACAAGGTGGTGCCCCCATAGTTATAAGTTTGTTTATAATCCCCATTAATTATAGATATAACCCCCATAAACCCTAGTGCAATTGGAAACTATAGATATAACCGATATAACATGATATAACCCCCATTCATCAACTTTCGTTATTGGATAGATAAACAGAATTTACCATAGTTGGGGGAATAAACATCCATAAGCCAGCCATTTTGTTGGGTACCATGTTTGAGAATCAACATCCATAAACCAGCTATTTGTTGGGTACCATCCCGGTAATCCCGGGTTGTGACGAAAGCCAGGGAGACTTCAGAAGGAGAAGGCAAGACTCTCCACACGCGGAGGTTGGAAACGAATTAGTCGGGGGAAGCTAAACGACAGTGGCATAAGCCCCCCTTACCCATAGGATCCATGTATGGTATATATGCTAACATTTGGGGTATATTGATGGTAAATGTTACCATATATAGCAGCACCATGGATCCTATGGGTTATAGAGCCACACTTGTACAGCACTTGATCGACAAAATAACCCCCACCGTTGACGATAGCTAAGCGGGTTTATAAATCCAATAAATTCCAACAACTGCGGTTTATGGTACTTATCTGGGTAAATTATAACGACCTCACTACGACCTCACTGGAAATCATGGTTTATTTTAGGGAAATCATCCCCAAATGGCCTTAATTCAGGTTAGTGAAATATTATAATTTGCCCAGACTTATGACTACAGTTAATTGGGTGAAGCTAAACCAATTTAGCTATCGTGAACGCTGGAGCGCCGGAACCCAGGTCTATTGGAAGACGGTATGACTGATAGGGCCTATCTATCTATTTGTACCTTGGTTGCCGATGGCAAGCAGGGCCATTCTATTTTTTTGGAAGGCTCCAACATGCAAATAGCAAGAAAAATGGACCGAACAGGAAATCCAAACAAGAAAACAGAAACAAATAAATAACTCCCCAAAGAACTTCGCAGCCCAGTTTTGCCAACGCGGAATTTTGACTGGGTCGATGGAGCTGGGAAGATTGCAGACTCAGACGATTGCCTGGCATTCCTTCCGACCTTTAGACCCTTCAGTTGCTGCAATAGGTAAGGGTTAAGTGTGATGCTATCCTACTATATGATTTTGTAGACTTTTTGTAGCTGGTTACCTATATGAGATGACTGGAAGGTGATAAATTCATAGTTACATACCTTTGGTTAGGGTCTTCCCATGGGTTTGCCAGAGGGTATGTCAGAATTCATGACCTGATGAATTGAGTCGTGAAAGCTGTGATGCAAGTGCTCATGGGGCATTCCGAATAATATGTCGCACGAGTTGTGGTCATGTTATTTTGCGATGATAGCAGATGTTGTTTTCTTTACCTGACTTGATTCATGTTCATAAAAACTTTGCAGAAACACCTCATACTCGCATCATGGTTTCCTACACATTCTTGCTTGAATCGGCGCAATGATTCTTTGCTTGCCAGCGTGGCAACAGCAATACGCCAGGGAGACTTCAGAAGAAGGAGACAAGATTCTCCTCCCCCACCGCCGGAGGCTTCAAAAGGGCGGTTGTGGTGGAGGGGCATGTCACCAGCCCACTTCGGTGACCCTTCCAATTTAGGTAAATCTTGGATGGATAGAAACTGATCCTTTAGTCTTTTTGTATCAATGGGATTATCTACGTTCATCAGCTAAGATTATTTGTTTGCAGGGTGTCCAAGATTGGCCGTGCGATGAAATAACTGGTTGGTGGTTTGGATCATTTTTTATTCCATTCAGTTGGGAATAGTAATATTCATAATCCCAACTAATACTTTTCAGAGGGGTAGGTCAACCACCAACCAGAATCATATCCCCAATTATCAACCATGGTTAATGATGGTTACTGATAGTTAATGATGGCTAATGTGGGAAAAAAACAATGATAGTTAATGATAGTTAATGATAAGCTTAAGAATAGGGATGTCCAAGTCCTTCTGGGATGAGGCTTTTCGAAAAAACTTGGCGCAAGCCTATGTGGCCCAAAAAAACAAACCTCAGGAATGACCTGTTTCTGTGCATAGCAAGTTGGGTATCTGCAAAATGGGATGCTGAAACAATAGTCTTCAGTGAACAAACTCCCACACTGACAAAGGCAACTTCGAAGCCCCTTGAAACTCATAAACGTTGTTGTTGGTGGTTTGGAACATGTTTTATTTTTCCACATATTGGGAAGAATCATCCCAACTGACTTTCATTTTTTCCGGAGGGGTAGGCCAAGCACCAACCAGTTATAAGCGTTGTTGTTGTTGTTGTTGCTGTTGCTGCTGTTGTTGTTGTTGTTGGTTGTTGGTTGTTGGTTGTTGGTGTTGTTGGTTGTTGGGTGTTGGGTGTTGGGTGTTGGTTGTTGGGTGTTGGTGTTGGTGTTGTTGTTTGTTTGTTTGTTTGTCTGTCTGTTTGTTTGTTTGTTTGTTTGTTTGTTTTTTTTGTTTGTTTGTTTGTTTTTTGTTTGTTTGTTTGTTTGTTGGTTGGTTTGTTTGTTGTTGTTGTTGTTGTTGTTGTCTTTCGTCGTTGTCGTTGTCGTTGTCGTTGTCGTTGTCGTTGTTGTTGTTGTTGTTGTTGGTGGTGGTGGTGGTGGTGTTGGTGTTGTTGGTGTTGGTGTTGGTGTTGGTGTTGGTGGTGTTGGTGGTGTTGTTGGTGTTGTTGGTGTTGTTGGTGTTGTTGGTGTTGTTGGTGTTGTTGGTGTTGTTGGTGTTGTTGTTGTTGTTGATTAAGAAACCCTTCATAAACCAAACCATTCTTGGGGCTTGGTTTGGGGTTGAACCCCCAAGACATTCTCATCGTGTCCTCCATTGCTGACATACCAAGTGTCAGTAAAACAATAATCAAGCACCCATATGTTGATGGCTTATACCACCCATTTATGGTAAACTTAGGGATGGTTCACTAGTGCTTTGCTAACATCAACTAGCATTGTTTTGAGCACTCTTGTCGGCCATGTTTTTCTTGATTGTGCCACCTTTGATCCAGTTTGGCGAAATTGGGATAGATCGAAAGCGGCTGACTACCATATTTTTTCGGGGCGACGAACCAACATCCATAAAACCCAAGCCATTTTGCTGCGAGAACCAAGGTACCTGGGTCCCAAAAGACCCATACTTGGGGTGCGGGCCCCACTCAGTAAAGGGATGTATACTCCCAATTAAATTAATGGAATATTCCCACTCATATATGGGATTATATGAATTATATGGTTTATATATGGATAAAGCACTTACTAAGTGGGATGAACGTCCAAGTACCCAGTTCATTCGTTGATCTTATATGATTCATACAAGGTGGTGCCCCTTTTCGGAATCGCTGAGTTGGTGCGTTTATAAGTCCAATTTCACTAGGGTTGATGAAAAGGGGTTGTATCTATAAGTTGGTGCGTTTATAAGTCCAATAACATAATGACTATGGGGTTGATGAATGGGGGTTATATCTTTTTATCTGTCCAATAACTAAGGTTGATGAATGGGGGTTATATCATGTTATTTCGGTTATATCTATAGTTTCCAATTGCACTAGGGATTATGGGGGTTATATCTATAGTAATGTATAGTATTCATGGGGATTATAAAGCGATGTGATGCCCCCAGTGATGCCCGGAGCTGACTGAACTCCGAACAACGCCCGTAACAATTATCGCGATATCTACCATACATGGGAAAGTGAGTGCACTTATAAACCAACTGAAGATTAATTATGGAGCGCCAAGAATCATTGTTCCACGATTGAGTCACTTTTCTTGATGATAAAACCATGTTAAAGCCTCAACTTTTTGAGTGAACACACGAATGGCTAACGAACAGGGGCACATCCTTTTATTAACATCCAACAAACACTGATTTTATACCATTAATCTCCGTTGTTTGTTGCTAAAACCCAATGTTTGTCGGTTAATCTTCTGTATCTCTAGTGCACGCCAGGGCTTTCGAAGGTCCTTTCGAAGACCCATGGAGTCACCGTTACCTGGTTCGAAACAGTGGGAGCTGTGCTGGGCAACACTTCTGGATGGCAACAAATTCATACAATGTGGGGCCTCAGTTGCCTCAGGTTGTTGGCTAGCTATACATGTTTACAACTGGATTAACGTTCTTGGATGGGATTATAAACACACCATAGATCCTCATTCTGGTGGGTTAAACCGCACTTTTCATGGCTCAAATCCTTATTTTCATCCTAAAATAAACGAAAAATCCCACTTTTCTCGCATTTTCATATATGTTCCCCCTTGAAATGACCACGTTGTCCCCAGGCGCCGCGGCCCACGCGACGCCGAGCCTTTCGCGCCGCCTTTCGCCCCGCGCAGCCCGCGCAGCCGCAGCCGCCGGCGGACGGACAGCCGTGGCCGCGGCGGCTTCGGCAGCCCGAGAAGGCGGAGGAGTTGGGAGACTTGGCCAAAGATTAAACCCCTCAATGACTTTAATGGTGGTTTTAATAGTGATTTTTCATGGATTTTAATGGTGATTTAATGGGATGTAATTACGTTTTTACCCTCTGGTTATTTAACAGTTCGCGACAGTATAGATGGCCCATAGAAATAGATGGTTTACCTATTAATAGCATGGTGATTTTCCATGGCGAACTGTTAGTCATAACCAGATGGTAACTATTTTTGTGAGGGTCTTCATCCACCTGTCCCTTTGTCCGTCGTGACGATGGGAGTCTCGTGATCAGCCGGCACTTCAGGATTGAGCATCCTGCTCGCGGTGAAGCTCGGATTGTTTGCTGCTCATGGTGATAAAACCGCCATGGATACCTCCAGAAATTGAACATGAAGCAAGAGATAATACAAGGGGATTTCCTAAGTCATGGGGGTACCCCTATTAATTGTTGGCTTATTTCATGGAAAATCCATTTTAAAAATGGAAAAGCCTAAAGATGACATATGTGCCACTTGGAATCCACCATGTTTTTTTGGCATCTTCACGGGATAGATCCATTTACAAGACCAATCTACAAGGTGGGGCCCCATAGTAGTTAGCCAAGTTGGTTTATAAGTCCAATAATTAGGGTTTATAGGGGTTATATCTATGGTTAATGGGGATTCTAAACCAACTTATAACTATGGGGGCACCACCTTGCAAAATTGGTGGCTTTAGTGCCCAAAAACTATGATTTTGTTGTGCCCACACACTGTATCAAGATCAAACAGGAAATTATGTCCAAAACGCTGAATTGTTGTTTCCATGTTGGATTTCTGGAGTGTACAAAAGAATGCAAGTCTCGGTGTGACTCAGTCTCCCAACTCTAAGGAGTACATCACCATCTTGCTGCTGCCATATATGTATTTTGTGTTACGGCTTTAAGGTGACAGGATGTGAAAGTTTAGCAGTTACCATCCAGAAAGCCTGTCATTTGGAGGTGAAACCACACTTTCCCCTAGTTCTTGCCTTCAATGCATTGAAATTTCATGAAATTTCAACGGAGAGATGAGGTTTCGAGTTTCACGTAGTCGCCCCAGACACCTCGATGGTGGAAGTTGCGTTCGAAAAACATGCTGGCAGGTGGTCGGTTGAAGTCGGTGGTCGAAAACACTGTTAGAGACGGAGTTTTGGTAGGGATAGATACTAGGGATGTATGGGAAATTGGGAATAATTGGGGATTCAATGGTGATTTCATGGATTTGAAAGGTTCCTTCTGGTCGCTTTTTATTGCTTGTTGCCGTTCATGGAAAAAACGGGTGTACAGTCACTTTTGCTTCAGCTTGATCACTAATAAGAATATGAATATGAACATAATATTACATATTCATCTACAAAGTGGTCCCTCCAAACGATAACTAAGTTGGTGAACATAGCTCCACTTTCACTATGGTTTATGTTACATTAATATCTAAATATCTATATGTTTACTATGGTTTTTAAAGCAACTTATGAGGCCCATGGGGCCTCACTTTGTGGTTCGGTTCATCCTTTATATTCTCCCATGAATCTGAACATGGCATTCAGCAAATCATCACGAAAGTATGGGAAGATGTGCACGAAAAAAACAAAAAACGTATACTGGTTGGTGGTTTCAAACATGTTCAAACATTTTTCAATTCCATTTCATATATGAGATGTCATCCTTCCCATTGACGAACTCATATATTTCAACATGGTTAAAACCAGCAAGCAGTATATTTTGAGGAGGACATGTTGTTTTTTCAAATTTGCGTGAGCGAGTTGTGTCGGAAAATGGGACTGATCCTGATCCATTCCACCAACACTGCCTGTGGGTCCAAATCCTTGACCCATTTGACCCTTCATTCCACGGATGGTTCAATACACACAACGTGAAAGGGGCTGAGGGTCCATTGTTCTGGGTAAATTATAGCGACCTCACTGCGACCGAACCCTGGAAATCATGGTTAATAAGGGAAATCATCCCCAAATGGCCTTAATTCAGGTTAGTGAAATATTATAATTTTCCCAGACTGTTACAAAATGTGTTATTGACCTTAAATCTGTCATATTTGGGTAAGATTGGGATTGGTAGTTCAGTGCTTTGATACTGTGCAGTCCCGCGAACACAGCTTGGGACGCCTTAGAGGGTGATTCCTTCGGGGATTCGAGCGACATTTATGGGATATCCTTGAAATACACTTGATTAGTTTTGCCCACCATAGTTATCACAATCCATAACCAATCCGTATTTAGAACGAGTCTTCCGGGTATATCATGCAGCGGGAAAAACACGCTCTCATCTGTATGCAAGATTATGCTGCTTAGTTACTCATGTTATTATTACATACATACATATATATATGATTGTCTTCATGATCATGGATAGACTGTCCCAGACTCATGTATATGGATGGATTATATTTTGTTCATTATCCCCCATTAAATTCCCATTCGAACGGGACACATTTTTGTTGGTTAATGATCGTACATATACCCTCAAGCCAAGATTATGCCATTACAACCCCACTAAGACTCAAGTAAATCTCTATAATCTATAGTTGTCCGTTAATCCCCTAAAAACACACGATTCCAATAGCATTGACATATAAATGTGATAGTTGCCACTATGTTGGTTCATTCCCACTAAATCCTTATGTTTATTACTATAATTCCCATGAAGGATGGTAACGGTATTTCAACCGACTAAAATTTTGGTTTGGAACATTGTTTATTTTTCCATTCAGTTGGGAATTTCATCATCCCAACTGACGAGTTGTCATATTTTTTCAGAGGGGTAGGTCAACCACCAACCAGAAACATATCCCCGTTATAATATATTATAACCATTGTTGAAGAGCCATTCAGAGTTATACCCATTCCTGGTTGGTGGTTTCAAACATTTTTTATTTTCCATTTCATATATGGGATGTCATCCTTCCCATTGACTTTCACTCATATTTTTCAAGATGGTTTTTGCACCACCAACCAGCCATAGTTACAAAGCCATGAATAACCATAGTTATACCATGTTTTCAGTTATTAACCTATGCTTATGCTATACTTATCCCATTAAACCACATTAAACCAATCACATCCCCATTATTAAAAGCCACAGTGATACCACCAACCAGAAACGGCCAAAGTTTTCATCTCTATGAGATCCCATTCTTTTATACCCGCAAAATATGGCCTTTTATATCTTTTATGGTACAGTAACTATATTTTCGGATTCTGAAATTCCCATTGATAATATGGCTATGGATCAATACCTATAAATAGCGTGTTTAGTGGGATGAACATCCGTAAGTCCCAGCTCTTTTGATTTGAACTACAGGGGTGGTGCCGACTCATGTAAATACCCTCTGGTAATTTGTTTCATAGCTATTGAACATGGCCCATTTAATTCGTTGATTTACCCATTGAAAATGGTGATTTTCTAGTTCGCTATGTTAATTTACCAGAGTGTATATGGTACCATAGCCATGATCTTTTTGCCATGATCATGGTCTGAAATGCCAGGTCGGCAACTCGCAAGGCATAGCGCATAGCGGAATGATGATGGAATAGTCTGAGAGTAAATGGTGCGGACAGTGTTGGGTAATGGGATAATGATGGGAATCTAATGGAATTTCATAGAGTATAATTGAATATATAGAAGCAATGGGATATAGAAGCAATCATAGATTTATATATATATACCATCTGGTTATTTAACATAGCCATGGAAAATCAGCATGTTTAATAGGTAAACCCAGGTAAACCATCTATAAATGGGCCATCTATACCATGGCTATGTTAAATAACCAGAGGGTATATATACTGTGTAATGGGATTTACTTGAGCCATGAATAATTCCTACCCAACGGTTGAGAACGGTTATTGAGACAGGAGTTGTACTACCTTTTCTCGAAAAAGGGGATTATGAACTAAAACCATTGTAGGGAAAGCTACAAACCAACTATAATAATAACCTCTGGCAAACTGTTACATAACTATGGAAAATCGCTATTTTTAATGGGTAAATCCACTATAAATGGCCATTTTCAATAGCTATGTTTGTTTACCAGAGGGTAGTTGCTTTGAACTTACACTCCGGTAATGAAACACGGCTTGGTGGAAAATCTAGCTTATAGTCAATTTTCCAAGCTATACAACATGGAAAAAGTAGGGGTCCTTAACGGGTGGTCGTGACTGGATTGTTACCCATGAAATACGCCTGGTTATAAATTCAGTTAATATTTTAATATGAAGCTAGTGTGAATTACTATATCCACTTAATATATCCTACTGGATTAAATACGCCTAATCTGGTTGGTGGTTTGGAACATTTCTTTATGTTTTCCATATCTTGGGAATAATAATCCCAACTGACGAACTCATATTTTTCAGAGGGGTAGGTATACCACCAACCAGTAAGAATTTATATGAAGGGGATGTAAGCCAGCTACTTGCCATCCAACGAATTGCTAGGGCCCAACGAGAACAACGCTATCAAACCAAAGGTGATATTGGGTGATGATGTTCCCAGAACTAGGGAAAATTTGCAGGACCCCCCCATGCTTGGATGGGAAAAGCCAAGGTGTTCTGTAGATATTGTAGATGTTCCATTAAACCAATCACTCATTGGTGCCTTTCCCTCAATTTTACTTATTTTTGTTTCATGGGCTGATGTCAGCCACGGATTGCTAGACTTTGATGAATCAGAGGGGCGAAAAAGTGACCATCTGCTGCAAAAAAATGTTGCTGTAGAATGGTGCTCCCCTAACGATCAACAACTGGTTGCTGGTTTGGAACATGATTTGTTCCATATATTGGGAATAATAATCCCAACTGATGAACTCATATTTTTCAGAGGGGTTCAAACCACCAACCAGACAAGGTTATACTAGGGTTTAGTAGAAAATCCAGCCGCACTATGCTGGCCTTCTGTCTTGGGACGTACGTCAGGGCGCATTCCGTAACGGAGCCACCGAGTGAAGATGAAGATGAGGAGTCATTGCCAGCAAGCTACATGGGTGTGTCTGAAAATGAGGTGTTTGACGGTTTTTCACCCCCTTGCCATGGCAATGTTTTCATGCGGAACAATGATGATAAACCGTGGAAAGAAGGGGATTTCTATGTTCAGACAAAGCTAGATTCTATCTATTTGCACCGATTGTAGACATCTGCAGATGCCATTTTGGAAATGAGACTCTCGACACCAAGCGTCCTTCTCACCATCACAAAGTTAAGGGATAAAGCGTGTTTACAGCAGCCCACACAAAGATAGAACAGTGTTCCAATCTTAGTTGTGTGAGTTTTAGAAACACTTAGAAACACTTTCTAGTATTAGCTGTGTGAGTTCTATTTGTTTCTAATTGTTTCTAGTAAGTAAATATAGATATACAATTGGCCTATACTTACTTAGTTCGATGATGTGAGTTCTCCCCATATTCTTCCAGGCCTCCAAGATATTTTTGCCTCAACCGTGTGTTTTCAAAGGTCACGAACCAGGGCGCTTGAAATTTCCATGATTGATCTGGAAGATGGGTGTGAATATGGTACTTATATAATTAATTATATATATATACATACCATACCATACCGTACCGTACCGTACCGTACCATAGCATAGCATAGCATACCATACCATACCATACCACACCATACCATACCATACCATACCATACCATACATATTATGTGTATATATATATAGAGATTATATATATATACATGACCGAAGTTATGGTCGCGTTAATACTTTGCAATTGATGACCATAACCTCTGGGTTTCCTCAACATGGTCAAAATCATCGTTTTAATGGCTTTCAAAATGCTTCAAGTAATGGTTTAAGCAATGGGTTTAATCATAATTTAACACTAAACACAGGATTCTGGGGCTTCCTCAGGTGGTTGGTGTGTATGGTTGTAGGCAACATTTGCGAAATAATAGAAACTACATCAACACATCCCACTGAATAACAATAACTTAACAAGCCAAATCGCACGTGATGCAACAGAACGACCCTGGAACAATGCGGTTGAGGTTCAAATCGAACTGCTGCAATCGATGCTATGGAGATGGCCGTGCCACTTCCATCCCTGTGTCAGCCAAATTTCTTATGCTTACCCTCTAGTAAACTAAATAACTATGGAAAATCACCATTTTATAGCTGGGTTAAACCAACTATTTCTATGGCCATGGCTTCAATAGCAAACTGTTAGTTTGCCAGAGGGTAAACTTATAAACCAACCTCGAGATTAAGACCCTGGGTTTGTGCTTGAACATCGAACCAGAAACATGGGCCTAATGGTTGACTTGTTGGGTAAATTTGAGTGATTTAATGCTTAGGTTATCTCATGGATGGGATTTTGGCTATCCCGGAGGCACTCTCTCAACCCTCAGCAGAATTCCAAACAATGAAATATTGACCCAATGCGTAGCAACGTACAACGAAGGAGCTCCGTGTTTTCTTGGTTTGTCTCGAACTGAGCAGATACCTTGAGTCCTTGAGTGTTCGAATAAGACAAGCGAAGCTTGCATTGAAACCTTCAGACGGGCAATTCTGATGTGGATATCGAACTTGCAAGCATTACAGTCAAACCCTATAATGAGCAAAGAAGGGCAGTGAAGCAAACTGGCCTGCTTGCCCACTACTCAGCCCTTGCAAGAGGAGCAGATGAGACTGTTGATATGTTTGAAAATTTGAACGACAAGTTAGCTTAGCTAGCACACCCATAATAGTCCCATGAAATGGATGATACAATAACGTGCGTTTGCTCGTTCAATCCACATGTTCGCTCGTTAAAGTGCCACAATTTACCCACATAATTACACTGTATATCCATGTATGGTTAGCAAGCAATTGGAAATCCCCGATAAACGATTATTCGAATGGGAAAATCATCAAAAAAAAATGAGGCTTTTCCAGCAAGCCATGCTCGAATACCGGTACCCAGTTTTTCTAGTGGGATTTTGGCGCCATCCCCATCAAGCACCATTGACCCAATGTGTTTTTTTTCTGCCCAAAGAAGTCAATCATTGGCTCTCCAGTGTTTTTTAACAATTACCCACGTCACATTTCACCTGTAGTAAACCTAGTGCCACAAACCATCCCCGAAATCCGACACATTTTGGGTGGTATACACACCATCGATGGTAGGTTTATGGCCTTGGGTTTAACACATGTTTTTTCGTTGATTCCCATAGAAAATTGTTAAATCCCCAAATAATGAACCATCCCCCAGTCATCACCATGAATAGTTGGTATGTTTACCATTTCCAAATGGGTGGTTTATGACATGGTTTTAAGCACATTATATAGATTTTTGTTTCAAGACATTAACTGGTTGGTTTGGAACATGAATTTTATTTTCCATAATATATGGGATAATCATTCCCATTGACGAACTCATATTTTTCAAGATGGTTAAAACCACCAACCAGATTAATCATTGTAACATGTAACACATTCTCCCCCATGGCTACCCTAGCTCCATCCCCCAGGACGAGGACGAGGATGACGCTGGTGAAGACGGTCCCAAGGTGCGGACCTTCTCGGACGGCGTGGTTGAAATGGCACCATGGGCAGGCAGATGAATATGATTTTAAATAGCAAAGATGGAGATCTAACATGTTTTGTGTTTTGTTTTCTCAGCCCAATAGTCAATGGTTAATAGGGAGAGGGAGGATTTACTCTGAATATACGGAAGAACTGAACTGTTTGGTGGTTTCAAACATGAATGGATTATTTTCCATATATGGGATGTCATCCTTCCCATTGACTAATCTTTTTCAGAGGGGTAGGTCAACCACCAACCAGTTTTAAATAGCAAAGATGGAGGTCTAACCGGCACAAATTTGGAGTAATTGTCACCAGGAAAATGGTGACTTCAATGAAACAATTCTAACCAGCAAATGTTATATGTTAACCTATAAGACTGGTGGATTCAGAAACCAAAGATGTTTTTTTGAGCGAGCAAAGATGAGGCTTTCATCAACCAGATACGGGGAAGCTGTCCAGAAGATGGCTAACTTTGATTTGTGTCTGTTGTTTTCCTATTTTGTGAGTTGTTTCTGGCTATCGCCCCCCCAGTTATAAGTTATAAGATGTTATAAGTTTTTAAAACCATTTACTGTTGTAAAAATTATAAGTTATAGGTATCATAAACCATAAGTTGGAATTATGTTGTTTATTCTGGTAATCTTAGCCATGAAACCTACGCGAGGACAACGCGCTTCTACACCCCGGCAAGAAACATGGTGCGCAGCGCTTGAGGGCTGGAGTTGGGGTGGAGGAAACCGGTCTTGGCCAAGCTCAGAATGATGGGCGAAATCCCAACAAACATGTTTTGTTTTGTTTTCTCAGCCCAATAGTCAATGATTAATAGGGATAGATGGGAGAAGGATGATTTACTCTGAATATACGGAAGAACTGAACTGGCTGGTGGTTTCAAACATGAATGGATTATTTTCCATATATGGCATGTCATCCTTCCCATTGACGAACTCCATCATATTTTTCAAGCTTGTTATGGCACCACCAACAAGTTCTTTTTTTTTGGTGGCCATGTAAACATCATGGGTTTAACAGCCCATTCAAGGATTACTTCAAAGAAACATCCGATTATTCTCAAATTCAAACCTTTGCTTAGTAGGGAATAAGGGAATGATCCAGTTTTCACCAGTTTTTTGTTCGTCCCAGCAGGTCCCAGCAACCCCCAGCAACCCCCATTCCCATCCATTCCCTATCAAGCACCAGTAAGAATTACATGGGAAAACATGTTTTTTTTTGGGGGGGATATGCCAATTATATGCCAATTATTGAGAGACTCGTGGTACGAGATCAGACCATCAAGAGCGACGATGGATGATGCGACACTTGCAACGAAACGGGACAACATCCGTCACACCAGTACGGTCAGTTTTTGCAACCAAGTACAGTTGCCAGTTGCCAGCGAATACTACAAAACTATATGATGCAACCAATGGTTAGCCTATAGCTGTCTATGATCGACATTGCAACTTGATGAGGTTATTATATACAATGTTTTTCAAAATGCTGTCACTTGTTGTTGTTTCCCTATAGATTGGTCTGGATGAATTACATTGACCTCTGTGACGTCATTGGAATGATGTTTAGTAACGGGAATCACCGTAGCTGCTGGCCTCATTTCAATTTATTTCAGCTGTTTTCATTCAGATTGCTGAATGGTTATATTTCCGCTTGACGATTAGTCTTAGGTAGTCGCAAGGAAGCTAACATAGTCTCGTGGCAACATAACTTGTCACAGGTCGGTGGAATGTCCAGTTCGATTTCAGTTACCAGCCAAAAATCACATGCTATTGATATTGTCCGTATCCTTACCACTGGTTGGGTGTCAAGAGGACAACTGACCTCAAGATTACCAGTTTTTTGTTGGCTTGGGATTTTTGCTTCCAGGAGAGGCAAAATACATCTACAAACCCGCCACGGATGGTGTCTTGGTTAAGCAGACGCTTCAAGCGAAGCAAGCGGCGTTCGCCTAGCAAAATTGATGGGAAGTCGCCATCAAACATATGGCTGTTTCCTAAAGCATGGGGATACCCCAAATCACCGTGGGTTTCAATACTAGAAGGGACCAATTAATTGTGGATGATTGGTGGCACTTGGGTTTTGCCCCCCAAGTAACAGTGCAAAAATGGTTTTGTACTTAAAAGCCTATTCAAATTAAAGCACCAGGATGTATGATTGTTTCTTCTACTGTATGATTGCTGAATGGTTAATCATTAATAACTGTCATTGACAATATGGTTCATGATGGTTAATGTGGGAAATACATAATAACAAAAATAGTAGTAATAAGAAGAATAAATTATAATAATTTTAATAATAATAAAAATAATAGTAATAATAAATCAATAATAATAATATAATAACAATAATAATGATATATAACAATAATATGATTGACCCACTATAAACCAATCCTGGTTGGTGGTTTGGAACCATCTTTTATTTTTAATGACGTTCCATTCAGTTTGGAATCATCCCAACTGACGAACTCATATTTTTCAGAGGGGTAGGTTCACCACCAACCATATATATATATATACATATGATTATAGATTATATATGTGTGCCAAGGTCAATCTATCTATCAAACCAACTAATCGAATCTACCTTTCCTGTTCCATTCCTCACGCAAGGAACACGCAAGGTTCAGACATCCAGGATTGTGTCCGTTTCATTGACGGAGTTGTGAAGGGTGCTGGACCTGATGCCATTTCTGCAATCCTTGGTCAGAAATATGTTGGAAAGAAATGGAATGGCATTGTGCAATTGGCTGACTCACTCAACATTCCTGTCCCTGACGTTGTCACCAGGGTTGAAAAGGCGAGGAAGAAAATCCAAGCCAAATTCCAGGATCATGCGAAGTTGCTTGAAAAGAATGTGCCAGTGGAATCGCTTGTTCTCAAGCCTGATTTCTTGCAGTTGAACGCCGTCCAAATCCCCAGGGTTGCTGGGAATTCCTGCAGTAGTTGCCCTGAACATAGTTTTCCATCCTGGTCATAGTTTCTTGGGCATCTTCACCTCAGCTTTTAGACTCCCAATGGACTTGACCGAGGCACACATGACTGAATAAAAGTCGACACAAGGATGCCGCTATAGACGATGGTGAATGGGGGGAACCGTCCCGATATCATTCAACCAGGTAGTCAACAGTCGACGCCTCAAAATCTGACCAGTTTGGACATGGGATGGACGGTATCTGCCTCCAGCCGTCATGATCCACATGAATCCACATAAATCCATGAAGATTATCACTGATCATCATATGGTGATGAAAAATTGCATTTAAACCAGTCTCTAGGTCAATCAACTGGATGGGTAGAAACTAATTAATCCGAACTAGTCTTGGATGGTATCAATGGAATTATCTACGTTCACCAGCTAAGAATTCATTTTGTTTCAGGGTATCTAAGATTGGCACTGATGTCATATTTGCTGTATGTGGCGATAATTTCTGAAAAATACCCCGTTGACTATCCCACCATATCATTGTCAAACAGTGTTCATATTTTAAAGAATGCCTCGCATCCTTTTAAATATTCATGATTCATATGTTTTTTTAGTTCAGGCGTCCACATTGGCCTTGCTCCATTAGTTACACATATAGTCATTCTGAATTAGATACGGAAAATCCAAACGAAAATCCCACTCAAATGTTAATATAATAATTGAAAATCCCATATCCTATCTACTCCAGGACTAGGATTATGTAATATTATATGTATATATATAGATGTAGATGTAGTTACCCGTGTAGTATATATATATATACATATAATACATAGATGTAGTAACTAGTAGCTGCCCGTGCATATATATATATATATACATATATGTATACATATATATATATATACATATATATATATATATATGTATGTGATATGTAATTCCTTTTGTCTTGCTGTTCTCCAATCATACGTTGGGCCGCGCACGTGGTTGAGGTTTCAGGGAATTGGACAAAGTGGTGGAATCGGCGAGATCTGGCGTGTTTGGTGCCCCCCGGTTCCCCAAAAAAAGGGTAAAGTTCTCAGCGTCTAAACGAAATATTGGGTAAATCATAAGCTAAATAAGTGGTAAATATCATCATATTTGTTATATGTTGTTTTTTCTTTTGTTAACTTTTTGTAGCTTTATAATATATGGTATAATATATAATATATGTGATGTTTACCCCAGCTTTTGGCGTGCACGAGTCCTACAAGAATCCCAGTATACCAGATAGCTACTGAAGATCAGTTGGAAGTGGCGAAACCCATTGGGAGTCACCAAAAATGGCACAAAGAATAGTTGGTGCATCATCCCACTTAGTAAGTGGGTTTGTAAAACAACCAGTGAAATAAGTGGATCAAATCTACTTATCCCATGCAAATAACTGGGCGGTGAACTAAGCTACGATTCGTGGGATGAGCCACCAGGCAGTTGATTGAACAACATCCAAAACACTGGGAGATTATAAGGCGTTAGAAGAGGTTGGTTTTCTTGAGCAATAAAACCAAAACCGGCAGTTGCCCCTCCGACATGCATTCTTCCCAATATTCTCTCTAGGATTCCCATTGCGCCCCTCTTGATTGAGTGGTGGATGATTTACAGACCATGGCTTTGATAGCTTTGACTGAATTCTTGTGTCCTGGTTAGAAAGGGTTCAAAATCTGGTTGCAGTCTATGGTTGCCATCCAGCCATCCACTAAAACACGGATTTGGTCCAGTTGTTCAAGCATTTTCACTACTTTCTGACCGTGGCAATAGGTAGGTGAATAGTGATTAGCCACTTGGAAAATAGACCAACCAACTATACACGGGTATCTGAAATTAGCCATGCCGACTGGCCCACAAAAGATCATGATTCCACTGAATGAATCGTCATAAATCGTCCAAATGTTTGTGTTACCCCTTTCTGACCCATGTACTAAGCAACCTTTGGAATCATGTTTGACTTGAACAGGTTTTTGTGTGTCTTGCGTTCCTCTTATGTAGCATGATGATCCACAATTGCGAGTGAGACAACCAACAAGGTCAGTTCTTGGTTGACTGCGAACCATATTTGTTCCTTTACATGTAATACCCTCTGGTAAACTAACATAGCTATGGAAAATCACATTTTTTAATGGGAAAATCAACTATAAATGACCATTTTCAATAGCTATGTTAGTTTACCAGGTAATATCTGTTTGCTGCTTGTTACCGGTGCTTTGAGCAGGGTTGATCCGCTTACTTGGGCAAGATAACCACCCTCTCCGGTTCGCAGACAATGGGTGAAAGTACCAATGTGTTGGTTTATAAGTCCAATAACTAGGGTTTATGGGGGTTATATCTATAGTTAATGGGGATTATAGACCAACTTATAACTATGGGGGCACCACCTTGTACCAATGTGAGAACATGTACCAAAATTGCATGATTTTTTGATTTATTGCCTGAGCGGGTTGCAATTTTGTCATACACTGCATCTTTTCACAAACCCAATTCTCATACTTGTTGGTCTATATCCCATGAAATATCCCTTTGATGATCGGCATAAATCCTTTAGTGTTGTGGGTTAATTATGTGAGTTATGTGGGAACAAACGCAGACACATCCATCCTTTGATCCATGTTTGTGAAAAGATTAAGGGAATAATCATTCAATTCACTATGAATTCAAGGGTTAAATCCTACAGTGTGGGTCTCCCAAGTCATAAATTGGTCGAGTTTCACCCCATACTATAATCCAAAACATATCATAGCTGCCATAGATGTCGGAGTTATTTGGGCCAAACGAACTATCGTTTGAAGGAAAAACTTTGTAGGTTTGGGCTTAAACATGGACCCAGGTTGTACCAAAAAAACTTCATCCGATGACCGCCAGATCGACGCAGCGGCCGATGATGCATCATCCAAAGCCAAGACGGCCTGGGACTCCCAGTTTTCAACTAGGTCACAGCGAGATTTTTTCCAGTTCTGGATCTGAAAAAAGGTCCTTAAATTGGATGAAATAACTCCTGCAACTAGGTGCTAATATATCATGAAATAAGCCAGTTGTAACTGGCTTGACACATATCTTGGTCAACTATAGGTTTTATGTGGGATGTAACTATAGTTAATGGGTTGATAAATCTACTTATAATTTGGGGGGCCTCGCCTTGTATTTGACTGTGTCTACAGGAAGGGGCCCCCAAACGAACGGTTTCTGCTGTTTGATAACTAGGCGAACTGTTGAATTTATGCGTGGTATTGCTGGGGATATCTATAATGGGATGGGTTATAGACCAGCTTATGACTGGTGGACCCTTCCTGTTCTAAAGAGTTTTGGAGGAAATCCCGGTAGGAAGCATAAAGGCTTGAATTGAAACACGTTCAACATACAACTGCTTGATATTTCACGAACGAAATTGATCTTTTGCAGGATAAAATTGTGATTTGCCATACTTACTTGGTGGCTCATCCCACGAATCGTAAGTGGGTTAGTTCACCCCGGTTATTTGCGTGGGACAAGTAGAGCTAGTCCACTTATTTCACTGGGGTTCTTACAAACCCACTTACGAAGTTCAATGGATTGGTTTCAGCGGAAATCTACAAACCATAGCTTGACTTACCCCACTTATAAGTGGATGAAAACTCTACTTACGCCACGCAATTAAAAAACTGGGGTGAACTACAGGAAACCAGAGATGTTCTGATTAAATCATAGATTTCCCATTAAATATATAGATTTCCCATAGATTTCCCATTAAATCTATGGTGTGTTCCTGTATTTTTGTTCCCTTCAACCAGTCACCATTGATGTCTGTGGGGGCCCCATCCACAGATTTCGGCGGATCAACCATGATCAACCCAGACGGGCGCTGCGGTAGTTTGACCGTGATGTCATAGGAGACCTTACCTACCCTTTGGTTATTAAACATAACCATGGTATAGATGGCCCATTTATAGCTGGTTTTCCCATTAAAACCTCCATTTATTAGGGATTTTCCATGGCTATGTTAAGTAACCAGATGGTAAACTGATTGGTGGTTTGGAACATGTTTATTTTTCCATAGATTTCTGATGCTCCCATAACAAGACAAAGATTTCATGTGCTTAGCAACCTAATGATGGTTAATAATGGTTGATATATGATGGTTAATAAATGATGGTTTTAATGATGGTTACTGATAGTTAGTGATGGTTTTCATGTGGGAAAAACAATAACGATAATATTAAGCCACTATAAACCAATCCTGCTTGGTGGTTTGGAACATTTTTTATGACTTTCCATTCAGTTGGGAATTTCATCATCCCGACTGACGAACTCATATTTTTCAGAGGGGTAGGTCAACCACCAACCAGTAAACATTGGTTCACAAACTGTGAAACATATGGGTGAGTAGTAGTACCAGAAATTGCCACGGTGACGCAAATGGAGATTCCTGGTGAAACAATGATGGGACAAACCAGATCTTGGATGGCAATACGGAAGGTACTTAGGATTTCTTAGGTACTTTGCGGTTTGAGAGCCTCAGAGTTCTCAACTTCGCTGGAGTGACGAAGGGAGTGACGCATGCCCTCTTCAGCATGAAGGAGGTCGATTTGACAGGACTTTGAAGGCAGGACTTAAGCCTCCAGCAGCCCAGGCAGCCCAAAATTCAGGCCAGCATCTGGCCTTTTTGCGACGAGAAGAGAAGCGTCAACATGGTCATCTGGTTGGTGGTTTGGACCATTTTTTATTTTTAATGGATTGATGGATTCTAATAGTGGTTTAATGGATTATTATAGTGGTTTAATGGATTCTAATGGATTTTAATAGATTGTTCCATATTAATTGGGAATTTCATCATCCCAATTGACGAGTTCTCCATGATTTTTCAGAGCGGTAGGTTGAAACCACCAAGCAGATCCATGAAGGCCACCCCAAAAAAATGTGCTGCGCATGGAGATGGCCATGATCCATCATAGCCATGGTATAGATGGCCTACTTTTAGATGGTTTACCTACAAGGTGGTGCCCCATAGTTAGCTAAGTTGGTTTATAAGTCCAATAACTAGGGTTTATAGGGGTTATATCTATACTTAATGGGGATTATAAGCCAACTTATAACTATGGGGGCACCACCTTGTATTAAAAATGGGTGGATTTTCCATGGCGAACTGTTAAATAACCAGATGGTAGCCTCTGGTAAACTAAGAGTTTGCCACCTGGAAGCCATGGCCATTGATTTAGATCGTGGATTTACCCAGAAAATGGTGGATCTTCCCATCGTTTTTTTGTATGTTTACCATAGGGTATTCAGAATCCCCAAGAAGACCTGATCTGAGTTTTGTTCCCATCATGGCCCCCAAGGCGCCAAGTCGGTAACAGAAAAGCATCACTGTGGCGCCATTTACAAAAGGGAATATGCAGATATTCTGGGATCGCTTTGAAGATTTATATATGGGAATATATGGGAATATCTAACATTTATGGGAAATGATATGCATAAATATGCAACCATGTTTTAAATAGGTTTTCCCAACTTAATAGTTTTGTGTCATTGCAATATAATTCTCGATTGCTTTGAAGCCGTAAATCGCAGACGAAGGGACAAAACATAGAGCAAAACAATGTTGGTGATAAATAAACATGGTTTACTGATTGGTGGTTTGGAACATGAATTTTATGACTTTCCATATATCGGGAATGTCATCATCCCAACTGACTAACTCATATTCTCAGAGGGGTAGGTATACCACCAACCAGTTGGAATCCGATTCTAATGGAAATCGAAGGGCACGTCAATCCAAAAACAAGCCCCATTCATGGTGGTTGATGGGATGTAATCACCCCACAACATAACTGGTTGGTGGTTTCAAACATTTTTTATTGTCCATAATATACGGGATAATCCTTCCCATTGACTAATATTTTTCAAGATGGTTAAAACCACCAACCAGACAAGGCATGAAACCTGCCATGGGCATTTTTTGCATCTTGAGTTTTTGTGATTGAAATCTATGTGCTGTCTTCCTTCTTTTTCGGGTGCAACTTGTGGTGCCCATTTTTCGGTCGCCGCAAAACCATAAAAACAGTGGGCTTCACAAAAAATCACGTTCATCATTGTTCATCACGTTTTGCCCCCAACATCCCCCCAATCTTAAATCCAATCCCATATGCCCCATGTACGGAATATTTACCAACATTGCCCTAAAAATCACCCAAACGTAGGTAAATATACCATAATCCTATGGGATTGTGATCATCCACAATATATTGGATAGTAGAACATAGTATGATCCAATGCTTTTGGAACATTTTGGAACCACTTTCAAACAATCCCATCCAAGGTCGACACGGATTATGCAGTCTACCGAGGGCGGATGGTGCGCGGGGACTGCGCGGTTTTCGCAGAAGCAAAGTATGGCGGTTTCCATTTTTTTGAGATACCCCATAGCTGGATGGTTTATATCTAATGGAACATCCATCCATAAATGGATGAGTCAGGGGTAGCACTATGACACAGGAAACCTCCTGGTCGAAATCTCAATTGTTTGTTTTCGGTGCTTCGAAATCCTTGCATCAGAGGGTGTGATTCAGAAACCCCATGTTTTTTGTGTGTTTGACGTGTGAAAGTACTACTTTTTGGTGTGCATGTTAAGCAGATTTTACATCTTGATTGGGTAAACCTTGATGGAACTTAACAGATTAATGTTGAGTGAGGAATGCCGGACCGAGTGATTAAGTATGTGTTCCCTGTAAAAATGACGTGTGTTTTTTGTTTTTTGTTTAAGGAGTATGTGTTCTTTGTTGGTGGTTCCAACCATCTTTTCAACTTCACTGGGGGATTTGGGCGGACCATTGATGGAGCATTGATTCGCCCAATTTACTGGAGTAGCAATGTTTGGTTTAGTTTATTAGTTTTGTTATATAGAGTTATTGCATGTTATTTACTACTTGGGCAAGCCGCAGGTGTCTATTACATTTCGAGGTTTCGTGAAACCTTGCTGTTTTTGTTAAAACGATATATTTATAAACACTATAAACTCAAACATGTATGTCCTCCAAACATGGCACGGTCTTTTGATTGATTGTTTCCGAAGCAGGCTGTTTTGATCTCGCGGAAGAAACACCAGTTTTGGTGCAGGCGAGGAATCCAAAAAAAGGTGTCGTGAGGCTGGCGCCGGCCAAAGCGCAAAGGTGCATGGGCTAGCTTTATGCTAGGACGAAAACAAAATTGAACATGTCCATCCGAGCAGGAGCGGCGTCTGGTCGATTCCAAGGTGTTTTGAGTCCGTCGTGGCCGGAAGTGGCCCGTCGCTCACGATGGGACCGGGGCCCAAGAATCGAGCCTTCAGTCCTTCGTCAGCCCACGTACAACTGAATGCTGATTTGGATTGACTGACCACGACAGAATGCTGATTTGGATTTGGGACAATGGCAGTGAGCTGGTTCTCGGGCTGGTTGCCCCAAGAGATACAAATTGTGTCCAGTGATGTGACTGCCGAAATCATCACGATGCCTGTGCCCGCTGTGCCCATAGCGATTTGATCAAGTGTCACCAAATCGAAATTCGGACAAAGTCTCAAGTTTGTTCGAAAAAATGAGAAATTATTGCTCAACTAGCATTGATGATCATTGATGCATTATTCAGGGCTAAAATTTGGAGAAATGGCCAAAGCAAAATTTACACTTAAGAAAGATTCAAAAACACTGTCGCATCGCACCCTTTCAGCTCTTTTTGTTTCTTGGATTTCTTGGTGGGGTGAATTCAGGCATTCATCTCCAGTATCTATACATGATGAGATTAAGTCATCAGGAATCCGGAGGCCCAGGGGTCTCCATTGGCATGGGTTCTCATTTTAGTCTTACTGGTGCTAAACGCAGGGAATAGATGGGTTGCTGGGGGTTGCTGGGGGTTGCTGGGATGATTATTGAGAGTTAGCCAGTGGATCATTCCCGAAAATTCCCTGCATTTAGCACCAGTAAGTAATGAGTGTGTTTTTCTTGCTACTGTAGCGATTGAATGTCCTCGTGTATCGTTGCCTTCCAGTCACCTTTGAGATGGATAACCATGATGGAGAATTTACGTATGGCATGTGGACTTGGTTTCCCTATCTGACGTCGGTACAGTGGAAGATGATGGTTTAGTAAGATCAACAAGAGAATCCACGAAAACATGGTTCAATCATACTTGAAGGCCATTGAATCGTAGCCAATCATTGATATTCATAATCTCGATGGTACCACCAATGATATTCATAATCTCGATGGTACCACCCCCAATGTTAATAAACCAGCAGTCATGAGGTAATGGATTATTTTCATTAATTTTCAGCCTTGGGGGAAAAACGAAGGTCCTGGCGCCAGTTTGATGAATGTTTTTCGGAAAGGGAATACCCTCTGGTAAACTAACATAACTATATGGAAAATCACCATTTTCAATGGGTAAATCCACTATAAATCACCATTTTCAATAGCTATGTAACTGTTTACCAGAGGGTATCTTGGGGCCGCTGCGCGGTAGGGGTTATCTATGGCTACAAGCATGGTACTAACCCCTGTTGGGTTGGCATATAACATGATATCCATAGAACTGGAGTGATATATATCTCCATAACTCAAGCTGCAGCCCATATTCTGGACATATTTGGGGAATAACCATCCATTAACATTAGCCAACATTAACCAACTGTTTTAGTGTGCCTTTTTTGTACCAGGACTTTGACCCATAACCTGGTCATCTTTGGCATTTGGGTATGGGTCAATACCTATAGATACATTTTTAGTGGGTTATGAACATCCATAAATCCCAGCTATGACTTGGGGTTCACGGCACGGTACCAGGGTTTTGACCCATCCCCATTTTTGGCCATGAAAAAAACCCATCACCTGACCCTCGCCAGCACGACACCGGCGAAATGCTGGACCGACTCAGTTTGGCTCGGGGGCCGAGTCACGGCGATCGCGAGCTCCGTCAAGGAGTTACGACTGGTGGTTTCTATCCCACTTATCACTGGATTGGTTTCTTTGATATTTTGAATGTATGGGGTGAAGCGACTTTTATAGTTTGTTTTTCTTCTAAGGATATGATTTTGGTGTTATAGAGCATCAGTTTAAGGGACAATTTACAGGAAAACCCCATAGATGTAATCAGAAAATCAATGGTTTCCTGTAGTTCACCCCAGTTATAAGTGGGGTAAGTACAGTATATCCACTTATAAAATACTGGGGTGGACTAACCCAGGTGATCCACCAAGTAGTCTTGTTTTAATCATCAAACATGTTGTTTTAAAGTGTTGAACAAGATGTTCTAACCATCACACGTGGGAATATATATTATATATATAATTATATATATATAATTATATATATATATGTTACTTTAAGTTAAAACCACTGAACAACGGTGATTATAATGGTTTAATGGATATTAATACAAGGTGCTGTCCCATACTTCATTTAGTTGGTGAACATAACTGGTTGAAGGATGGGAGGACGAACATAACAAAAAGGACCACCTCGCATGAGGATGATTAAGGCTTCTCAACTACGTATCATGGACATTGGAAGGTTCTATATCCCATATGCTCCATGGTGCTGGTATATTTACCTACAAAACAGGGTGATTTTGTAAGGGCAGTTATGTTGGTAAATATTCTAGCACCGTGGAGCATATGGGAATGGTAAGATAATCTGGTTGGTTGTTTGGAACATTTGGATTATTTTTCCATATATTGGGAACAATAATCCCATTTGACTTTCATATTTTTCAGAGGGGTAGGTCAACCACCAACCAGAAACATATCCCCATTATAATATATTATAATATATTATAGCCATTGTTGAAGAGCCATGAAAATAGTTATACCCATTGTTAAAAGCCATACTTGGTGGTTCATCCCACTTAGTAAATGGGTTATAACCCCAGTGAAAGAAGTGGACTAACCCTACTTATCCCACTTAAAACCAGGGTTATAACCCACTTGCTAAGTGGGATGAGCCACCAAGTAGTTATACCACCAACCAGTAATTCTTAGCCAACCATAGCTGGTGGATCATCCCACAGCTCAGAGCCGTGGGTTTGGGAGGAAACCCCAGTGAAATGAGTGAGGTGAACTAAGCCACAAACACGATGCTTACGATGCAAGTGGGATGAGCCACCAAGTATAGAATTGGTCATATGATAGTATAACATTATCTGGGTAAATTATAGCTCATTGCGACCGAACCCTGGAATCATGGTTAATAAGAGGAATCATCCCCAAATAGCCTTATTTCAGATTAGTGAATTATTATAATTTACCCAGAACATGATGGATAATTCTATATTCTCCAACCCCCGCACAATTATTAACACTGGAAAACGATGTTTGGGGGTAAAGTTTGCTCACTGGCCTTTATGTCGCATTTGCCTTGGATTTTCTTCCCATTTGACATCCCCAATCGATATGATCAATATGGAGGTTTCCTAAAATGGGGGTACCCCAAAATGCATGGCTTATAATGGAAAATCCAACGGAAATGGATGATTTAGGGGTACCCCCGAAACCTCTATATGTCTTGCGGACATGATAGCAACCTAACTGGCAAACCTAACCATGGATGATGGTGATATACGATGATCCAAAACAACTGGAGGAACGCAGTAGGAATCTTTCAGCCTTTTCCAATGTCCCAAGCCTTTCCAAGAGCCCAATCCTACCAGTCGCTTGGAACAGTAAACCCAAAATACGGCGATTTACCCAACATAGAGGTATTAAATTGGCTCTATTACTGTACGGATGCACCGCACTGGGGATAAAGCCGGGAAGATATAACAAATAATATTATTTTGACCTATCTGGAAATGGGTTTAACGGTCCATTTCTCGCCATGAAATGACGGGAATATATGTGTATATATATATGATATATGTATATATTCTTTGGTGATGAACCAGCGGATGGAATCTGGTTAGCCTGTATTGATATACCCGCTGGTAATTTTGAACATGGCCATTTATAGTGAGTTTTGGGATGAACAATTGTGATTTTCCATTGTTATGTTAGTTTACCAGAGGGTATATATATAATATGTGGTGAACAAAATGTTCTGCCACAAATTCAATTTGTGATAGGTAGCGAAGATAGGCTACGAACAAAAAGACATCGTTCATGGCATCACTGACCGACCTTGCCAGAAGATTTGTGGTGTAGGAACTGGTCTCGAGAATGCCTGGGAGTTTCCCACCGGTAACTTAACACATCTGTGGCCTGTGGAAAATAGCCAATTCATAGATGATTTACCCAGCTATAACATGGTGATGTCATGTGATGTCCCATTCTCATGATTCTCATGTTGCAAGTTGATGTGTTTTACCCTGACAACAGCAGTGCAAGGCACACTCTTTTTGTTTCCCTCCATGCAGCACATGCATTTTCTCCATGTTTTTGTTCATCCTTCGGCCCGGCCCAGTCGGGTGAACAGTTCAAGAAGGAGGCACCTTTTTTGGGGTTGGGGGCGTGGCAACCGTAGATAGATCTTGTGGGGTACAACCCATACCTAATTGAATTGCTACAAGGTGGTGCCCCAGTGAGCTAAATCGCTAAGTTGGTGCAAATAAGTCCAATTTCACTAGGGTTGATGAATGGGGGTTATATCTATAGTTAATGGGTAGTATAAACCAACTTATAACTGGGGGTCACCGCATTGCTATGTTGCCAAAAAATGATGGCAAAATCATGAGAAACAGGAGAGGCTCTTGAAGCTCTTGTGTTTGTTGGTCGGGGATCTCACTACTAGAAATGCTGGTTTCAGCCACAAACCACCAGTATATATGGCTATGCTTCAACGAACTTCCACCTGAGCATTCAGTTCCAATCAAAACCACCATTCGGTTTCTTTTGTCATGTATATGTAATTATGTATATGTATATTAATATATAGGAGCCAGTTGCCTGACATGGGCGATCCCCAAGTCACCATGGGTTTATATACTAACATGGTCTAATTCTAGATGATTTTGGGGTACCCACATTTTAGGAAACCTCCCTAAAATCTCAAATTTGTGTCATCATTTCTCAATCTTCTGCCAACCACGAGAGATCAAGAAACAGAAAAAACATGCATATGACTGACCCACATTTCTTGATTTTGCATCAGCAAAATAATAAACAAAATACTTGAGGGTGCAGTTCCAGTTATACGTTGGATTATAACCTCAATTGATCATAGTTATTAGATGTTATTAGGGTATAATCACCAGAAGCCCTAGTCAACTTAGTTATGTTCAGCAACTTCGCCTTTCCAACTGGAAGGTGGTTGATTACTTTGCCAATGCCGAGACAGATAGGCGGGGCGCCGGTTGATGAGTTCGGGGATTGTAGTCACCCCAAACAAGATAGAGCAGTCATTAGTCATTTACCACTATATTTCAGTGGGATTTTAATTGTCCATCTTATTTTTGGGCTTGCTACAGGATGGGGCCCTCCAGTTATAAGTTGCCATCAAAATATAGGTATAAGTACCATACACTATGGTTATTATAGTTATAAACCAACTTAGCTAACTATGGGGCCCCATCCTGTAAGTGTTAACCAATATAATGATTGGTGATTGTCACAATCCATTGGAGGAATACCGTTCTCAAGCCGCCAGCGTTTTTCTGGGTGACAACTCAGGTGGTGAAATACAAAATCCGCTTTTAGAGGATCATCATGGTGATTCCGGTCATGAGATCAGTCCATTCTTCTGGGTAGATTTGATCACGACCGAAGCCGTCGTTCTCCCGAAGCCGAACGGTTTATCATGGTTTAATTTAGGGAAATCATCCCCTTTTATGGCCGAACTATGCAGGTTAGTGACATATTATAATTTGTTGGTGGTTTGGAACATTTGGATTATTTTTCCATATATTGGGAATAATCATCCCAACTGACTTTCATATTTTTCAGAGGGGTCGAAACCACCAACCAGTTATGATGTACCCAGATTATTTGTGTTGTGATGCAAGTTATTGCAGTTGTACATGCATGGTTATATTACCAGAACCACCAGTTTTTAGATTGTACCAGTTTTACCAGTTAATTCTATCCATGCTATTGCAGTTAAGGCCCGAAACACCAGTTATAGATGGCGAAAACAATGGTGGTAAATGGTGTTATAATTCACATTTATGAGGTGACTTACTGATTTATAACATCTTATAACTGGCATTTCGGGCCACAACTGTGGGGGATGGGTCAAAACCTATTGTTTCTCTATTTTGAGGAATAAACATCCATTGACCAACTCTTTTCCGGTATGGTGCCAGCGGTTTTGACTCATTGCCATGTATAACCCATGTAAAAAACTACCCCTTTTGATCCACTTACCCTCTGGTAAACTAACATAACTATGGAGAATCACCATCTTATAGCTGGGTAAATCCACTATAAATAGCAATTTTCAATAGCTATGTTAAAATACCAGAGAGTATTGTATACAAATTCTGGACCCCAAACTTGGATCAAGACCAACACTTGCCACTCAAATTTTCTGTATTCCTTGTTGCCCCGACGGTTTTTGTTTTGTCTTGGCCCTTCCCCACTGTTTTCCTTTGCGGAATCCCAGCCGGGTTGGATTGGTAGAGTATAGATGTCCTTTTCCCATTGGTTGGTTGATAAATTATATTAATAGAGGGGGTTGAAGAACCCTTTAACAACAGGTAAATGATGATAGATGGTATACCGAACCGGCCCCTCTATTTTTACCAAAAGGACATTATTGACTCAGAGTATAATGTTGAGTGATGAAAACTTCTTGGTGAGCCCTCTTGCCGTTGGAACATGCACTCCGACTGTTTTCAAACACATGTTGCCGTTTTCTTCATTGTATACAACATTCTCCGCGGTTTATCCCGGATTCAATCTTTAATGACCCATGTGGTTCTGCGAAAAACCTGGATCCTGAGTCCAAAAAGATTGCCTTTCTGGGATAACTACCAGCTCGTGCTATGTTTGTTCGCCTTGCTTGGGGCTTTGAAAGTCAATGTTTACTGTTGGTTCTACTTGTATAGTATTCCCCTGATAGCCCCATTTCGAATGCTTAGTTTCATCAAGTTTCATCCCAATTTTCCGGTTTCCCTTATTTATCCACTTGAAATGAGATTCCCACACGTATTCCCATGATATTTCATCGTCCCAACGCGCGTTCCGCAGGTTCTCCCCTTTAGCGGTCCGAGTGCCCTATCGTGTGCGCCTCCAGGATACACCGCTTTGGTGACGGGGGAAGCCTTGGTGTCGTTCTATTTGGTGCCCCCATAGTGATGTTAGTTGGTTTATAATGTTTATACTCCCCATGAACTATAGATATAACCCCCATTCATCAACCCAAACGTGAAATTGGACTTATTTGCACCAACTTAGCGAACAAACTGGGGCACCACCTTGTATTTGGTTGGTGGGATTATGCAACAAGAATTGGATGATTGGGCGATTTCACCGGCGACGACTACTTCTACTGCTTGGTAAGGACCACTCTGTCGACAGCTGTCACCTTGCAGTGACCTGGGTGGCTCTTGAAGTCGTCAATCACAACTTCAGAGATGTAGAATACAAGAGTGCTGGTTGGTGGTTTGGAACATTGGTTTAGTATGGTGTAATGATGGTTAATGATGGTTAATGATGGTTAATGATGGTTAATGATGGTTAATGAATAATCTCTGGTTGGTGATTTGGAACATGAATTGTCTTTTCCCCAATAGTTGGGATGATGATACCATCTGACTTTCATATATTTCAGGGGGGTTGAAACCAGTGGTTTTTTTTCTTCCAGCTGCGGTGGACGTGCTCAGATTGATGTTGCTGAAGATTCTGGATTCTGGCACGAACCTCGAAGAGGTGAGTGCATTCGATGATATCAGACCATTACCAACCAGAATCGCAAGGTACGTCGCAACCCCATTCCAACGCAACATTTATACAGTGGCTGGGATGAGCGGTTGCGGTAAGAGTACCGCTGCAATGCTGTTCAGCCCTGCGTCAATGAGGCGCACCGGGTTCACTGTCATCGACGCAGATGCTGCGTTGAGTGACCCTGCATTGGATGACGACCAGCGAGACTTGCTACGTGCGGCGCTGTCGTCAACATTCGGCGGCGCCGGCCGCGGTGGTGCCCTCAGCGTCGCTGCAATGAATGCTGAAGAGGATGACCAAGCGGAAGGATCAGAGCTTAATGGTATCGGTAGGAGATCAGTCAGGTCAGCGATCGCATGGACCAAAGCCTACATATGGAGGAAGATTTCTGAGATTGAGGCGCAGGCTAAGGCTGAAAAGATTCCCATGCCAAACATCTTGGTCTTGGTTCACCAACCAAGTGAAGAGCGAGCTTACTCATTGGGGAGAAGCATCAAAAAAAATAAAAATGCATCAAACAAATAAAAATGCATCAAAAAAAATAAAAAAGGAACAAAAAAATATAAATGCATCAAAAAAAATATAAATGACCATGAAGAAAGGAGGGAAGGAGGAAAGGAGGGAAGGAGGAAAGGAGGGAAGGAAGGAAGGAGGGAAGGAGGGAAGGAAGGAAGGAAGGAAGGAGGGAAGGAGGAAAGGAGGGAAGGAGGGAAGGAGGGAAGGAGGGAAGGAGGAAAGGAGAAAAGGACGGAAGGAAGGAAGGAAGGAAGGAAGGCAGGCAGGCAGGCAGGCAGACAGGCAGGCAGGAAGGAAGGAAGGAAGAAAGGAAATAAGGAGGGAAGGAGGGAAGGAGGAAAGGAGGGAAGGACGAAAGGAAGGAAGGAAGAAAGGAAATAAGGAGGGAAGGAGGGAAGGAGGAAAGGAGGGAAGGACGAAAGGAAGGAAGGAAGGAAGAAAGGAGGGAAGGAGGAAAGGAGGGAAGGAGGGAAGGAAGAAAGGATGCAAGGGGGGACCAATTAGAGTGGCAGGACCTTCGGTCACGAACTGTTTGGTGGTTTGGAACATGTTTTTTTTCTCCATATATTGGGAATAATACTCCCAACTGACTTTCATATTTTTCAGAGGGGTTGAAACCACCAACCAGAAGAGTGGCAGGACCTTCGGCCATTAAGAATTCTTGGTGTATCATAGGTTGTTCGTAGATGGCCCCTATTGAGGCAAATTATACCTACGAACAAAGTCGGACCGCAAGTTTGAAGAAGGGAAGTTCCTGCGCAGCAGCGGAATTTTCAGCTAGAACGCCATGTGTGTGTATATATATATATTATATACATACATATATCTGTGTGTGTGTCAGATAGAATTTGATAGAATGCCAAAAAAACAATGCCAATTACAACGCCAATTTCAAAGGCCGACAAATGTAATGATTTAGAAGGAGGGGTCATTGGATTCTAACGGGAATATACAGTAAGTGAATGGTAATTCAGTGAGATTTAATGTGATTATAATGGGACATAATGGGGTCAAAATAGGATATCTCATACAAAATTAGGGATTTAACTACCAATCATAAGTCTTGGTGTGCTAACCCCTTTGTTGCTCACAATGAGAATAAATTGGGAACAGCATGGGATATGTCAATAAGATCTTGGGGTTCATTTAATTTTTATGGGATTAAAATACCAATGATGGGAATTTAAGTGAACATATAGTTGAATAATTAATGTTGAATATAATGGGATCATAGGTTTCTGGCTGGTGGTTTCAAACATTTTTTATGTTCCATAATATATGGGATGTCATCCTTCCCATTGACGAACTCATATTTTTCAAGATGGTTAAAACATGTTAAAACCACCAACCAGATAGGTTTGTATGAGATGGTACAAGGTGGTGCCCCATAGTTAGCTAAGTTGGTTTATAAGTCCAATAACTAGGGTTTATTGGGGTTATATCTATAGTTAATGGGGATTATAAACCACCTTATAACTATGGGGCACCACCTTGTAGCAGATAGCAAACCACCAAGTTTTTGATTGGATCATTAGGATCAAACACCAGCGCCATGAGACTGGGATATGATGGGGATATTCGTGTGGATATGATAGATGCTACCCTCTGGTAAACATACAAAAAACTATGGAAAATCACCATTTTATAGCTGGGTAAATCAACTATTTCGACTGGGCCATTTTCAATGGCTATGTAACAAATTACCAGAGGGTACCCTTTGGCAATCAAACTGGTCTAGCTGGAAAATCACAGACACTGAGTGATTTTCCAGCCAGCCGCGTTTGACTAGGGGAGGGTATACTTGGTTGGTTACAAAGGTGAGAACGTACTGAATCAATTTATATAGCAGCAAGTCGAGATGCGGAAAAGTGAAGAACAAACTAAAACAGTGGCCCTATGCTTCCTCGACCATATCTGGTATAGCCTCGAACATACTGGGAATGCTCGAACATACCGGGTTTCGCTCGAACATACCAGGATAACACCTCGGACATACCAGGAAGCCACGAACGACTATACCGGGAGTGGCCTAAGGGTTATACCAGGATATAGCAGGATAGTGGCCCAAGGAATAGCAATAGGATATGCTAAGACCCCTTTGGATTGTCCACAAATGCCCAGCAGAAAAAAAAACGATGTAGATTTTTCTTGGAAACGAGCATGCGCTCGGGAGTTTGAATCAGGATATCAGAAAGATTCAGAGAATTTCAGCAAGAAAAAAAATGACATGTTGAAAGCACAGGGAGCCGAGGACAACCCGAGGACAACTCGTGGAACGCCCATGCTGGGACGTGGAACGCCTATACTGGGACGTGGAACGCCTATAGTGGGACGTGGAACGCCTATACCGGGACATGGATTCGGGGATCACAAAAAAATCTGAAATCGTTTTTGTTTTTTTTTGATGGCTGTTTGTTTTGACTTTTGGCGGTTTGTTTGTGCCCAGCTTCAATGAGCAAACACGAGGTCGGGTTCGCGCACACAAATGAAATAGCTTGCAAAAAACAATCTAGATTGCGCAGGGGATGGTTCACAGCCTATACGTATGGACTCAAGGGGCTTAGCGCCTATACCGGGAAATCATGAACGCCTATACAGGGATTTCATGAAAGCCTATACTGGGAAAACTGCTCGCCTATAACAGGAAAACATCCTGGTATAGCCTCCAAAACCCCGGTATAGGCTAGCACGTAACGACTATACCAGATATGTCCTTTGGAAGCATAGGGGTGGTATATAAATTGTTTTTTTTTACTATATACAGTTTAAAATGTATAGTATGGATGTCAAGTGATTATAATGGTTTTCATTTGTGTTTTGCCAAAAGGGAATGGAATATTATATTTCACAAAGTTTTGTTCAATGGGCATCAGAAACAACCAGGTGTAGTATATCCAGTGGAAGTGGTGAAAGGAGACGGTTCACCCAAATCTTAACTGAAGCGAGACCACCGGTGATACTACGTCAAGAAACGTTCTGTTTGAAATTCGAAAACAACAATCGCAATCAAGCATGGGGAGCTAGCCGAACCGAATAGATTCAAGCAGAATCCATGACAACGGAGGCAGCATACGAAAATCAGACTTGCAACTTTTTGTTGGAGGTTATTCAAAAGACAGGCGTCTACGGGTCCCACATTTTAAATCGCACCCGAATGTAGGATACCCGTTTACCCTCTGGCAATCTTACATGGCCGATGTGTAGATGATTTAGCCATCGATGGCGATGTCCCATATGTGTCCTAAAGTGTCCAGAGGGTAGCCACTTTCTCTATGTGGGGCTGGTGTGTTCTCAGAAAAAACTCATTCAGTTTACTTGTGTCAACGTGTTGGTTACTTATTACATGCATATCCCTCTTACTTGAAATTTGGTTGAACCCCAATCTTCGTGAAAATTTACTGTATTCAGATCATGAAGTTTGCTCGTATGTGTTCTCAATTCTGTTGGTGACATGTTTAAGCGTCATTGTACCTTTTTCATCGTTTCTTTCCTGGCACACCGATCATGTCTCTGGGTAGATGCTCTCTCTGCGTCAAGCAGTCCACATTCCAAACGCTAATTTCTAAGGCATATATGGAACAAATCTGGTTTTCACCGGGTTTTCAATGGGAGATCTCCAGGATTCTAAAATGGAGGTACTGTACCATATGTCTGGCCATATTTTGTAGGGATATTCCTGAAATTTAGGCCTAAAAATTAGGCCTGAAAAAAATGGTAGGTACTTCCAATCAATCGGTTCCTGAAATGGCCATTGATGGGTTTAGTATGATTTGATGGGATTGATTTTTTCCCTGAATGATGTTGCGATCCCACTGCGACGTCACTTAAAGTTGTTATAGTTTGTAGGGGGGAATCATCCCCAGCTGACCGAACTTTTCACTGGTTGGTGGTTTGGAACATGATCTTTATTTTTCCATTCAGTTGGGAATTTCATGATCCCAATTGACGAACTCATATTTTTCAGAGGGGTAGGTCAACCACCAACCAGATCACCAACCAGTGGTTTGTTTAAACTGTGATCGTTCAGTCGGATTTATGTTGGTCAACAATCCAATGCGTGTTGGCGAACCCATGAGAATCCCCAATGTGATTTGCTGAAAAACATCTGTGTTTGTTTACACACCTATTTAACCTGGTTGGTGGTTTGGAACATTTTTCCCATATATTGGGAATAGTAACCCCAACTGACTAATATTTTTCAGAGGGGTAGGTTAACGACCAACCAGTAACTTGTGGTCTCATTTTTTGTGGTTAAGATCAACAATATGTTAAAACGTGTTAAAACTTTGTTGACTCCCCATGTAGATGGTGAGATTGTTTTCAGATAGTTTGAAGAACGTTTAAACAAATCAAATTGTCAGTTGGTTTCCCCATGAGAGTATTTGGGCCCATGTTTGGTATGGTTTCATTTTTTCGGAATACCTAAAATTGAGTTGTCCCAGGTCTGCTACAGACTGTGAACCCTGTAATCATTAAAAATACAAAAAAATACCAAAAAAATACGAATGCAATTGCTCAAAAATACAAAATAAAAAAAAAAATGCGAATCAACAATTTCAAAAATACAAAATACAAAAAAAGTACGAACCCAAGATTTCAAAAACAAAATGCAAAGAAAAGACAAATTCAAAAATAAGCCAGAGAGCCAACCCCGTGTTCACTTTTGGAAATCAGGAACCAAAATACAAAAAAAATACAAAACCAACCAGTTGTATTTTCCAAACTCTGCAGTTCTGATTTTGTATTTTTGGGTTGTATTTTTTTCGTATTTTTTTTTTGTACTTTTAAATATTGGAAGAAGACCCTTCTGTAGCCACCCCGGACAACTCAAACCTAAAACGAATGGACAAGAAGGATCTAGTTTCTAACGTTGAGATTGAACATGTCATATCCCATTTTGTCCCCGTATTGCTCCCCATACCCCCGTTGGCCTATTTTTTTTAGACCGGGACCTCCTGGGAGTGCAGTTTTCCCATGATCTAAGATAATATTTTAAGAGGTTTTACTGCACTCCCAGATGCATTGTTTACACATCAAGTTGACTCAGGCCTCAAATTCTTACTTCCATACTCTTTCGAGGGTTGCCCCAAAAATTATTCCCATACTCTTTGGAAGGGGGCTCCAACCATCAACAAAAACCTTGGAAAACTAAAACAGAAATAAAATAAAAATAATAAATAAACATATTTCCAGTGCTCAAGCCAATATATTTCATGAAATCATCAAGTACTTTGTCAAAGGAATGCCACACTCTTGAAAAACTAATGTTATTTCATTTTTTATCCTAGAGAAACGCTACCCTTATCTGAAATAGTACTATCTCTATGGAAGACATACCATATTTGTTCCAAAATATATGGAAGACATGGTGCACTCTTTCTAAAGGAATGCTGTGCACATCTCAGGGCTCTGCTTCACAGTAATGATGCACTTTATCAAAGGAATGTTGCCCTCTCTGTGCCTTTATAATATGAGTTGATACTGATACTGTGTTTAAACATGTAAAAAAACAAACTTGTTTTAAGAAGAGAACAGCATGCTTATCCTAATAAAACGTTCCATATCTCTTTATGATGCAGGAAACTCTGTCAAGAAGATGCAGTAGTGCTTGGATACAAACGGAAATCCCCTGTCAATAAACATTTTAGTTTCTTCTTGTTCATGCTTTATTATAAAGACATGCAGCATAGAAGCGAACACCACCCTATCGTTGAGCGTGGCGCAACCGGTCAAAATTGAGTACCATTTCCCTGTGATATTCACTGATTCCATACAATATTTCATAGCAAAAATGGCTGCATTACAGCATATTTCTACCAAAATGAATTTTCCCAGCTGATTGACGGGTTTGCTTTCAGGTCCTTGTACTGTAGTTTGCTTTTGCCTGATGTACAAATTTGGATATGTACCGTATACACACAAGACTTGTAGCCAAAAGTTCTTACACAATACATACCTATATATATATCTCTCTCTCTCCTTATAGATCTATAATTGGTACGCCTCAAAAGTAAGACAAACATCAGCAGATGTTTTGTCAGTGACTCATTTTCTACATTATGAAAAACACATCAAACTTACCCAAAAAAAATCCGCACTCCAAAGACCCGGACTCTTTTTTTTTCCACCTGCAATGTGGTGCCCCCCAGTTATAAGTTGGTTTATAAACCCCATTAACTATAATTAGTTATATCTACCATAAACCATAGTTATTGCACTTATTAACCAACTTAGCTAACTATGGGGCACCACTTTGTGGAGCCAGTTGGATGTGCTTTTGATTCCAGGATTTCATCCCTGATTTGGAGTCGGTGGAAAAGTTGCGCGTTGCAGAGGCGTGGCTTTTGTGGAGAGGATGGAGCCCCTAAAAAATGTCTGGAGAAACATACGTAAATTATATCTGGTTGGTGGTTGACCTACCCCTCTGAAAATATGAAAGTCAGCTGGAATTTCTATTCCCAATATTACAAGGTGGTGCCCCCATAGTTATAAGTTGGTTTATACTCCCCATTAACTATAGATATAACCCCCTAATCAACCCTAGTTATTGGACTTATAAACCAACTTAGCTAACTATGGGGCACCACCTTGTAGATGGGATGGAAATATGATGGGGATTTCATGGGATTTCATGACTGGTTGGTGGTTTGGAACATTTTTTTTTTTCCATAATAGATGGGATAATCCTTTCCATTGACTTTCATATTTTTCACGATGGTTAAAACCGCCAACCAGTCGTAGTTTCATTAATGATGGATATAAACAGATTTTATAATTGATAGTTTGAGAGTTTTATATGATTAATGTTGATTAATCATGAGGGAATTATCACATTAAAGGAATTCAATGATTTATCGACAAGTTTTTTTAAAATACTATAATTAGACGGATAATGATAAACCTGGGCTGCGTCGTTTAATCAGTTCAATAATCCATTTGTTTTACCATGCAGTAGCCCTCCCCCCAAAAAAAACACATTACAACTTACCAGTACTATTTTTGCGACTGTTTGTTTTTTTGGGAGAGAGTTGGGAGTTTCTAAATACATGGGAAAATATACTATTACTATATAACCAGAAGGAAAATATCCACGGTATCTAAGATCAACCATGTTTTTGTGTGTCTCTTTCAACTTGATTATTGCTCCACCAAAGTGCATACATGTTTCTCAAAAAAATCAGGTTGGTGGTTTGGAACATTTTTTATTTGTCCATATATTGGGAAGAATCATCCCAACTGACTTTCATATTTTTCAGAGGGGTAGGTCCACCACCAACCAGAAATGCTAGAGGATAACATGAGATACTGATGGTTATTTCAGTATATGGATGGTTGCTTTCCCCCTTGAAAATATCCCGAAGTCCCAGTTCAGCATTGGATTTATATATTTTCCGGTCCTGAAAATTATTGGATGTGTGTTTTTTCGTAGGGGATGGCATCTTGTTTCCAGCGTCGACCTTGGTGACCGCAGTCGGTTGCTTGTTTTGATGGAACATGTGTTTGCCACGGGAAATTTGACGACCGGTAACTAGAGAAGCGTGTCGTTTTTCGCGCGCAGTATGACTCCGATTTGCGATGACAGGCTGGGAACTAGCCATTTCAGCCATCAGCCGTACACTCCGAGAGTTTCGGGGTGCGATCCCCATGTCTGTGAAAATGCCTCAAACAGATAGATAGACATATAGGTAGACTGATTTTTAGTCATCAAAGAGGCAATCTTTCATACAAGGTGAGGGCCCCGCAGTTGTAAGTTGGTTTATAACCCAATGAACTAGGGTTAATTATATCCCCCATATACCATAGAATTCCCAAAGTTATGTGCCTCAACTTGTCTCCATGAGTGCCTTAAAGTATCCTCATTTCTGAATCCGATCGTTCTTGTTGGCGATGTTGTGGTGGGCATTACTCCAAGTATTTCACCGAATTGCTTATCCACGTACTGAATAGCCTACAATGTGAGGCCCCCAAGATATCTAAGTTGGTTTATGACTCCAACAACTACGGTTTATGGTACTTACAACTATAGTTACTGGGGCTTATAAACCAACTTATAACTGGGGGGCCTCACATTGCAGTTTCCATAGGGTTCAGGGTATCTCAGCGTATGTTAAGGCTGTATCGTCATTGGATTCCAAAAAATGTAGCAATCCCCAAAAAGAAAAGTTGGACACCTGGATTACTGTGGAAAATATCAACTATGGATACCTATGGACTATGTTTTTATCTTTTGAAGGATTACCCTCCTGCAAACTTTCCAATGTGGAAAAGCCACCATTGGTAGATCATGTTCATCATTTCCCGAGAAAAACCATGGCTTTTCCGTATGTTTACCTTAGAGTAACCAATATTTCATAGGGGTCACCACAGCCATCACACTTTCGGATGTCCAGTCCGCAGAAGACGCCAGGTGAAAGCCGTTGGATGCCAAGAACCAGTCACTCAAACTCAGCTGTAGGGGAGTAAGACTGGTGGTGATTTCGTAGAGTTTTCAAGAAATATGTAAAATAATATGATTATGGAAAACTACAGGAAATATGAGCCAGTGATTTTCCATGATTGTCATGATTGTCCATGTTTATTGTTTTGAAATACATCAAGTCAAGATGTAAACATGGAATGACATGACTGTTTTCGCTGCTGCACTCCGCTGTCGAAGATTTGATGCCAAAAAAACATCCCCAATTGAGCCATATAAGACATACCCCTATCCCGTCTCATTATAAAGGTTAGCAAATAGATGGGATAGGTTTAACCTTTATTCCTGTATGATATGTTTTAGGAATATTTGTCATCTAATTATACCTATCCTAAAAAATAGGTTTTGTCAGAATCCCCAATAGACCAATTTGTATAACATAGTATAAGCCCCAACAAATGAAACCATCAGATGTATTTTAACAGTTCAAAAGGCGCCTGGTTTCAGGGTTCGCCTGGTTTTGTCCCAACTTGGTTGTGTGATGTGTGGTGGAAATCCACGGGAAAGCCGAGGGACCCAAATGAGACCTGGTGTTTCAGGCGAAAAGGTCACACCCCCAAAAAAACACCCTTAGTACAATCATCCCGGAAGATAGAAATCGAAGGGCTGGATGAGGGTTCTCGCTCATTTGCGGACTATCTCAGGACAAGTGCCCATCCAAGATGGGCACGTACCATTGAGAAGGGCACCAGGTCTTTTTAATACATATTTGCAGGGTTCAGAGTCAAGTGCCCTTCTCCGGGGTATGTGCCCATCTCCGGGACTTGAAAAAAAATGGGACAGGCACATACCATTGAGAAGTTATGGGGATTTGTGTACAAACCTCTGAAGAAAAGTAAAGTCCTGATAAAATAGTTGTCATTTTGGGGGTGCAAAGTAGTAAGGGATTTTATATGTTTTTATAAACTCACATGAACGTTGCAAGAACCCCCGCAAGCTGCAGTTGCAGCCTTTGATTGTCCTGGACGTTTGAGTATGCTAAAAGAACTGGGTGATAAACCGCCCTTACATTGCGTTTGTTGGTTTAGAATACCCACTGACTAGTTCGACTTTTTACCCCTGCAAACCCAATAGTAAAATTGGACTTATGTTCAACATGGAAATCACCCCCATCCAAAAAGGCACCACTGGGGCCATTGACAATTAACCCCTATAAATGAGGCAAATGTTAAGCCCCTGTTGTTTGGATGTTTCTTTACCTTGGGGTTACCCCGGAGCTGTCATGATATGATTTCACTGCAGAAAATTGAACTTGAATGTGGTTTCAAAAAACGACCAGAAATGCAGACCAGGCTGCAAGAACAACACCACGGGTATATATTATGATACTATTCTGATACTTTATGTATGGCTAAGATTACTCAGATAGCATGGTAAATCCTAATTTTTGTGATTTGAACTTTGAACAGTACTTTTGATGAAATATGAAGCACCAAAAGATTAGAAGACGTACTTCCCCTGTGCAGGACAGTGAACCTCCCGCATGCACTTTGAATCCTAATTTTACTCCCAAGATAGCGTTCAGTTGCCTTACAAGTGGCTGAATTCTATGGTTTATGGTAGATATAACATAATATATCATATAACATAATATAACTATAAAGTTAATGGGCTTTATAATGGTGTATAAACCAACAAACATCACTGGGGGTGCCCCATCCCTGTCCCAATGTCACGTTTCAGCGACGAAATCTCCACGACAACATCAGCGCTAACTGGGTGAAATGATCCAGCTGCGATTACCATCCGTTCATTCCTAACTTCCTGATTTATCAATATATATATATACAAATTATATATGTTTATATCTCTATATATATACAGTATATATATATATATATATACACATCATGTACATAGATAATATACTATATATAATATATATTATATTATAGATATACATAAACTGTACATAACATATACTGAATAAAGAAGAACTTTAAAGTATATACATAAATACATACATATATCATATATACATATATACAAACATATATAATGGCTTTGTTTGAAGATAGGGCCCCAAAAGAAATCCAAAGGTGAATCATTTCTCCAATTGACATTATCAATGTCCAAAACCTCCTCCTGAACCATCAGCCATAACTGGGACAACAGCACTGAGGTCTCATTCTGCTGCTCCAAAGGTATGGTGTGGTCTGACCTTCGGAAAAGGACCCGTCCGATTCCCCGGGGATGAAAAATGCAACTCTCTTTCCACGCTTCCTTAGATGTTGAATAGTATCCCTGGTGGTTTAGTATGGGGTAATGATGGTTAATGATGGTTAATGATGGTTAATGATTGTAATAATCCCTGGTTGGTGGTTTGGAACATGAATTTTATTTGCCCCAATAGGAACTGGATGATGATCCAATCTGACAAACTCATATTTTTCAGAGGGGTAGGTCAACCACCAACCAGTGTTGAATAGTATCCCCTTACCCTCTGGTAAACTAACGTAGCTATAGAAAATCACCATTATTAATGGGTAAATCCACTATAAATGGCCATTTTCAATAACTATTTTGACATAACCAGAGGGTATCACCCTTGCTTTCCATTGCTTTCCCCACAAGACTTGCCCTCTGTTGGATCATTTTGGGTTTCCCCCAGCAACGAAGGACGGCTGGTGGTTGCCAACGGAAGGAGGGCGAATGTCCTGAGAACCGCTTGGAGCATGCAGCCGTGTGCGGGCCCTGGCAAGGTGTCCTGTAAAGTGGCCCCCCCCAAACCCCTTAGAAAAACCCATGGAAAACGGAGGAACATGGTGGATTTTGCCAAGAAAGATTAATGGGTCATTTCCATGGGATTTGTAGCTGATTGATGTTGCCTTTTTGTTTGGATAACTCCAACAACTTGGGTCACCACCTTGGAAAGCTGAGCAATACATGGAATGTCCAGGGAAACCTTGGAAGAGATTGGTCAATGGGGATATGATTAATGGAGATAGTGGGATATAGCGGGTATAATCGACAGTGTTTATTGACCAACAACATTTGGAAAGCTGCATGAGCCAACGTGATGAAGAATATGAGTAAACTGACTGGAACATGTTCTTCATATGAGTTAGGGAATAAGTTTATATTCGCCGAGCATACACATCATGTTGGTTGGTTTGTTTGTTTGTTCTGATGTTTGAGACATTGAGATTGTAGGGCATGAGGCTCTATTGCCAGCAGGGATTGTCAAGTAGAGTAGTACAGGCTCTGAGAACTCGTTTGGAGCGTACGTTGAGAATGGCTGCTGAAGAAGGTCACGGTCATGGCGGCAGCAGCCGAATCCGTTCTCGTTCCAGAGGACGTGGCGCTGAGGCTGATGCTGCCAACTTGGGTCCTGAGAATTCCACAGTGTTGGATAGCACTGGTGCCGGCATGGGAGATGTTGCTGGTCCTCCGGCAGGTGCTGAAGTGGGTGATGGAACCGTACCTTTGGCAGATGGATCTGTGCCACCAGGAGGAACAATGCCAGAAGGAACTCCAGGAGACGTGAATGCTCCGTTTCCACCGGTTCCTCCAGTGATCACCCCACCTGGTGATGTGAACGCGGCTGAAGTCTTGGCTGTGAGTACGGAATTGGCTCGGAAGATCTCAGAGTGTTCCAACAGGCTTGCAAATGTAAGTGAAAAGAATTAGTGAAAAGAATAAGTAACCGCCAAGAATTAATTGACGTAGGAATAAAGCCAGCAGCAGGGAGATGAACAAGCCAGAAACCATCTGGATTGGCTGGTCATTTAAAAGTACCCCGGTTGATTGGTTATCATAAAGGATTATATTACCTGGTTTAATGCAGTTTATTATAACCCATAGTAGGGAGACCTATCAACCAACTGGTGTAATGAGATGGGACAGGTTTTTTGGTTCATAGCTCAAATGGGAACATATTATTGCCCTTACCAACTATTTTTCTCATATCTAAGATTGGGAATGATTTGAGCAGTGACCAGCTGACACCTATATTCACCCCGCTTCGCGTGGGGTGGCCGCCCACACCGCAGGTTTATTTCGGTCCGTGAGAGGGGCTAAGGGTGGTTTTCCCCCGTGGGGGCTCCCCAAGCTAAGAATTTTCACTTTCCCCCCCCGTGGGGGCTCCCCAAGCTAGGGAATTTTCACTTTTCCCCCCCGTGGGGGCTCCCCAAGCTAGGGAATTTTCACTTTTCCCCCCCGTGGGGGCTCCCCAAGCTAGGGAATTTTCACTTTTCCCCCCCGTGGGGGCTCCCCAAGCTAGGGAATTTTCACTTTTCCCCCCGTGGGGGCTCCCCAAGCTAGGGAATTTTCACTTTTCCCCTCCGTGGGGGCTTCCCAAGCTAGGGAATTTTCACTGTTCCCCGCCGTGACAGCTTCCCAAGCTATGGAATTTTCACTTTTCCCTCCCTTGGAGGCTCTCCAAGCTGCGGAATTTCAAATAGCTAGACAACGACGCCTAGATAGTCCCCCAAATCCCGTGTTCTTTGAATGTGTTTCCATGTTTTTGCAATGGTTTCCTTCAAAGCACGGTACTTTACACTTTTGTCGCCATAAAACCGGTCGAAAACATCATGTTCGACAATGCTTCCAATTCCCTTATCTCCCCAACCGTTGAAAATACCGCTATTTACAGTGTTTTCTTCAATTTTTCCATGTGCCAATGCCGGTAGCCAACTCCAACATATATATAAGAAATCCTTCCAAAACATTGTTTTTGACAGTGTTTTTCCAATGTTTCCAGTCAAACAGACGGTAATTTACACGTTTTTTGCCATAAAGGCAGTAAATCCTTCCAAAACATTGCTTTTGACAGTGTTTTTGTAATGTTTCCAGTCAAACATACGGTAATTTACACGTTTTTTGCTATAACGTCAGTCCAAAACACTTGTTTTTGCAGTGTTTTCAATGCTCTGGCATCCAAAAACCCTGCAAAATCTTGCTATGTACAATGTTTTTTTCATTTTTGGCCGTTTTTCCATTGCCGGAAAGCTACCAAAATGACCCAAAATTCCATTTCAATACCCTCTTGCGCTCAGACACCCAAAAATCCTCGAAAAATGTCGAAAACACCACCGTATTCTGGTCTCGGTGCGAAACCGTTTTTGGCCCCCCCCCCAGCTAAAGCTGATATAGCGACTGCTATAATATTAACAAATGTCATTGAGCATTTAGTGTTGCTGTTGCCCCACAATAAGCACGCCTTCACCGCCAAAGCGGTGTGGGCGGATTTATCATCGAAGGAAGTTTAGAAGTCAAACTTCCGACAATATGGACAGATGAAAGGCAGAGATGGGAAGAGTCAGAGAAGAGAAAAAGCCAGAGGAAAGAAGATCCAGGTGCGCGAAAAACGTAGGAAAGTCGTGAAACACTGCGTTTTTCCAATGATTTGTGGCTCCGGAGGGTCGAAAAGTAGGCTCGCTAAAGCGGCGGGTGCGGAGCCAGCTGGCCAGATGAGAGATGAAAAATTGCATGCCGCTGTGGCGCGAAGCACGTTTCCAAGTCAAAATGCACAAAACACCTCAGCTTCGGAGCACTTTTAGAGGCTGTGATGTCGAAAAAGTGCACGCCGTTGCGGCGCGAAGCACATTTCGAAGTCAAAATGTACAAAACACCTAGGTCCGGACCACTTTTGGAAGTTGAGATGTCGAAAAAGTGTACGCCGTTGTGGCGCGAAGCACATTTCGAATTCATAATGCGCAAGACACACCATGTTGCCACTTTTGGAAGTTGCGATAGTTGCGATGTCGAAAAAGTGCACGCCGTTAAGCGCGAAGCACGCTTCGAAGTCAAAATGCACAAAACACCTCAGCTCCGGACCGCTTTTGGAAGTTGCGATGTCGAAAAAGTGCACGCCGTTGTGACGCGAAGCACATTTCGAAGTCAAAAGTGTAAAAAACTGATGGGTTCGGAGCACTTTTGGACGTTCAGACGTCGTTTTGAGTGGCAGTCGCAAGGGATTGTGCACCTTGGATGTTAGGAGGTCAGGGCGCTGATTTCCTGAAAAGGATTGCATTTTGGAGCATCAGATCTGTAGGTTTGCTAAGATGATTTAGAATGACAGGTGCTGCACTTCGTATGACCTGGCCTCACTTTCTCGTGACAGTACTTTACACAGATGTAGTGCAAAAAACACAAAACGCATGGTACAAGGCCGTCAGCGCTGCACTCAACTTTCCATTTTTGAAGGAGGTCTCGCAGAATTGCTTCGTTCTTGATGTTGTAAATTTTCAAATTTTCAGGAAGTAGATAGGTAGGTAGATAGATAGATCGATAGATAGATGGATAGATAGATAGACGAAGAGAGAGAGAGAGAGAGAGAGAGATAGACACATAGATGGGCAGATAGATGGACAGATAGATAGACAGGTAGATAGAAAGAAAGATAGATAGAAAGATAGATGGATAGATAGATGGATAGATGGATAGATGGACAGATAGACAGATAGACAGATAGACAGATAGACAGATAGACAGATAGACAGACAGACAGGCAGACAGACAGATAGATAGACAGACAGATAGACAGATAGACAGTTAGACAGATAGACCGATAGACCGATAGACAGATAGACAGGTAGACAGATAGACAGATAGACAGATAGACAGATAGAAAGATAGACAGATAGATAGATAGGTACATAGGTAGGTAGGTAGCCCGACCCTCCAACCACCTTTCGATCCATCAGCGGGTTCACTCTGCCATCCATGATGCACCACAACCAATTTCTCCTATAGGTTTCCTATCTTTGAAACTTCCGCCACCGCCTTGTGCGGTACTACTGGTATTTTATCATAGCCTTTTTTCGCGTGGTTTATTGACGATTATGAACTGACCCATGATGCAAAATATATACAATGATATGAGTACAGCATAGTACAGCAGTCGTTCTCAGTGGAGACAGGTTGCGAGCATTAGAAAAATGTTTGTCGAGTTGTTGATTGGGCGTGTGAGCAGGATGACTGGGAACCATCCAAGATATCCAAGACGGCCCGTCAGAGGTTCACTGTCACTTGGATTTTCAATGCTGTGGTTCGCCGCATCATCTGGCATTCCCATGAAGGCCCAGTGCACTGAGGAGGAGGGAGGAAGAAGGAATTTCAGCCGCGGGTGACTGAGCTTGCAGCGTGGATCTCGGAAGAAAGAAACCACGGCCATGCATTACACAAAAACATGATTGGCATCAAGTTTCGGGCACTGCAGCAGAAAGGCTGGATTGGGATCTTCATCTTTGAAGTCGAGGCCGTTGGGAACGCATCCCTATAAGTTCATGTGCAAAGGTCCCCTACGAGGCTCCTTCAGCTTCCTACACGGTGGATGGCACGGTCTGGAACTTGGTGCCTCTGATCGAGAGTTGTTGAACTAGGTCAAAAAATTGATACTAACGTACCTCCATTTTAGGGTCCTGAAATTCCCATTGAATTTGGTTGTTCAAACGGATCATCACCGACTATTTAATGTCTAGGCAGCATATGTTGCCGTCCTACAAAGTGGGGCCCCCTAGATAGCTAAGTTGGTTAATAAGTCCAATAACTATGGTTTATGGTAGATATAACTATAGTTAATGGGGTTTGTAAAACAACTTATAACTGGGGGGCATCACATTGTAGGTCGAATACTTATAGGTGATTCAACAAGTTTCCCACTGTCCTGGTAGTTCTTTGTCTGGTGGATTAGCTGCTAAGTGATGGAAGGGTCACTTGGAAGAGGAACATTGTACCATGTTAACCCATTTTTTTTACCCATTATAATCCCAAATGATACCAGTATAGTCCCACAATATCTCACATGATTGTACCATTGGGATAACTTTTTCTAGATTATGTATGATCCCACATCGAAAAAAGGACTGTGTAATTAGGTGGAACCGGGATCACATCGCTCTTGCCTTGCCATTTTTTGAAACCATCATACTGTGGATGGAAGAAATCCTGCACCAGTTGGTAGATGCTAAGCATCCCACTGTAATCCCATTATATGCAATGCTTCATACTCACCAATAATTACCAACTGGTGCAGGATTTCTTCCATCCACAGTATCTCATGACGATGTTTTGGGTAAACTGGTAAACCTTATTCCTTACTGAAGAGTCATCAAGTACTCCACTAGATCTGCTATACCCTAATGATCCTAATGATGTTGCTGTAAACGGGATATGGAAATATTCTGAAATAATACCTGTCTGCCGAGTATCCAAGAATGGCCATGGTCCCCACGATATGCCATCAGAAAGCCGCCATATCGCCTTAAAATCCGGTTTGTTTGCAATAGTATAACTTATATAAGTCACTTTTGGGCTAAATACCATCATTTGTGGTGGTTTCCCGAAGGCCAACATAGACGTTGAACACCCATGGTTTTTTGTAGGAACATGATATGGTTCTTTTTTACCAAAATCATCGCCTCAGGTCTAGAAAATCCGACACGAAGGCCGGCCATGAGCTGTAATGAGTTTTGCTGAGCTGAGCCAACGTAAGGTGACGGGCTCTTCAACAATGTGGGGCCCCCTATAGATAGCTAAATCACTTACGTATAACTATAGAGCAACTTCTACCTGGGGGCCACTAGGTCTAGGTGAACCATTGAGAAGATTGGGGAATGGATGCAGTAACCAAGGTTCAAAAAAAAATATGAGATTGGGCATGTTCACTGGCCATTTCAAGTACCTAAACTGGAGTTAGGCACCATTTTTTTCATGCCTATGTAAGGGCTAAATTTCAGGGGATACGACGCCAGTTCAATATGGCTCTATAAATATGGTACGTAGCTCTATTTGAGGTTCTTGAAATTCCCATTGACATGTTGTTGAGGGCTGAGGGTATCTTGGCAAACGAATCTGTAATGCAAATTTATCAAGGTGGACCATAAAGTTTAAGATGTGTGTGTGTGGAAAGCCCTGAATCAAAGGGTATCAGCAGGGGGCCATCCCTCTCGTTATTGGTGGATGGCCATCGAAGAGGCCAATGATGAGAGCCCCAGAGTGCGCCTTATTGAAAAGATTCAACAGGTTTATTGGTTTAGAGGTTCACTGTTGAAATGCAAGTTTTATTGAAATAAACCAACAGGAGCTGTTGGTTTGACAGCTTAAAATCTGTTGTATTTTTCAACACAGGTCTGTTGAAATTTTCAACAGGATTTCTTGGTTTTCAAGACAAAAACATCAATTTTTACATGTTTCCAAAACCAAAAAAAACAAAGACTCCTGAACTTTCTTTTTCCACATGTGTAAACACACATAGCAGCTGTTCCCATGTGCATGACACTGCCCATGAACCCTGGAGCTTCCTGCACCCCTTGAACTTCCTGCAGCCCTGCATCTTCAATTGGGTCCTGTGAAAGTGCTGGGGTCCTGCAAAAGGGCTCAGAATGGCAGAGCTGGATGTCCTGGATGGTTTGGAGCAGGACAGGATCCACAACATCAACAGACCAGGATTGCTCCAATACCGGTGCTACATCCAGTGCAACAACTGCCACAGGGGATGGATCTGGAGGAGGAAGCTGAGCACTGCAGAAGACTGGACCTTGAATTGCTACATTTGTGACAAGTCATGGAGGCAAAACTACTGTGAAAATGGTGGCTGGCACTACTGGGACCCCATTCGGAGAAGACCTGAGTTCTGAGCCAGCCACCTGCATGGCCCTGCAAAAGGGCCACCCTGGGCCTTGCAAAAGGGCTCCACATGAAGCATGGGTCTTGAAAAAGGGCTCCCTGAAGCATTCAAAAAGCTTCCAGGGAAAAATGTTGGAGCAAGGTGTTGGAAGCTGACTCCACACATGGCCACACAGCAGCAGCCACCTCACAGCATGTGTCAGACTTGCAGCATGGATGCAGGCCTATGGGCTCACAGTCATTTTTCAAACCTGTATTTGGCCTTGGGAAGGGGCTTTTTTTTTGGGACCTTGTGAAGGGGCTCCCTTGGGTCCTGCAAAAGGGCTCAGCTTGCAATGGTTCTCATGAAGGCTGTGCAAAAAAAGAGGAGTGGCAATTCAGCACCACACAAAAGGATTCCTTTTCCTGAAGTTTCCCAAGATGCCTTGGACAAAGCCATGCATTCCTACTGCAGAGCTATGGGGATCAAAGAGGCTTTCAACATGTACCAGTACAAGAACCTCCAGGCCCAGCAGTCAGAGAGCCCTCAAAGCATAGCCCAGCTTGCAAGGCTTCTGGAGGCGCTCCTGGGTGTGAGCAGCAGTGCCAAGATCAAGTACAAGGCATTGAAGCAATCCTTTGTTGTTCTCCTGCAAACCTGGGGGGTGCAGCTTCTCAAAGCCCACTGGGAGATGGATGACAGCATGCTTGCTGGCAGAGCTGCTGACTCAGTGGGTGTGCTCTTGAAGCACTGGAGAAGATGCTCATCCAGTGAAGTTGCTTGGGGCAAGTTGGTTGGGAAGCTGGATGAGTCTGAGGCAGCTGCTCTGGAGAGGCTGAGAAAAAAGACAACCTGGGATGGCAAGCAGGAGCCCAAAAAAAGGCAGCTCAAACTCCACAACTCTGAGGTCAGCCAGGACAGCCATGGATGGCCAAAAATGGTGGCCCAGCCTGTGCCCAGTGAAGCAGAAGACTCAGGTGATGAGGAAATGGAATCTGAAAGCCAATCAGGAAGTGGCAGCAGCTGCAAGCTTTCAGGTCTGGATGAGAGCTCCCCTCCTTGTTTGAAGAAGGACTGGAGGGCAAATGCCATGAAAAGGCCAGCTGCTGAGTCTGAGAGCATCATGAAGAAGCCTTCTTCAAGCTCTTCCAAGTCTGAGGAAGTGAAGGCCAAGCCTCCTTTGGGCCCTGGGAAAGGGCCAACCTCGGGCACTGAGAAAGTGCTCATTGACCAAGGCAGTATCAGCACTGGTGGTGGCAAGAACCAAAGCTACTTGCAACATCAGCCTGGGCCTGGGAAGAACAAGAGACTCATAGCTGCTGTGACCTTGAGCCAAGCCAGCAGAACAACAAAGACCCACCAACAACTGGTTCAGCTGTTGCTTCCAAGTGCCAAAAAGCCAAAGGCAACCAAGGCTGATGTGCTGGCAGAAAGAGAGAAGCTCTTTGCAAAGTTTGCCAAGTAGGCCATGTAAAAAATGAAGCCCTGCAAAAGGGCTCTATAGGTCCTGCAAAAGGGCTTTGCCACAGCCTTAGACAAAGGCTTGACCATGAAGCTCAACATTTGGAAGAAAAATGCCTGGTAGTGTATGCAGCCTGCAATGGAGCATGCTGGGTCAAGTTACAGCAGCATGGTGGCACTGTGCCATGACCTGGCTGTAGTCACTGTAGCTTTGGCTCAAAATAGTGTTTGGTGTTTTTGCCCCTTTGCAGGGGCAAGGCTAAGCTATCCTGGGCCTTGCACAAGGGATCCATCTCAAGCAGGCCTTGCAAAAGGGCTTCTGGGCACCTGTGAAAGGGCTCCAAAACATGGAGGCCCCCAGCTCCTCAGATGGGAGCAAGGCCAGGAGAAACAGAACTCCAGTGCCCAAGCCCCTCTGGGCAGACATGGTGGACCCCAGCAGGGAGAAGAAGCAAGTGGAGAAGGAAAAGGAGAAGAATGCCAAAGAAGAGCCCATGGAGGAGGAGTGGTGGGAAAAGGACTGGAAAGATTCCAGGAAGACTTGGAATGACTGGTGGCAAGAGAAAGAGGATGAGTGGAGTGACTGGAAAACATGGGAGAAGGAGGAGGAGGAAGCAGCTGCTGCCAAAGCAAGAGAAGATCAGAAGCAGCCTGCAAAAACCAAGAAGGAAGAGCCAGAGGAGGAGAGAAATGTCCTGAGGGGCCCTGAGGCGAGGTGGAAAAACAGAACTGGGTCTTCAAAGCAGAAGTCCAAACTCAGGTGGGCTGAGAACAAGGCACTGGAAGAAGGAGAAGACCCAGAGATGGTGAAGCTGGGTGCTATGGGGGCCTCCAGGATGAAGAGGCTGGTCAGCAGGCAGGAGGACAGAATGTCCCACAAGGAGACTGTGGCAGCTGCAGAGAGGGCAGCAAAGGATGCAGCTCAGGCAGCACAGTCTGCCAAGGACACTGCCCAGCTGTGGGCCTGGCAGAGCTGGCAGTGGCAGCAGGCCTACTGGGGCCAAGGACAGGTTTGCACCACTTTTTTGGGGATGGCAGAGTCTGCACTTGTTTGAACTTGATTCTTGTTTGACCAGGACAGATGGAGCAGGCCTATGGGACCACCTGGCCCAATGCCCAGGCCAGCACCTGGCAGCCTACTGCTCAGGCCAGCAATGCCCAGGCCAGCACCTGGCAGAGTCCCTGCCAACCCACAGCCCATGGGGCCTATATGCAGTACACCCCCATGTGGACAGCAGCCCACAGCCCACAGCCCAGAGCGCACAGTGACTTCCTGGACTCCAAGGTGGCTGGAAGCAAAGCAGCTGGCACCAATGCAGCTGGAGGAGGAGAGCCAAGAGCCAAAACAAACACCAACCCTTACAAGTAGTTTACACCACCATCCATAAAGGAGCTTTTATTTTGGAAGTTTTATGCACTACTCATGTTGCAAAATCTATTTGGCAACATTTTCTTTGAGAGGGCCACCAGTCAACCTTGAATGCTTCTGGTGACAGGCACTTGTCAATGAAATTGTTGTGGGCTATGATGGACTATGTTTCAAAAATAAAAACAAGGAATTGTAAGGGCCTTGATGGGGTGCCACCTCATTTTTTCCAAACCACACATTTCTAGGGACTTGGTCTGCAGTAACCTTTGCATTGGCCCTGCCTGTCAGGAGAAAATCCCAAAAAAACGACCAGGGATGACAATGCTGAGGAGGGCAACTACCTGAGGGCAAAGTCCAGGGCACAGCCTCCCAAAAATTGGGAAGGAGCCACCAGCTCTGGTGGAGATGATGTTGGGTGGCACATTGCACAAAGGAAAAAGCGCAGGGGCAAGAAGAAGTGAGCCCAAAGCATCTGAGGATGGAAAGAAGGCCTTGCAAAAGGGCTTACAAATCTGAAACCAAGGGCTTTGCAAAAGAGCTCTGAAAGGATAGGTCCTGCAAAAGGGCTTCCAATTTCCTTCTCCAAAATATGGGCCCTGCAAAAGGAGCTCCAAAAAATGTACAGAAGCCTTAAGACAAGGCTGGACTGCCACAAGGGCAAACAACATAGCCCAAGGAAAAACATGATGCACCCTGAAATTCAAGGGGAAAAATGGTGGCACCCTGCAATTTTCAAAACACTGCTTAACCTCATATGATCTCATATGATATCATATGAGGCAGCCATGCCTCATATGAGAGAAAAATAGCCTCATATGAGGAAAAAATGTCTCATATGAGGATGCCTTACCTCATATGAGCTCATATGATATCATATGAGGTTTAGCCTTTTTGGAAATATTCCAGAAAGTTGAAAAATTGGGGATTTTTTTTTGGCACCACAAAAAGGAAAAAAAGGCCATGCTCCACGGTTGAAAGCTGGAAGCTGCCCATGAAGGCCCAGTCATGCCAAGCTGTACTTGCCAGCAACTTTTGGCTTAGTAGCTGCTGTTCTTTTCGGTGAAAAGGAGGGGGACCTGCAAAAGGTCTCAGTGTGCCTTTGCAAAAAAGGCTTTAGAGCATAGGCCTTGGGAAAGGGCTTGAGCAAAATGCCACCCAAAGCCATGAAAGCCATGAAGGTCTTGAAGCTCAACCTCAAAAGGCCAGCTGCCAGTGGCTTGGAAAGCCTTGAAAGAAAAGAAGGGATGAGCCTGGAAGACAAGATGGAGCTCTTCAGGAAGAAGGGGAACAAGGATGTGGGTTCCTTTTTGGATTCCCTGACTAAGCAGCAAAGGGAAGCTTTGTGGCAGAGGTTTGCCAGTGCAAGGGCTTCTCTGAAGGATGGTGAGGCTGATGCCATGTGGGCAGAAGTGGCCAAGGGCAAGGGGTCAGATGGCCCAAAGAAGAAGCTGCTGGGCACCTTCTTGAAGCTGGGGGGTGACCTGAAAGGCAAGAAGGACCTCTGGCACAAGGAGCTGCTGACCTACAGCAAAAGCAGTGGCCCCTTGGCTGCAATTATTTTGCCTAGCAAGCTGTGTGTGAAGACCTTGTGGTAGAGCTTCTTGTGCCAGCATCTCTGAGGTGAAAGGCACACTGAGGAGTGGGTGCCCTTCCAAGCCATCCTCAAGAGGTTTGGGCTGCAGGAATGCCTCAGGAGGGCAACTTGCTGGCACTTATTTTCATGCAAGCTGTTCCTTGCCCACTTACTGCCAGCCATTGCTAATTGACACAAGGTGAAGAGAGGAAGCATTGCCTGCAGAAGGGACCCAGCTGACAGACATGAGTGGCAGTTCAGCTTGAGAAAGTCTGTGGCATGGACTGAGGAGGAGGCCAGGCATAGCTTCCAAGGTGAAAGCAATGTGAAGGTTGAAGCAGCACACTGGCTGGAGCTGAAAGCAAAGGGGTTGCTGGAGGATGGAGCTGAGGACAAGACCCTGGCAGACAAGGCCCTCCAGGATGTCTTGCCCAGTAACAGCAAGGGCTCCGGCAACAAGCAGCCCCTGGCCTTGAAAGACAAGAGTGAGGATGAGAAGGAAGATGAAGATAGCCCTGACAAAAAAAGAGACAAAGGATGGCCAAGTGGCAGAGGCTGAAGTCCTGTCTGAGGTGGGCAAGGCCCTGCCAAAGAAGGAAGCTGCTCTCAGGGTCACCAGGATGGTCAAGCTACTGAAGGCAGTCAAAAAGGATGTTGGTGCTGCAAAGGGAAAGCCTTTGGATGAATGCCTGGCAAAGCTTGAGAAGCTGCAAAAGATGGGGGACAAGGTAAGCCTGGAGGATGCGAAGGGGAAGCTCTTTGATGCTGCCATCCAGATCAAGAAGGTGAAGAAAATGTGAGGGGAGAAGTTTTGCAGGTCCTGCAAAAGGGCTTTCTTGAACATGGTTCTGCAAATTTTTATTTGCAGTGTTTGTCAATTTGGTCCTGCAAAAGGGCTTTCTCAATTTGGTCCTGCAAAAGGGCTATGTACCCCTATAGGGTGATGGACCTTTCAGCATGGCCTTGGTGCAAAAGGAAGGCAGCTGCTTCCTGTCCAAACACACCCGCCTTGACACTTTGACAAGCAACACTGACTTGGAAAGCCTTGTTGCAAAAAGGCATGTGTCTGCAGTTGCTTGGCTCTTCAGGCAGCCATAAGGATTATAAGTCCTGTGAAAGGGCTTAGACTGGTCCTGCAAAAGGGCTTCAACAGCCATGGCTAAATGGAAGAGGAAAAAGTACCAGGAACCTGCAGGACCCCATAGAGAAGAAGAAGAGTTCTCACCCCTTGGCTTATCTCTGTTGGAGCATTTCGCCTCAGGGATGAGTGCCCCTTGGCAGCATCTAACTTGTGCAGGATGCTTGCAGGTAATTCTTGTTTAGACCATATGGTGAAGCTCAGGGGCCATCTGTCCAAGCTCTTGCATTGGCAGCAACCAAGAGTGGTGCTAACTCTGCTGATTTGCAGCAATTGGCTTCACTGGGGAACTATGGGAGGTCTTCTGAGCACATAGCCTCCCAAATGATTTCCAAGTATTGCAAGTCAGACAGCATCAAGCTTCCTGAGCCCTACTTTGTTGACACCCCTGTTCGTGTGAGAACTGCAGATGACTGGGTGGTTGCTGTCAAGCCAGTGGCATTGTACTTGCCACATGAGTGGTTTGCATGGCTACAGCTAGAGGAGCAAGCTGCTGGCTTTGAGCAACTGGAGGAATTCTGGGAGAATCATCCCATGGGTGACCCCAAATTGGATGGCAATCCAATCATGGATGCTTCTTGGCAGCAGACTTGTTCACCCAGCTGCTTCTCACAAGCATTTGCCTTGGCCCACTTTCTTGTGCCTGCCTGCTTCTTACCTAGGAAGGATGTGGCAAGTACCTGCCCCTCATTCTTCATGGGGATGGTGGGGCATTCCAGCGAGCAGATAGCATTCTGGTGCTGAGCATGAGATCACTGCTATCTTCATCCAGTGTAGCCCACAGCCAGATGCTCCTCCTAGCCCTTCCAAAGTCTGCAATCCACAAATCTGAGATTCTTGCTGAAGATACCATGCATTGCCTCTGGTCAGTGCTGACCTGGTCAATGCAGCATATGTACTTCGGCAAATTTCCAGAGAAAGCTGCAGATGGCAAAGACTGGCAGCACAAGTCAGCAAGGGGCCAAAAGGCAGGAACCTTGTTGAATTCTGCAGGGCTTTGTGGAATGATCTTTGCCATCACAGCAGATGGCGAGTTCTTTCAAAATGAATACAAGCTGCCAGGAAGTTCCCATGCAGAGTGCTGTTGGAGCTGTGGGGCAAACAGGTCCAGTCACCCACACAATGACTATAGAGCTGGAGCCAAATGGAGGGAGACCATCAAGAACCATAAGGACAGCAACCCCACAGATCACCTGATCATGACAGTGCCAGGCATCAATGGCTACACCTTGGCCTATGACTCTCTGCACATCTTGGAGCTGGGTGTTTCAGCCCACATTGTGGCCAACTTCATGTTTGACATGGTGGTGAAGGCAGAATTGCCAGGCAGCTCTTTTGAAGCCAGGCTGAAGGAACTTTTCAGAAAACTGTCTGGCTTATACACTGAGCTGGCCACAGACTCCAGCAACCAAGTGAGAAGACTTCACTTGTCCACTTTCTGCCAGCCCAACAAGAAGTGGGACAGTTTTCCTGAGCTCTCAGGTGTGAAAGCAAAACAGGTGAGACACCTCATCCCTCCACTCCTGGAACTCAGCCAGGATTTGGTCGATGAGAGCTCTTACAAAAAGCACAGGCTTGAGTGCATCAAGAACCTCAACCAAATGTATGAAGCTATGGAGTGCCAGGGGCTGCATCCTGATGAGTCAGCATATGAGCAGTACAAGAGGAGCACAGAGAAATGTTTACTCCATTACAGCAAGCTTGCCAAGATTGCAATCTCTCAGAACATTCTTCAATGGAACACTGTGCACAAGCACCACTTGGCTTGCCATATGCCAGAACAATTTAGGCACTTGAACTGCAGGTTTGTGTCAACATACTCTGGTGAAACAATGGTGGGCTTCATGGCCTCTCTTGGGCACGCCTGCCTCAATGGCACTCCTCCACATTTGGTGCCTGCAAAGGTTGCCTGGAGATATAGATTGGGACTGCACCTGAGGGTGACACATGGTGACTTTGACCTGGTGGATTCTGAAGAGGAACTGTGAGTCCTGCAAAAGGGCTGCATCTGTCCTGCAAAAGGGCTGTCTATGGTCCTGCAAAAGGGCTATCACCCTGACTTTGCCTCATTGTGCCCTTGAAAAAGGAAGCAGCTGTCTCAGGAAGTGGCACCACATGCTGGCCACATGTTTCTGAAAAAGCTGTTCATTTTCTTCAGATTCATACATTCTAAACCAACAGGATCCTGTTGAAAAAAACAATAAGGGCTCTGTTGGTTTTTTCAACAAGGCTTTAAAAAAATGCACCTTTCTATTTCAACAGCTTTTTGTGTTTCTGTTGAAACAAGACTTCACTGTTGAAATATGCGTTTTCTGTGGAATCTTTTCAATAAGGCGCACTCTGGGGCTGTAAACGTACCTGCGAATTTCCAACTTCAGACTTGGCCGGGCGGCTAAGCCATAAACCACCCTTGCCGACATGACATGGTAACATAACATGACATGATTTCATTTCATCTCATTTCATCCTCTCCCTTCAGGGTGTATCCAAGTGTGTGTCTCCCAATTTGTCTTGAAGATTTCGGAATCGTGAGGATTAGTGTTTCCCAACAATGAGGTAGGCTCTTGTGATTGGCGAATTTTAACCACAAACAGAACCATAGATATGTTGTAGCGAATCTGAACACCATTCACATCTCAGTGAGAATGTGGGGGAGGTGGAAATGATCATGGAATGAGGATACAACATAATAACTATGACGGGACACATCTGAGTGTGTTGGTTCCTTACAACGCCCCAGACAAAGAAGATTATGAAGAGACCGGCCAAAGCGGGTCCTCGCAACGGTGCAGCTCCTTTGCGTAAAGTCACCGCTGTCACTACCAAGAAGTCTTTGCCAGTGCGGAGCTATGTCGAGGCATTCACCCAGACACCAGGTAGCAGCAAACGTCTCATCTGCGAGCTCAGTTCCAAGCAATGTTCAAATCACGCCGATCTTGGTGAATTGATTGGCATTGAGACAGACAACCTGATTTATCCGCCTCCGCAGATCAGCGCTTTTCACGGACGGCCGTTTAAGGGCGACAAATTCTTTGCCTCGTCCCCGCCCATCAGGTTGAGGAACAAATTGAGCAGGGACAACTGGGGCACACCGCAGCCAGAAGCTTGCGCGAACAATTTGCAGCGCAAATGCTGACTGACTAAAACCAGAATGATAGCTACAACTATAAATGCACCATAATACACCTATGGCTATCTGGTTGGTGGTTTGGAACGTTCTTTATTTTTCCATATATTGGGAATTTCATCATCCCAACTGACGAACTCATATTTTTCGGAGGGGTAGGTATACCACCAACCAGCTATAATTACAACCATTTTTTGCCGGGAATGTAGTGATATTTACCAACAAGCGGGATGCTAAAAATTACACATTTTTCGGCTGTAGATGAATCGGATGTTTGAAACTGACACAAACCATGAAAATCCATAAGTCCCGCTTACTCGTAACATCTTTGAAAACATAAACAACCTGCTTGGTGGTTTCAAACATGACTTTTATGTTCCATTTCATTTATGGGATGTCATCCTTCCCATTGACGAACTCATATTTTTCAAGATGGTTAAATCCACCAACCAGCAACCGTTTTCCGCGGTTATAACATGTTATAGCCCATATAACCGTTTTCTAGTTGGCCTATGATGATATAATGTTGGTATATAACCTCATTGCAGGAGCTATCCAATTTATAATTCTGCTACCTTCACTGTGGAAACAAAAGCACGGAATCCATTTGAGTGGCTAGCGGGATGAACATGGCATTCTACTGGCGCACGGGTTTCCCTAGTCATGGGGGTACCCTAATAATAGCTGGATGGTGTACCATTTGGGAAAAATATATCATCCAGTAAACCAAGATATGGAAAAACAAACATTTGGAATAAGTAAAACATCTATAGATTCGATATTTTCCATAGCTATGTTAGTCTACCTGATGGTATAATATAACCTCAAGCCCTAAGCACAACCATCATTTCAGGATTTATCTCCCCGGTTTTCAGAGCTCAACATCTTGCAGAAGGTGGGGGTTCCCCTTAGCCACGAACTCGCCAATATCACCTATGGTTTTTGATACTTATAATAATTTATCACCATAGTTAAGTTTAGTGGATAAACCCAATCAACTGTACTGTAGATATATCTACTGTAAACCATAGTTAACCCATACTTATAAACCAAATTGCCTATCGTCAACGGAGCACATCTTCCACAACTCAGTCCCACATGTTCTTCAGGATCAAAGTGATGACTCTGCGAAAGGCGAGTGTGCCACTGGTCTGCAGTGAGGAACGCACCCCTGTTGCTTGATGGTTGTGTTTCGGAAAAATTGACCCCCAATATGGGGTTTAACATGGTTTAACCATCTCCAATATGAGGATATAAATTGAATATACATGAATAGACTTGATAAGTGACGGTTGGTGAATGATTTGTTCTGGGGTTCAACAACCCAAGAATATGGTGGGGATAATTACATTCCAGTAATAGAATCCCTAGCAAACCAGGTCTCGTGCCTTCACGACCTCGAAAGTGGCACAATCCGCTGAAGCCGAATATGATGGAGGGTAAAAGCATGCCATTTCAATGAGCATATGCATCTAGATAGCCTCAATAAAGAGAGGTTACTCGCTATTAACCCAAGCTAACACATTTGGATGAATTGCAATAGTTTCACAAGATCTCCAGGGGGAACTGCCCAGAGATCTCCAGACAGGTGGGTGAATTATTCTCATTTAGCCAGATGGTCTAAAGCCAAAATGAAAATAATGTTTACCATTCTGAATGATGGTATTTAGCCAGGTGGTCTTCAGAATTTTATTTATTTCATTTATGAAAGTGTTTTTGTTTGTGTTCTTCAGCCAATTTGTTCCCCCCCAGTCCGCACGTGGCTTATAAATCGATTTAACGATATATCGTAGTCACAAGCCAACGGAAACCCATCTGTTGTGGATTGTGGGATGAGTAATCATCATGGGTTACGGTTGTATCCCATCATTTGCTTAGTTATAATGTTATATGTTATGCCATATCTATCGATTGTAATTTATGGGGCGATTATCAAGTGATTCATAAATATTAGGATACATCAACATATTTTATTCTATAATGTTTAACCATGTTGATCCATTTTGGCTGAGCAATCCTCGAAATCCACTGTGGGCCCCACATTGCAAAGCTCTGATTGTTTTTGTTTGGCTCATGTTTGGAAGTTAAATCTAAATCCCCATAAGTCAAGACATGTCCAATAATGTTGCCAGTATATGTCAGGAATATGGTTTAAATCATCTTTGTAAATCCCTTGGTTGAATCTCCACTTCTTCTGATGACCCTCCTGTAAACCAATATAGATGCGGAAAACCAACGATTTGTAGACAATTTTTAGGGAACTCATGGCTTTTCAATGTTCCACATCTCTTTGTATGTTGACGGGGTTAAATCAGCCATGGTTGATGTTTCAACCATCTTCAACCACCATTGTTCCCGCTGAAATCCACCATGGCACAGCAGTGCAGGTGCCGAAAGATGCGGCGCGCTACTTTCGGAAATCCTCGGACTGGGAGGCGCAAATTTCAGCGGCTTCGCTCGTCAGATGTGTTGCGGATTTGGTGGTTTCCATAGTCATGGGGATACCCTGAAAATTGATGATTTATAATGGAAAATCCTATATGAAAGTAGATGATTTAGGGTATCCCCATTTTAGGACACCTCCATTTCACCCTTGGTGGATCATCTCACTTAGGTAACCCACCTATTTAACTTATAAATGGGATAACTAAATAGACAAACATATATAAACAGTTATCCACTTATTTAAGTTAAATAGATCATCTCCAGATTGTTTTTTTCATGGGGTAAGTAGAGTTGATCCACTTATTTCACATACGCGATGCATGTGATGACCAAACAAAAGTACTCCAGTGTCAGAATCTTCACGAGGACGACACGCGGAGAAACACAACATGTTTTCCTCTTGTGAAAACAACAACAACAACCACAACAACAACAACCACAACCAACAACCAACAACCAACAACCAACAACCAACAACCAACAACCAACAACCAACAACCAACAACCAACAACCAACAACCAACAACCAACAACCACAACAACAACAACAACATGACATCCTTGTTTTTTGCAGAAGATTCATGATGATCTCTACCACTTTTGTTGGTTCAACCCCATCTCTATTTAAGTGTGCTTCTCAAACTCAATTGCCCCAACGCCATGTGTGTTTTCCCATCCAGAAGATTTTCATAAGGACCAGTTATTTTGAAAATTTGTTTGGCCCTAGCCAGGTTTTCAGAAATCCTCCCCATTTTGCCACATGGTGAGGATGAGAACAAGCTGGAGAATAGCAACCTTCTAGGTGCGACAGTCGTGGAGTACATGAACCTTGGATCATTCCACTTAACATCTGGTTATGACTAACATAGCCATGGAAAACCACCATTTGTTTTATAGGTAAACCATCTATAATGGGCCATCTATACCATGGCTATGTTAAATAACCAGAGGGTAACATATGGGAAACTATTAGGAAAAACTTTTGAAAAAAAAACAAAAATCATCTATAGAGGTATTATTTATCTTATTGGTGACATTAATTACTTGGAGGATCATCCCACTCAATCAAAGGAAAAACACAGAAAAAAACATGGGAAACATATGGGACATGCCCTATATATAAATAGAAGTTCTTTTGGGGAAACTATCTGGACGATCATCCCACTGTCCTCGTGTTTGTGGTAAACGTAACTGGGTTTTTTTCGCTAACCCATTCATAAATGGGATACTCCACTGAATCAATGGGAATTTCAGGATCCGATTGATTGGAGGTACCTACCATACATAAGGTCTATATAAGGGCTATGTAAGGGAATATCCCCAGAAAATATGACCTTATATGGTACAGTACCTCCATTTTAGGATCCTGCAATTCCCATTCACTGAATGGTGACTTACGATCACCAAGGTTATAACACGCACTTACGATTGGTGGGATGATCTTCGTTTGCCCGGTCATCCTTCGTGAAATGGAGATCTAAATCGCTCGGGTACACTTCACTCAGGAACTCGGGCCCGCGAGCTCAAACATCGACAAGAGGATCATCGAACAACGGACGGGGCGGAAACGTCGCTGCATGAGGGCATCGGAAACGTCGCTCGAAGTTGCTTTCTGCCAAGCGGTGCCCAGGAAGAGATGGGAAACGAGAGTTCGACAGGTGGATCTGCGGGGCACGCAGTTTCGTGCAGCTGCATTGAATGGCTTAATCCGACACCAAAGGTGCGCGGACAAAAGGGCCGTCTGCAGCTGTTCCTTCTGCCATGTATGTTTTTCGCATGTGAAAAAATGTTGTTCGAAATATGTATCTGCAATATCTGGGTTGTCAACTTGACTTCTTCTCACCTCTGCCCACGTGGTCTGGCGCTATCCAGAGCATTTTACCGGTCAAGCTTTGGAACTTTGATTTCATCGCCGTCGTGATGCTGGGCTCACACCTGGTGTTCAACATCAAATGGAACATTTTTTGCGGCCACCCGAGATTTGCATGCCTATACCCATAGGATCCATGTATGGTACATATGCTAACATTTGGGGTATATTGATGGTAAATGTTACCATATATAGCATACATGGATCCTATGGGATATAGTTCTACTCTGTTTTTTGCTGCACTCCGCTCTTCTCTGCTCTAGTTACTCCAGTTATTTGTTCAGGGCTCTACTCTTCTCTACTCCACTCTCCTGTCATCTTGTTTTCTCCTCTTCTCTTTTCAATAATCTGTTAGAAGTTCTATTCGAGTTTTTGACATTCACAATAAATATATATATATATACACACAATTATATATATATATATATATTCAGATGGGGCACACCACACCTAACAAACATTTGCAAACGTGGCAAACTCCTATCAACTGGGGCGTGGTCAGTTTTACGCTAAGTTTTACAGTTAGTTTAAACCCAAATCATTTAAGCTACAATTACCATAAACCATCATAAACCCTAATTCACATATAGTCATAAACCAACTTAGCTAGCTATGGGGCTCCACATTGCATGGATCATTAAGAAGATTATCCCACTGAGTAACTACTTTGTAACCATGATTATAAACAATATATATATATATACACATACATACATAACATATTCACGAAATGGGGGGTTACAATCACCAGGGTTATTAACTAGTTAGCCGTTTGTAAATAGATTAAATAGACACAACCATAATAGTTAAAGGGGCCGCAAATCCCAGCGGTGAAATTCCCATGGTTTTTACCGAGTGTTTACCCAACCAACTGGACAGTTTAATCTTTCAGTTTTCGTGCCCTAAATGTAAAATCAAACAATGTAAGACAATATTGTGGACTAGCAAAGATTGACCATTCATTTCGCTATTAAAAAGATACAAAGATATCCCATGCTCCAATGGTGAGTTTTGTTTGTTTTGCCCATCCCAGATGCTCCATATATGGAAATTGTACCTACACATGAACAAACCCTTACAAGGTGATGCCCCCATAGTTCTAAGTTGGTTTATTAACCCCATTGACAGATATATCATTGTCTAATATCTATCCCATAGACCCAGGTTACTGGAGTTATTTGCACCAACTTAGCTACAGGATGGGGGCCCCACAGTTATAAGTTGGTTTATAAACCATTATAAACCCCATTAACTAGTTCGTTATATCTACCATAAACCATAGAATTCAGCCACTTATAAACCATCTGAACGTTATCTTGGGGGCCCCATCCTGTAACTATGGGGCACCACCTTGTAACTGCCATCCCAAGAGCTCCGTGGTTTGCCTCGGAGGCGACTTAGCCCTGCTTCCCGAAGCCGAAAATCTGCTCGCTGTGCCTGGGCACAGCAGTGGAACGAGAACCGATGAAAAAATCAATGGAAGTGTGGCTGGCGAAGAAATTTTACATGATTTTTTTATAGCCTAGTTTAAATGGAAACTAATCTTCCAACCCTGATGACTGCCAGGGTCTATGTTAATTTACTGGAGGGTAATGATTTTCATATTATGTTTATATGATGTTTTTAGGATTTTTATACTCTAGTCACACTATTCGGCTTTTTGGTGGATCTTTTAACGATGTGTGATGATGTGCTACGACGTTTTTTTCCGATATTTCTAGATTTCATCACCTACCAGGTGAAGGCCTGTACGTTTTAACATCCCGCCTCCCCAACTTTGAAAGGTCATCGGGAGTGTCCTGGCCATCCTATTCGAGAGACTGCCAGATAAGATGTCAGAATATATGCCAGATAACATGTCGGAATTAACGCTAGTATATGTGTCAAATAGAATGGCAGAACTAACGTCAGAATATGTATCAAGTCAAAATGCCAGATAGAATGTCAGAATGTATGTCAGATAAAATGGAAGAATATATGTCAGATTCTCAGATAGAATGTCAGGACATATATTACATATATTATATGTCAGATAAAATGAAAGAATCTACAATATCATGTCAGGAATGTATGGCAGATAGAATCATTGAACGACATAATGCTGGAATATTTGTCAGATAGAATGCCACAATGTATGTCAGAACATTTGTGAAATAGAATGTCAGTTGGTGGGGGGTCACTCGGGGAAAGCAATGATGTATTTTGCTGTTTTTTATGCCTCGTTTTTTAAGTCTTACAATGTTGTTATATTTTTTGTTGATGTTTTTCCCCACCTGCCAGGTGAGGGTTGTTAGATTTTATCAGAGTTGTTCTTCTCCTTCTCCTCCTCCTCCTTCTCCTCCACCACCTCTGCCTCCACTTCCATGTTCACTTCCGCCTTTCCAACTCTTCGCCAAGCTCTTCGCCAACTTCCGCACGCACTGGGCACCGCTGGACCTCAACCTGGGACCTGCCGAGCTCAGTGAGCACCGCTGGACCTCAACCTGGGACCTGCCGAGCTCAGTGAGCACCGCTGGACCTCAACCTGGGACCTGCCGAGCTCAGTGAGCACCTCTGGACCTCAACCTGGGACCTTCCGAGCTCAGTGAGCACCGCTGGACCTCAACCTGGGACCCGCCGAGCTCAGTGAGCACCGCTGGACCTCAACCTGGGACCTTCCGAGCTCAGTGAGCACCGCTGGACCTCAACGGCCAGATAGAATGCCAGAAGATATGCCAGATAGAACGCCAGATAGCATGTCAGATAGAATGCCAGAAGATATGCCAGATAAAATGCCAGAAGATATGCCAAATAAAATGCCAGAAGATATGCCAAATAGAATGCCAGATAGAAGGCCAGATGGTATGCCAGATAAAGTGCCAGAATGTTTGCCAGATAGAATGCCAGAAGATTTGCCAGATAGAATGCCAGATAGGATGTCAGAAGATATGCCAGAAGATATGCCAGATAGAATGCCAGAAGATATGCCAGAAAATATGCCAGATAGAATGTCAGATAGAATGCCAGAGGGTATGCCAGATACAGTGCCAGAATGTTTGCCAGATAGAATGCCACAAGAAGAACATATGCCAGAAGATATGCCAGGTAGAATGCCAGAAGATATGCCAGATAGAATGCCAGAAGATATGTCAGATAGAATGCCAGAAGATTTGCCAGTAACAAATCGACAAATGGCATGGTGGGGATCACACGAAGTAAAGTAATTTTGCTATGGCAACGCCTTCTGAACTTCGGAGGTTTCCATAGTCCAGTCGTTAAATCCCTAATTTGGATGCTTCAAAAACTACCTTTGTTGTGGTAGAGTAACCATGGTTATTATAGCCCAAAATATGTTTAACATATTTTCCCTTATTGTTGTTGATGGCTACCCTCTGGTAATTTGTTACATAGCCATCAAAAATGGCCATTTATAGTTGAGTTACCTATTAAAAATGGTGATTTTCCATAGTTATGTTAGTTTACCACAGGGTAACCCACATTTTCTTTACATGGGTTCACCCCAAACATCATGGCCCTAGGAGAAGTTGTCAGCAGCCAATACGCCGAAGCATGCGCTGGTGCAAAGCGTGTGCCAAAGGAAAGAATGGGTGCGGAAGACCCAGGATGCTCCAGAACTAGGTTGATCAACTGGATGGGTTATAACCCCAGTGAAATATGTGGATTAGCTCTACTTATCCCATCTATATAAAATGTAGGTAAATGTAGGTAAATATTACCATACATGTCATACATGTCTCAAATGTAAGTAAATATACCATACATGCAGCATATGGTCCAGTTTGTTCATGGGAATTAAGGGGTTTCTTGTTGCGCTAAACACTCCAAAATATTGGATTTTACTAACGATGTTTTTCGTGATTCAGAATTGAATTATGCTAAGTTGCGGAAGACCCAAAAAAGAGGGTCCTGCAAGGTAGTAGATATAGCATGATATAACATGATATAACTATATAACTTGGGAGACCTTGGATGGATATTGGAGATATATTAAGCTAAAGGATATATATATATATATATGTATAATTATGAAGGTGGTGCCCCAACTGGATACTTAGGCTTGGCTGAAATAACGAAAAAGTCTAAAGCTACCACGGTTTGCTGTAGGTAGAACTATAGCTACTACCAGTTTATTTGGGTTACAAACCATGAAGGAAAGAATCTGGTATGAAACAGCTGGATATTTCAGCAAAATACATAGGTTTAGAGATTTGTAAGCAACGCTATCAGCTATGTACCAATATATAGCGCTGTATAGCCAAGCCAACATGTATTCTGAGTGTCGATCCACAACCGAATCTTACCACAGTATAGCGGAAACACACTGATCTGTTTCTACAGGACCGAAAAGAACAAAAAAGGAGGTAGCAGTCCTAGCTTTTTTGCTGGTTCGATGTTTTTTTGTTCACTATCCCAGCAACTCAAATGATGCTGCAAAATTTCGTAGTGCTCAACCCTCCTGTTCATGATTGACAAGAAAGCCAGGGTCAAAAACTAAACCATGTCGATCCCCAACTATTTGTTGACTGATGGTTCGTTGCTGATACTGCCCATATCATATATTCCGACAAGAACAGGGAATATCATGAAATTATGGGTGTGTCAACCAACCAACCCATATATTCCCAGGAGAGTTCCCATATATGGTGTTAAAATATCCATAATTTTAGTTAGAATAAACATATGCAGATCAAGTAATATGAACTCATGTTGATGAATATTGAAATTGGTTTGTTCCTCTTGTAAAACCTAGGGATTGAAACAATCCATCTACAATCCCTATATCCTTGTTTGTTATGTAAGTTCATATAAGGATATCTCTACATAAGTCCTATATAATTCCCAATAATCCCTAGATCATCCCTATATAATCCCTATATAATCCCTATATCCCATATATAATGCCCATAGAATCCCTATAACCCCCATATAATCACTATAATTCTTATCCCCGGTCCGACCAACTGTTGCCGTCGAGGTGGAGATCCTTGATGAGCTCGGCGCAAAACTCTGTGCCGCAGGGCGTCTCAGACAGCAGCCGGAGGTGGCTGTGTCTGAGCCAATGAAGATTATCTGGTTGGTGGTTTGGAACATGTTTTTTATTTTTCCATATATTGGGAAGAACCATCCCAACTGACTAATAGTTTTCAGAGGGTTGAAACCACCAACCATAAATGAAGATTATTATGATTTGGTGAATAATAAGAATGCCCTATGAAGATTATGAATATGTTTATGAAGATCCAATCAAATGAAGATGGTTATTAATGTTTGCTTGAAATATTTGAATAAGGTGTTTTGTTCTAATGAAGAACATGGTTTTTTCCCCGCATTGACGTGTGGGGTTTTTGTTTTTAGTTCTGTATCCGCCGCCGCCGCCTCCTCCTCCTCCTCCTCGCCCGCCTGTCCTCCTCACTCGCCCGCCTGTCCTCCTCACTCGCCCGCCTGTCCTCCTCACTCACACACTCACTCACTCACTCACTCAATCACTCACTCACTCACCCACCCACTCACTCACTCACACTCACTCACTCCCTGGCGTCCCTTGGACTCCGCTGCTTTTGCGTGGCAGGCGTGGGACCATGTGCACTGCCAAGGGGTCGGATGTACGCCCTGGCGTCCCTTGGGCTCCGCCTCTTTTGCGTGGCAGGTGTGGGACAATGTGCATTTTGCGTGGCAGGCGTGGGACAATGTGCACTGCCAAGGGGTCGGATGTACGCCCTGGCGTCCCTTGGGCTCCGCCTCTTTTGCGTGGCAATGTGCACTGCCAAGGTCGGATGTACGCCCTGGCGTCCCTTGGGCTCCGCGCCTCTTTTGCGTGGCATGCGTGGGACAATGTGCACTGCCAAGGGGTCGGATGTACGCCCTGGCGTCCCTTGGGCTCCGCCACTTTTGCGTGGCAGGCGTGGGACAATGTGCATTGCCAAGGGGTCGGATGTACGCCCTGGCGTCCCTTGGGCTCCGCCTCTTTTGCGTGGCAGGCGTGGGACAATGTGCATTGCCAAGGGGTCGCATGTACGCCCTGGCGTCCCTTGGGCTCCGCCTCTTTTGCGTGGTATACGCGTGGGACAATGTGCACTGCCAAGGGGTCGCATGTACGCCCTGGCGTCCCTTGGGCTCCGCCTCTTTTGCGTGGTATACGCGTGGGACAATGTGCACTGCCAAGGGGTCGGATGTACGCCCTGGCGTCCCTTGGGCTCTGCCCCTTTTGCGTGGCAGGCGTGGGACAATGTGCACTGCCAAGGGGTCGGATGTACGCCCTGGCGTCCCTTGGGCTCCGCCTCTTTTGCGTGGCAGGCGTGGAACAATGTGCATTTTGCTTGGCAGGCGTGGGACAATGTGCACTGCCAAGGGGTCGGATGTACGCCCTGGCGTCCCTTGGGCTCCGCCTCTTTTGCCTGGCAGGCGTGCCCTTGGGCTCCGCCTCTTTTGCGTGGCAGGCGTGGGACAATGTGCACTGCCAAGGGGTCGGATGTACGCCCTGGCGTCCCTTGGGCTCCGCCTCTTTTGCGACGCAGGCGTGGGACAATGTGCATTTTGCGTGGCAGGTGTGGGACAATTGTGCACTGCCAAGGGGTCGGATGTACGCCCTGGCGTCCCTTGGGCTCCGCCACTTTTGCGTGGCAGGCGTGGGACAATGTGCACTGCCAAGGGGTCGATGTACGCCCTGGCGTCCCTTGGGCTCCGCCTCTTTTGCGTGGCAGGCGTGGGACAATGTGCACTGCCAAGGGGTCGGATGTACGCCCTGGCGTCCCTTGGCACTCACTCACTCACTCACTCACACTCCCTTACTCGCTTACTCTCACTCGCTCACACTCACTCAGTCACTTACTCACTCACTCACTCACTGACACTCTCAGTCACACACACACACAAAGATCGATGGATGGATGGATGGATGGATGGATGGATGGATGGATAGATAGATAGCTCTCACATAACCACACTCACTCACTCTCATAGCATTTCACTCACACACCACACACCACACATTCACTGACTCACTCACTCACTCACTCACTCACTCACTCACACACACACACGCACACACGCACACACGCACACACACTAGACAAGAATGGATCATTATATGATCCGGCAGGAACTGAGTCCTGTGACATGCATATTAGATTAGTTACTTAGATAAGGATGGGTGTATATATATATATGGGACTATGGTGACCACCAGCTGCGTCTTACAATTGCGCCCAGGTGCGTCACCACAGTCCCGCGGGTACGTTTACACGGGTCCCGGGGAGGTGTCTTCGTTGATCACCGACCCCCCCGGGACCCCGGTGATCCCCCGCATATAGATATATAAAGTATAAGAAGTTTTACGTCTATTCAGACCCTGCCTCCGGCAGGGTGGTGCGCGTAAACATGAGATGAAGATGAGGATGAACAGGGGATGAAAGATGAGATGAGAGTGAAAATGAGATGAAAGCTACTTAACCAGGACGCGAAGAGGGGAACGCAAAAGAAGAGGGAAGGAGAAAACACACACCAACACACCTAGCCCGGAACGGGCGAACCCTGAAAAGGCAAGGGAAAAGAAAAAGCGGAGGGTCGACGGACACGGACCAAGACCAACGGAGGGGGGGGAAGACGGAAGCGCCTGAACCAACCTGACACAGCGAAAACCTACAAAAACCTCAGCACGCGACGGAGCCAACCTACCTGGGGAGGGAAGAAAGCATGAGATAGGGGACCAATGGGGAACTAGTTAGTGAAAAACAAAAACAAAACCAGGAATCAGTCCCTAATTTCCTAAATGTCGTGCGATTATTCCCTGCACCGGGACCGTGGTCAAGTCTTGCCCCAATGTCATAAAACAGCTGTCAAATTCCAGCGAATTAGGTGCACAAAATGTTTCACCTCACCAAAAAACAATCAAAAGAAAGAATACCATTCCTGCAAGACGTGTGCCTGCCTGAATCCTTGTGTATGTTGTAATGCCACTGACATGACAAAAGCTGCAAGCGTAAAAAGAAGTTTCTGAATGTTCGGCACAGCTTCACTCTGTAGAAATGCATTCCACGGGGTTCACAAAGGACAGCCGGAGCAGCGAGAATCTCCAAAAACGGTGGATAACAGTAAGGCCATCTGTTGCACTATACTTAAATGAATTACTGAATTAAAATGTGTAAATTCGGAAGTCAAGTCAGTCGACATTCACCCTAAAAAGGGTTGCCTCAATTGGCCCTATGGCACCATGTCGGAGTCACCATAGGAATCACACTAGACAAGAATGGATCATTATATGATCCGGCAGGAACTGAGTCCTGTGACATGCATATTAGATTAGTTACTTAGATAAGGATGGGTATATATATATGGGACTATGGTGACCACCAGCTGCGTCTTACAATTGCGCCCAGGTGCGTCACCACAGTCCCGCGGGTACGTTTACACGGGTCCCGGGGAGGTGTCTTCGTTGATCACCGACCCCCCCGGGACCCCGGTGATCCCCCGCATATAGATATATAAAGTATAAGAAGTTTTACGTCTATTCAGACGGTACACACACACACACACGCAGTCTCACACGCACACACAAAGATCGATGGATGGATGGATGGATGGATGGATGAATGGATGGATGGATGGATAGATAGACAGATAGATAGATAGATAGACAGATAGATAGATAGATAAATAGATAGATAAATAGATAGATAGATAGATAGGGAGAGAGACATAACATAGATGGATGGATGCATGGATGGATAGATAGATAGATAGGTAGATAGAGAGATTGTTTGATAGATAGCTTGCGCGGTTGGATTTTTTGAATTCAATTTTGACTTTCGCAGTGTGCCATTGGATTTTAGTGTATGGAGAAGCCCGTTGATAATTTTGTACTGTTAGCTTGTGCCAAACTTTGGTTGAGAGGACTGTCCTGCTGGAGTCGCTATGACAGTTGCTCCCTCGAAGAGTGACGGTGGCAAGACGCTATGTCTCAAGTGCTTTTACGTCAAGCGGGGCTCGTTCAAAGCCATCAAGACCCCCGAGTTCCTGAAGCTCAAAAGGAAAAATCCGCAGCTCGCGGATAAGTATTTTGGCAGTTGAACGGGTTTGCGCTTCCAGTGTTGTTTTGGGCAGTTATTAGGTCAATCCCTTGTCCATTGTTGACTGATTGGTAAACAGAAGGTCGCGACGCATTTCCAAAAACAATGCTTAGCTATCAATGTGGGCTTGGCAGTTTTCCATTCCAGTTTCAACTTTATTCCCCACATTGACGTGTGGGGTTTTTGTTTTTAGTTCTGTATCCGCCACCGCCGCCTCCTCCTCCTCCTCGCCCGCCTGTCCTCCTCACTCCCCGGCTGTCCTCCTCACTCGCCCGCCTGTCCTCCTCACTCACACACTCACTCACTCACACTCACTTACACACACACACATCACTCACTCCTCACTCACACACTCACTCACTCACACTCACTTACACACACACACATCACTCACTCACACTCACTTACACACCCAACACTCACTCACCCACCCACCCACCCACCCACCCACCCACTCACTCACTCACTCACTCACTCACTGTGCATGAACGTACATACATACACACAAACTCACCCACCATCACCGCTCCATCACTCTTATACTTTCTCTTCCGTTCTTGCTTTTCTATGATCAGTCTAAGTCTAAAGAAGTTGGTAACATGTGGGGTTATCCGGTCCTTTAATTAAAGATGGTTATGAAAGATATGTTCTGAAGATTATTATGGTTGGTGAAAGTGATATACAGGTTGGATTATAATCCACTGTTAAAGGGTTTCACAATTCGTCATTATCAGCTATGGTTCTTCATATGGCTTATATCCCCAATGACATCCCCAACCTTGGGTACTTTACTATTTTAGTTCTTTGCTATAACCAATGGGCATTTCAGGATCCTAAAATGGAGGTCCTGTACCATATAAGGCAGTGGGGATATTCCCTCACGTAGGCCTTATATAGGCCTTTTGTATGGTAGGTACATCCGGTTTAGGTTCCTGAAATGGCCATTGATATAATATAAATGGAAAATAAGCCTACCAAGATTTTTTTGAGCCTACCAAAGATTGACCATGCTAAATGGTTGAATCTGTACTACTGGTGGCTGCCCTCTGTACATTCGAAATCGCTACATTCGTGTTGGCAATGTCCAAGTTCCCCCAAGTCCCAAGTTCCATTTCATATATGGGATGTCATCATTCCCATTGACTTTCACTCATATGTTTAAAGATGGTTAAAAACACCAACCAGATATTCATTGATATTTTTAGATGCACTAGTATTACCCTCTGAAATCTCAATGATTGTGGATCATCCCATTGATAATTACCATTTGTAGATCATTTGTAGATCAACCACCAACCAGATATGTAGATGCCGGCTCAAGTGATCCATTTTGGTCGCAGACCCTCCACCCTTGGAGTGCTTGGAATCTTGACATCGGCGCCGCAAAGTTCAGCATGCACACATCACCTGCCAGATCGCCGAAAGTTTTTCGAAAGTCCCTCAGCATTCCCAACACACTCAAGAAGGGTGTCAAAAAACCAAAAGTGGAAAACTCTACAAAAAAGAGGGTCATACCCAGGTCACCCAGCTGGATGGATAGAAGCTAATCCAAACTAGTCTTGGGGGTGTAAATGATATGGGACTATCTACATCTATCTACTAACCAGCTAAGAATTTGCCATTTTCTGTATTTGGCAGATTGGCCGATTGGCCATGACTGCTACTTCAACCAAGATACATGTGGCGATCCCCGGGACGATTCGCCATCTGGTGCAAACCTATGGTGACGACTGGGGATCCCCCATGACTTAGGAAACCTCCACATGTTATAATATTCGTTGTCATATCCATTGCTTGTGTTATCCTGCCACCCATGTTTTAAAAGCATTGTCGTATTGTGGTTCGTATCAATTCATATCGGTTAATTTGGGATGGTGATTCCGATTGACCACAGCAAGTTGTGCCCGTCATACTTTGTTCATGGGTTGAATCTCCATGTTGTTGCTTGCAGATGTTTTTGGCAGGCAACTCCCGCATTGTTGTTGTTGTTGTTGTTGTTGTTGGTTGTTGGTTGTTGGTTGTTGGTTGTTGTTTGTTGTTTGTTGTTTGTTGTTTGTTGTTTGTTGTTTGTTGTTGTTGTTGTTCTTGTTGTTGTTGTTGTTGTTGTTGTTGGACTTTGCCATCGCTGGTTGGTCGTTTCATTTGGGCCTATGTCCCCCGCCTTTGAATGAGATTGTGACCTCCAAAACATTGTTCGTTAAGGGGGTCACTCAACCAAAAACCTGCTGTTGTTGCTTGAACCTCAGCCCTCCAGTAAACGAGAGTAGCTTTGCAGCAAAGCCCATTTATATTTCATCCTCTTAGAAACTATGGTGAGTTTCATAGTTGTGTTGAAATACGAGAGGAATTCCCATCAATATCCCATTAGATCCATTTGTATCATAGTGAAATCACAGTTTTTGATGGCTATTCAATAATCTACGTCTATGTTTTTTGGATTTTCCCACAGAAATTGGTTTGTGGTTGGTTTCAAATATGTTTTTATGTTCAATCCCATTTGGAATGATGATAGCAACTGACGAGCATATTTTTCATGGGGCGGCTCAACCACCAACCAGGTTTGTATAGCTACTATATATATATACACCTTTAGACACCCATTATATCACAATTGTAGATGTTTAACTCCAGTTTAGATGTAGCTAAATATCCTGCATCTATTTTTTTTATATGTTTATACAGTGTAGATGCTTAAATCCAATACATCACCAGTTCTTAAAGCTACAGACGCTATGATATCACTGGGAATATGTTTGGCCATATTTCGGGGATAAACAAATACCTCACATAGCGCTTCCATAGACCTTACATATGGTACCTCGACAAATTGGGTCCCTGAAGTGGCCATTGATGACACCCAAATTTGAGGTACCAAGACCACTATTATATACCATTATTAGGTACCCAAATGATATTCCCTTAAAGCTACATACACTATTTTTATATACCAGTGCAAATATACTTAGTGTTATTTGTCATCCCATGTAAACACCATTCATTATATGATCCCATATAATCGTCATATTACAGAACCGTTATATACCATTATAATCCCATATTTACTCTGGTGAATTACCCTCTGGTTATTTAACATAGCTATGGATCATGGACCATTTAAAGATGATTTACCTATTCAAAATTGTGGTTTTCAAGTTCGCTATGTTAGTTTACCAGAGGGTATATACTTACGTCATTTTCATCACCCTTCAGTGCTTGAATGTGTTTCGCTGGAACTGAGGCCTTGAACAAGGTGCGCTTATTCCGTGGTTGAATCGGATCGTCGGATGATGGTACAACCATAGTTCATTAGGGTTATAACATGTTATGATATTGAGAAATGGGATTTGAATGGTAATTTATGGTGATTTAATGGGATTTTGTAGGATATAACATGTACCCTCTGGTTATTTGTTACATAGCCAGGTATAGATGGCCCATAGAAATAGATGGTTTACTTATGAAAAATGGTGATTTTCCATGGCTATGTTAAATAACCAGATGGTAATAGTTAATGTTGATCCATTAGTTAATGTTGGTTGATTAAGGTTATACATTAGCTTAACCATAGTAATCCCCCCCTTAAACCCTGGAATATTTGGGGGGGGGTAGGACAAGAAATTTCTCAGAAATATTTCACCTGACCACATGAAATATACCCCCCCACATGTTTTTGGGCTTCTAAAAGAAGTGGGGGGGGTGCTCCGGATACCACAATTTTAGCCCAGAGATGGTATGGCACACCCTTTCACTTTCAACGTACGTACATGCATATATACATACATGCATGCATTCAACCAGGCCCTGGAGAGACCATTATAAACCAGATTTTTTTAGCTGAAATATTTCTAGGTGTGGGGGGGGGACACCCCCCCTTTTTGAAATATTTAAATTTTTACCCCACCCCCCACTCGCCCCTTAAAGGGGGGGGTCCATAGTATAACATGTTATACATTAGTTAATGTTGGTTAGTTAGTTAATGTTAAGTAGGGTTATAACCCAACTTGAAACTGTACCACTTTGTGGTGGATTTCTTTTGCGCTGTAGATGGAGAAGTAATTATAGACTAGCCAGCCAAAGAAGTTTTTTTTGCAAGCTATGACTGAACATGATGAAAATGGAAGGAACCATGCAGGGGCCAAATAATACTTCTTATCCGATTATGTACTAAGATGTTGATTGCTTACATCCACATATGTTTGTTTTGTATGCTAATGCCATCCCATTTGTGGGTGGTGAACCCCCAAGTTCATGATAACTTCGACACATGTTGGCCTGTTTTTCTTCAAGGCTAGAAACTTCAAAAGTTCAAAAACCACTTTTGAAAAGCATAGCCACAGCCTTTTTGTTTACCCTTGAGTGTTCTTTCCCTATTAAAAACATACTTTATAATCGCTTCTCGCATCTTCTCTCCAATATTTAGCAGTTCCCAGAAACCATGGTTTGGTAGGGGATTTACAAGGTGTTGCCCCATAGTCAGCTAAGTTGGTGCAAATAACTCCAGTAACTTGGGTTAATGGTAGATATATCTATAGTCAATGGGGCTAATAAACCAACTTATAACTATGGGGGCACCACCTTGTACACATATTTGGGACCATAGAAAGGTGTTGTTTATTGGCGGGCCTTGGGATTGCGGGGCTGGACACAAGCCCAGTGCCACTGGCACCTCCAGTTAGAAGTTGGTTTATAAGTCCCATTAGCTCTATATATATATACACATATTATATGTATTATACAAAATATATGTATTATACATATTATATGTATTATACATATATTATGTATTATATGTATATATATATTCTACATATATATATATATTCTACATATATATTTTATACATATATTATACTATATATATATTATATATATATATCATAAACCATAGTGAAATTGGAGTTATCTTCAACCAATCGCTGCATAGCTATCCCATGTTTTTCACCGCCAGGATGTCGCCGGCCACGGCACCACCGAAGCGCCTGAAGCCGAGAGCGATGCAGATGGAGGTGAACCAACTGGGACCGAAGCCTGGAATCATCCCATATGTTAATTTACTCAGATATATTTATATATAATATATATATATCATGTGTATATATATATATATATAATATTATATATATTATATGAATTGGATATATACTTATATATATATATAGGTTTCCTATTTTTGAAACTTCCGCCACCGCCTTGTGCGGTACTACTGGTATATATACCGTATATATATATATATATCATCTATATATGTATTATATATTTATTTATGAACTGGATATAATTATATATAATACTAAAATTAATGGTTGCTAGGTCAATCTTGAATGTGTAGAAACTAATCCTTGAGTCTTGGATGGTATCAATGGAATTATCTACTAACCAGGTAGTTGTTTTTTTACAGGGTATCTAAGGTTGACCATGAAACCCCCTGTTCATTGATTCTGATAGGGACTTCTACTGTGTAGTTTTTCATGGAGATTCTGAAATATCTATGTGAAGCCCTACCAACCAGTAGATCAACCACCTATTATTGCTGAGGTTAACCAGGTAAAGAAAATAGCGTTCTGAAGGGCAGCTGAAATTGGCCATGGTGGGAATTCCCCAAAAATCTCTGTGAAGCATCATCCAACAGAAGTTTCGGACTCAAGGGTGGCTACCCCAGTCATCCAGTCATGGATGCCACCAGCCCTCGTTTCTAGGAGAGGATGAAGATGAAGAGACGGAGAAAGAAAAGTGATCTTGAGGCGCGTTGCTACAAAACTGCTGGGATGCATGATTTTGTTGTCTCAAACCCACATCTAATTTTGTTGTTTTTTTGCCGTCGAAAGATGGCACGCATGTCCAAGTAAAAGTGATGATGCCCCTGTATTTTTATTTCTTATTTTGCATCCATACATGATATAATAATTTACTTCTTACCTACATTAGAAAGACTATAGACTGAAGATCATGTTTTAATATTGTCGGTGGATTTGTGTTGGTAAGCAATTTCCAAACATGTTGCGCATATGGGATAACCGGTATGTATATAATATTATATAATATGAATAGGGCAGGATTTTTAGGATATTATTTGATTTATGCTGTAGTCAGAGTATGTTTCAGATATTGTATCAATGGCCATGCAACAAAAGCTTGCCCGCAGTGGCGACCCCTCCACTCAGCTCTCGGACCAACGCACCGGCAGAGGATCCAGAAGACCAAAAGTCACCTCCATCCAGCCAGCGATCTATATACATTCTCATACATTATCCTGTCTGATCCTCACACCCCCACACTGTTTGGGGTCTCTTGCCGTTTTGTTTTGGGAAAGATTGCAGGACGCACGTGTGCCACTGAGTATGTCGATCGCGATGCAGTGGCATCCCTGGAAGCCGATGATGGCACAGTGTATTACATCATGCGAAAGAGTTTGTATGTGGCAAACTACGGCTGGCAGACATGGCCAGCGACCCCAGGACTCATGGCCAGCTCGCGGGCCGACATGATTTTATCCGTTCGCAGCTTTTGCTTGAAGAATGGCTTGTGCCACATGGCAGCCCGCAAGTCATCCACAGTGGTAGCAGCCTTGATGTCATTGACAAAAGCACCAGTGGGATCTACATTTCTTGCGTGCGTCTGCGCAACGTCCGGGAAGACGTAGCCGAAATGCTGATCCTTGTCTATTGGAGCTGCTGGCTGGGTTGCTGGTCGATGAATATTAGGCTTAGATTTCCTGGAACCCAGCAATTCAATGCAATTCATATGGTACGTAGCGACGTAGCAACCCATTTTAGGATCCTTAAATCCCACTGATTAAAACAATCTTTGTTGATTACTGTAGTTATTAGATGTTATTGTACAGGATGGGGCCCCAGTTTTTTTTGCGTTCAGTTGGTGCAAATAACTACAATAACCATAGTGTATGATACACAAATAACTCTATTTAGATGGGGTTATAAAGCAAATTATAACTGGGGGGCCCCATCCTGTAGGGACCCATAGGGAAACCTATGACTACCCGTTGATTGTGGTGGATATTCTACCATGGCCAGAATTATAGGAACTTATATTCATCACGATGGAGTTTTCCAGCGTATGCTGGCGATTACCCTGAAATCGTAGTCAAACGTATGGAAAATGAATGAAAATCCCACATTTGTAGATATCTACCAGTAGTACCGCACAAGGCGGTGGCGGAAGTTTCAAAAATAGGAAACCTATAGGAGAGGTCGGTTGTTGTGAATCAGGGATGGCAGAGCGAAGCCACTGATGGACCGAAAGGTGCTTGAGGTCTCCTTTCTTTCGCTCTCTTTCTCTGACTATCTACCTACCTACCTATCTATTTTCTATGTATCTATCTATCTATCGATCTATCTATCTATCTATCTCTCTCTTTCTTTCATTCAATTACCCAATCTATCTATCTATCT